CAAAAAAAAAATTAAAAAAACGTTTTTCATAACTTTACAGTAAATCATTTCACTCACGTTCCAATGACTTCCTGCATATCTAGATTGGCCAGTTGATAGAAATGAATAATTTTAGAATTTTAATCTTCCTAGTTCTAGAGAATCGATTGACCACGATACGTTTATTCGAGATGGTCAACTTGTTTACATTCAGTCCACGGATGGGATGAGTTAGATTACCTTTTAAAGGAATAAATTTTCGTTGATTATTCGATGATGATTCCATTGATTGATTCTTATCATTTGATAATGCATCAGAGGAATCTTTTAGATTCGAATTCGGCACCAGTGATGTTTCTGTCTTTCGTAAAACATTCAAAAAATTATTTCTTCTTGCTTGCTAGAGTAAAAATATTTAAATTCATCATAAAATAGATAATAATTAACACGATGCTTACTTTTTTTTGTAAATTTAGAAAATTGACTTCTTTTTCGATTTCATTGATTTCACGGAAGCTTCAATAAAATTAAACTTTATTTTATGTGACAATTTTATTTAATCAATAATTTATTTACCTGGTATCATCAGCTTCAATAGATTTAAGCATTTTTGACCATTTTACTCGACTTTGCTCACTACGAGTTTTGGTAATCATTTCCTTAAACAATTCAAGATGTCTCTTCAAATTTTGTTTTTTAAGTTTTAACGTTTCAGTCGCATTCATATTCAGTTCCATGGTTCACTGTTGAATGTTATAATCCTAAATATTTATGAAAATTGAATTTTTATTATTCTGTTATAATAAATATTTTATCACCACACAAACTTTAATGACATTTAGGAAATCATTCTTTGTTATTTTTGTATTGATGCAAACAAAACATTTTCTGATATTTTTAACGGTTACCGTGAAGTTTTAAATTTAAAATTTTGCCTCACTTTTATAGAGACGCAGTCATTTCAAGCTTGTTTTTATGAATTGTTATTTTTCATGAACATTTCTTTGATTTCACATAGACTATTTAATATTATTAAAGGTATATGAAATTAAAAGCTTTAAAACAATATTTAAGCTAAATAACTTACAATGAACTTGTTTAATCACCTTGATTTTGATAAATATTCCTGTGACCAAATGTAAATGGTTTGTTTCCGAAAATTCGAATATCGGAGTTTGGATCATGAGATTCAAAAATATTCAAGATTCAAATTATTGGATTTTACCGTTTGTACTTTATTCAATAATAAGATTTTACCAATCAATTTTAAACACATAATCATAAATTTTATGGTTGCTTAGCTACTTCAAAAACTATACTTGACAAATTATTGAGGTTTTGTGCACTTTGAATCCCTCCTTCATCTTCATTAGTTAATTTTTCAAAAATTTCATTCTGTTTTTGAAATGGAAATTTGAAAATTTTTAGCGTGGCAATAAATATCGATGAAGAAAATAATTTCAGATCATTTTTCAAGTTGCTCGTTTCCGTTGTACTCAAACCAGCTGTAAATCTATTAAGAAAATAAGATTTAGACTTAAAAATCATTGTAAATTAAATATTATGAAGAACTTTACTTAATGTAAATAGCATTCCGATTGAAGTAGGCTATCCGTAAAATATCCAATGACTTTTCGAACACATCATTTTTTCCTTGAAAGGCTGAGAGATGCACTTCAACTAAATTAAAAATCAGTTCGACAACATAAGGATCAAGAATCTTGAAATTCATTAAGGAAAATGTTTCGAATTCTTGTTCAATGGATTCTTTATTTTCTATCCCAAGCTGTTTCATAACTGCTTGCAATTCATTTCTCGTATTTGGATTGGCTGTGTTGAACTTCACGGTTATAAGAATGACATTGAAAATGAATATGGCCATTTCCTTCTCATCGAATGTTCCTCTGTCATTAATTAAATTATATTTTGCATTTAATGCAAATTCTAATGTATCCAGCAGTGAAAATTCATTGTAACTTGAAAGTTCGAAAAGTTTTGATACACTGAAAACTAATTTGATAAGCGATGATGGAAGAAATATTCTTTCTTCAAAATTGTTTTCCATGATTTAACTTCGAACTAAAATTTCGATTGGATAAAAGAATTTAAAATTTAAAACGTTAAACTTGTCTACCCTACTTACCTACCTAATACCTAATTCACGGTAGTTAGTTCGGCAAATTGTACTATATTTAATATAAAACCAGATTTATACAAACTAGGTATTCTTATTCTTTCTTTACTTTTGTGTGTTTGTTATTCACAGGAGTGACTGCTGGTAGAATTTGAGACTATCGGTAGGTTTTATCAGAACAGTTGAATGAAGTCTAAATTTTTTTTAGATTGGGTTTCATTGTAAGAATTGTACCTATTATAGGACTTATAAAATATTCGTTGCAGAGTGCTATTAATTTTTTAGTTTTCACATAAGTAATGTTTGTGATTTCTCAACTCATCAAAAGAAAAAGTTAAGCTTTTCAATTATTTAGATACAAAGATACTATTTGCCTCTTACTGGTGATACCGAGTAAAGACATTGCCATCAACAATTACCTACATTCATACCGAAAATATCTACAATTTAAATTGAAAAATTAAGTGGCAATTTGAAATTAAAGTTTCGAAAAATCAAGAAAAAAATTATGAGTAAAAATGGATAAAGTTTTTAGAAAAAAGCACTAAATCTCATTAAAATTCATTACAGATATTATTGATGTTGTGAATTTTGTAATAATAGTATTTATTGGGATGTTTATTGGAATTGCAATTACAACGACATCCTTCTTATTTTATTTTTTCATCGTTACACTAATGAAATATCTCAGCAAAAGCCAAAAATCAAAACCCGAAGCTCTCGACACTCCACAAGAGTAGCTCAAAATATAATTTCAGATCATTCTTCAAATTGCTTGTTTCCGTTGTGCTTAAACCAGCTGTAAATCTGTAAGGTAAATAACTTTTTAATTTAAAAATTGTTTAATATGTAACAAAATTTATACGAAGGCTTGTTGTTGCTTCATCAACAGTATCACTTTTGAATGTTTGTTATTCAGGAATAATGACTTAAGTTAGAAGATTGTTGGTAGAATTTAAGATTTTTGAAAAAAAATTTTAACAGAAAAGATTAATGAAGTCTTAATTACCTAGTTTTTTAAATCGAGTTTCAGAGTGAAATTGTACCTATAGAATTTATAAAATATTCGTTGCAGCGTGTTTTGAATTTTTTTAATCTCACTAAGTAAACTTTTTAAATTCGAAATTTATTAACAGATAAAATTAAGTTTTTCAGTTTTTTAGGTACACATAAATACATTTTATGCCTATTACTGGTGATAGCAAAGTATTGTTATCAACAAATAGGTACCTAGGTTTAAAAGAAAATCTTTACATTTGAAGTTAATAAATTATTAAAATTTTTAATTCTTTACCCTTTCAACAGAAATCTTTTTGAAAAATCAAGAATAAGATTATGAGTAAAATTAAAAAATTTTAGAAAAAATCATTAAAACTCACTAAAATTCATTACAGATAGTTTTGGTGTTGAGAATTTCGAAATAGTATTGTTTATTGGACTCGTTTTGGGAATTACATTAACACTGATACCCTTATTATGTTGTATTGATGCAATTTATCGCTGCATTCATAACATATCCGATCAAGAACCAAACATCAAAACACGATGCTGTCGACAATCCAGAGAAGTAGCTCCATCAACTGAATGCTTTAAATGCTACAGAACAGGATCAAAGTGTAATCATTATTCTAAGAAATGTTCAAGCGTCAATATTAGCAGACCGCGTTATAAATACAAGCCTCATTCAAGACCAACATCAAGTTGTCATCACACGAGACAACATTCAGTCATAAACATTCCTGATGAATCCGAGACTTCATGTAATGCTTCTCAATATAACTCCAATTGTTCTTCGAGAGGATCAGGATATGGAAGTTATCATCATTATAACATAAGAAATTAGAATATCGATTGTTATTTGGTTCATTAAGAAACTTTATTTGAGTAAGCTTAGTAATCGCCCATTTACAGAAATCAAAAATAAAAAAAAATGTTCTCACAGATTAATTTTATTCTTTTTTTGATGCTTGTTGAATTTTGATTTTGATTTTAAACACGATTTCATTAGAAGAACAAAATAAAGAAGTACAAAAAAACTCTTCAAATCATAAATTTCAAATAGGTATCTTTTATGTAAAGACAATTGTTTGTAATGTTTGTTTGTACTTCTTAAGAACAAAAAGTTTCCAGGAGAAAATCTTTCATCGATATTAAATAGAAAATTAATTAACTCTTATAAACTTAATCGAAATAAGTTTATGCATTTTGCATGTTCTTGATAAGATAACAGCTCCTTACTTCGTCCTTAGATATTTCTTATTACCTACTTAATAAATTTTAAATAAACGTTGGTTTCATTTTTTGAAACTGTTATCTACGTACATTATTACAGTTTCCTTTTAAAAAATTTATGCTTCGCCGAATTATAGAAAAATATTTGTAAATTTTCATAAAAAGTGGTTCGATCTTTCTTGGTTTTGTTTTCTTTAAACACTTCTGTTAATTATTGCTTTCCTTACTCCTTAGGAAACAAAAAATTTTGATAGTCTTTTTACTTCTTTCTAATTAATTAGCCAAATTCTCGTATGAGAATGGCGTGTGACAAATAACTAAGTAAATTAAGCTTAAATAACATCCGCTGAGAGGAAATTTTTGTGATCTGGTCTGCGACGATTACATCGTATCGTTGAAACTAAGTTTCAAGCCAATCTTCTTCTGATAAAAGGGATTTATGGGGCTTGGGATGACATTTGGCTTGAGCAAACTCTTGACCGGCTTCTTACTTGAATCGAATGGCAAGTTTGGAGACGACATCACCTGTTTGATGTATTCATGTTCACTTTGTGCTTTGTTTTTGTTTAAAGCAATGATAACACGCTTACCAGAACTTCCGCTGGTGCTAGGCTGCGACATTTGAATGCGTGGTGTTGTTGTTACTGACGATGATGATGATTTACTCTCCTTTTGTTTCTTTACAACACCGGTATGTTTAGCAAATGGATTAAGTACCAAACTTGTTGAGTTTTCTTCATTCTTTGAAACTTTTGACTCAATCTGTTGGAGACCTTTCAACTTTTGCTTTCTTGGTGTTACAAAATATTCAGTTTCGCCTTCTTTTAACGGTTCTGACCATTCATCGCTCACCTCAAATGTTTGTGATGATCCTGATGACGACGGTGATGAATTTTTGTGCGATTTTAAAGCTTTCGATGGCTTCTCAGTTGATAAAGAACGCTTTTCTGATGATAACTTTACGTCAACTGGAAGTGACTTACGCTTTTTTATTTTAATTTTCCGTGATTGACCTTCGGATGCTTCGTCGATCTCCGCTTTTTTCTTCTTTTTTATTTTTGTTTCCGTGCAAATTATTGATGGCTTTTCTACTTCTTCTTCTTCGTCATCTTGTTGACCATTATCTTGTGTAAAATCGTCTGTTGACTCTTTTAAAAATCTCTCATTGTGAAGCTTTGATAATTTTTGTTTCTTGTCCTTAATTTTGGTTGATGCATCTTTGCTTTTCCGCTTCAACTTCCCATGCTTTCGATTATCTAAATCTTCATCGAAATCTGATCCATCTGAATCAACATCACCAATTGCAAGTTTCTTCTCAAATTCTGCAAGTTCCATAGCTTTTAAATCCAAATCAATGTCCGAATCAATTTCCTCGTTTTCTTGTGGTACGTGACTGATTCCCAAAGGAAAAATATCTTCCAAAAAGTTGCGAAATTTCAAAGCCATTCTTGCTAAACCTTTTCGACTTTTACTGGTTGCAAACGATTTGTAACGAAATGTTTCCATAGTTTCTGCGATTTTAGAAGCATCAAACTTAATTTCAGATAAAACAACATCAACGCGACCTGCACGAGGATCAAGTGCACGTTCTTCTTCATCATCTTCTTGTCCATCACTTAAGTCATCATTGTTAACGCTTTTATTGCCGCGAACTTTATATTTCACTTCAAGATCATCAATGGAGGATGTTGGGAAGTTTGCTTGTTTCCATATTTCAAACTTTTCTTGATATTCTTGACCCAATTCACTTTGGAACAAAAGTTGATGGAAAATCGTCTTCTCAACATGTTGCAACAAGATATGATCGTTGAGTTTTGTATAGTACAGCAAGAAAGGTTCTAAAAGTTGATAAACACGCTCTTCAATAAGTTCGCCATCAGAAACTTTAGCAATTTCTTCAATATAAAAATCACAAATATGCATAATAAGTCCTTTTGGACATTTATTTGTCTGGAACACAGTGGTAGCAAGCGAATCACCAAACAACTTAAGAAGCTCTTCATCCCATTCTGAATTCTTCAGTGAAAAAATTGTCTGACGTGTGACACGGCGAACCAACTACAAATAAAAGGAAGGAGAGAAGAAAATGTCAATGAAAACAATTTCAAGATGGAGACTGCAAAAGTTTCAAGGTCATTAAAGCGAAAAATCCTCACCATCATGAACTTATCAATTCGCCATTGGTCAATGCCAAACCATTCCAAACACATTGTTTCCAGGAAGTTACGATAAAATTGAATTCCGACCTTGGCATCTGGAAAGCAGTGTATGAGTGAGCCGAGATCCTCTGTTAGTTCTTCTTGAACCAGTGGCTTATCTGACATCCACATGCAGTAGTAAAGTCCTTTCCATAAGCGTAGAAAATCTTTGTTTGTAAATTCTAGAATTAAATTGTAAGCAAATATATAATCAACATCCAGTGAATTCTTCAATGACGAGAAGTGATGAAAGGAAGGTTGAAAATGTAATGAAAAGTGATATTTAAATTGATTTGAATGATTAAATTTTATACTTTAACGCAATCAAAAGTATTGAATGAATTACAAAGCAGGTTATTCAATAAAGAATAAGATGAATGAAAAAAATAGGCTTTGTATGAATCAAATTAAACATTTAAAGTTAGAAGAGCATTTACTTTTGAGATCAATTCTTCACAGAATCTCTTTTTCGATGAAGTATTCTATATTTAAATTGTCACATAGCACAATGAGTCACTATTCTTTTTATTAATACTTACGATAAGAGCTTTGCGAGCGTGTGTTTAACCATTTTTTAAGGCTCTTTAAAACACTGTTTCTAATCTTTACATCATTAGAGGCCAACATCTTTGCAAATTTCAACTCCTGTGCCACTACATTCACTTTATTATCTGGTTTTGGAGTATTTTCGCTATTTTCAACATCTGTTTTCTTTCCCATTTTAAGCATTTTCTCACAGAAATAAATTTCTTTTGAAGAATCGAAAAATGTGTGATTGGCAAATTTGCGTCTTAATGCTAAGATATTTGGATTAAGCTGGAAAAGATGCGAAATAAATTGCGGATTAAACTGATTGCCTCAAAAAATATTTAGAAAAAAAAATCATGTTGAGTTTAAAAAATCTATTTCGTAAGTTTCACAACATTTAATTCATTTTACTAAGAACATTTTTATATTAATCTAATTTATATATCTTTCAGTCAATGTGACAACTTTAAGATTGATTCCTGTTGCTGGATTAAAGAACTTCCCACCTCCGATTAATTATGATCGTAAATAAATTTATATAAATTTGTCAATATTATCTTAATTTCTGTTTTTATTATGAAAAGATGTTGAGTTTACTGAACGTCCCAAACTCAAAGTTATGGAAAAAGTTCCGCAATATCCAGGAAATTTGAAGCCTCCCAAAATGCAAAAGAAATTGAAGTTTATGCGCGGCCCAGAACGTGTGCACAATTTTCTTACACACAAACAATATGGCATTCAAGCTCTTGGTGGAGGAAGACTGCGTTTTGGACACTTCGAAATGTTGAGGTTGAGTATCGGACGTAAAATAGACACAAAGAGGATGTTCACATTTTGGAGAATAGACCCACCATGGCAACCAGTCACAAATCATGGACAGGGACAGAGAATGGGAGGTGGAAAAGGTGCAATTGACCATTACGTGACACCAGTTAAAGCAGGAAGAATCATTGTTGAGCTTGGAGGTATATGTGAATTCAAAGAAGTAAAAGAATTTTTGCAAAAGTATGCAGATCAGTTGCCATTTAAAGCTCGAGCGGTTTCTCATGAAATGCTTGAGAAAGAAAAGATTTGGGAAAAGGAACGTGAAGAATCAGATATGAATCCTTGGCCTATGAAATATGTAATTCAAAATAACTTTGATGGATGTCACAGAATTCTGTCGCCTGTTGACCATAAATGGTTTGGAAAATATCGTTGAATTATTGTGAATAATTTAATAATTTTTCAGTAATAATAAAATTATTTCTTAGTTTATTTCTTCATTTTTTCAATCATAATTTTGTCTCGCGATTTCAGGATTAAATTGTGAATTATATTTCTGTTTCACTGGCCTTATGTGTTCTTGTAATTCTTTGGATGTTTTAACTTTCATTTCTGGATCTGGTTCTCCACGTAGTTTCGCAAGAAGTTTGTCTGCCTTCGCTCGTTCAATCTTCTCTCGTTGAAGTCGTTCTGCTCGAAGTTTTTCAAGCTTCAATTTCTTTAATTTTCTTGTTTCTTCATCTGAGGAAGAATCATTTGTTGAAAGTACTGATTTTAATTCATGCTTTGACTTCTTTTTCTGTTTCTTATCTTTCTTATGTTTCTTCTTTTGAGATTTCTTAAAATGTTCCGATATTTTTTCAGAATGTGACTGCGAATGGCTTCTTTTCTTTTTATACTTCTTGAAACTTTCATTGATTATTGGTTCGTACTTTGGAATTGTTTTAATTTCTTCCTTGCTTTCCTCTTTTGAACATGACGGAAGATTTTTTATTGACTTGCCTACATATTTCTCAATCATCCTCATTGGATCGTGAAGGAGTTTTGTTTTAAGATTAACTTCAACTTTTCGTCCAGTTTCATCTGTAATGTCTTTACGATTCGGAGCAACATCATACCAATCTCGTCTACCAGTAGCTTCATTGGTGTCTTGTCCTAAGTAAGTTAAATATCCAATTTGTTTTTCATACTTTTCCTGTTCTTCTTTCTTTTCTTTTTCATGGTCTTTGTTGTTTTTCGGTGGAACATATTTGCCTGTTTCTAAATCGTTGAAGAAATTTACATGTTCCGATGACACTTTAGTGCTAGTTTCTGTGTTGATCTCAGTTTGGTCCTCTAAATTGTCACTCTCACTTCCTTTTCTTTTTTTGGCTCTTTCTTTTAAAAGATTGATTTTAGCTTCTTGATCAGCTAATGCAACACGACGCAATCGTTCTTTCTCTTTTTCTGCAGCTTCCCGTTCCTAAACATTTTAAAGTTTGTTATGAAAATTTAATACGAAGGTTGATTTTAAATTTACTCACATCCTTTCGAACTTTTGCAATATTCTTTTTAGTTCTGACATGCCAGCTTTTATGTGGTAATATATTCATTATTTGTTTGTGCTAATGTTATTCTAATAAAAATAATTAACACACTGTCTATATTTAGAAAATTTTAATTTTTATTATTTATATTTTTAAGCTTGTAGTTGTATGCCCAGTCATTCGTAGATTTGAACTGAGCAACCAAGTTCAAAGCTATATTTTCTCGACAAGCTTCGCGTTGGCGAAGAAGAAACGAATTTCAAGAATTCGTGATTCATGAAATTCGTCAAAACAAGTTCTTAAGATGTCTGGAGACCGCGAAATATTAGCAGAAATTCATCTTAATCATCCAGCGGCACCTGAACATCATGTGGTTTGCATTTGTACACGAATATTCCTAAAGTAAGTAAAAGAAAGTTATTGCTACAAAGAAGTCTGTGAAATAAAATTTTCTTCCACCTTTCATTACATTTAGAAATGTTTTTTACGTTTACGCATCAACCCTCGGCACTGAAGATGCAAGCGAAGCAGATGATGTGTTCAATGAAACAGCAGAACTTCATGTTTTTCGAGAGAAAGTAAAGTCTTCGCATGATAACGAGGTATGAAGGACAAAATTCCGAGAAAATCGATTTTTTTTGTTTTGTATCATTTCACCCTTTTTCCATAGAGCATAGAAAAAAATATTTGAATAATAAAAACATTTTCTTTTATTATAGGCTGATAATGACGCAAATAGCTGTTATTATAGTGCATCACACACAGAACACACGGACACTTATTACAGCACAGACGAGCATGAAGTATTGCAACACACGAAACTCCATTCAAGTGACTCGGGGGCAGATTTGTCTGAGAAAAATATGCTAGAAAAGCATATGGAGAGTATAAGTGATGAATATCATCGAAGGAATTCAAAACAACACCAAGACGAGGAAGACATAAGTCGAGAATATCATCACGAAAGAAACAACAGCCTTCCAGAACTATTCAACGACGATGCTCATGTTATCGGTTGGGAAAAATATTGGGCGAAAAATGGTGAACGATTAATTTGGCAAACGTGGATTGAAAAGTACATTGATTATATAAATCCTGACTTTCTGAGTGGAATGCCACCACTTGAAGGTGAACCATCATCCGCTGAAGGTGCAGCATCTTTCTCATTCGAACCAAAGGACGTTTCCATGATGGAAAACTCTCAAAATAACACAGAAATTGTAGTCTCACCGCCAGGTCGTTTATCAAACGATGATTTATTAGGAAATGGCTGGAATCCTTTGTCACCAGCTAGCACTGTCAATACTCAAAGACGTCGCTATGACAACGAAAACCTTCTAAGTCCACGATGTGAATCAGTTAATTCTAGCATTCCACTCACCATCGGCACAACAGTCACCGATTCAATGACCAATGTAACACGAATGACAATCTCAAGCTTTGATTTTGGCAGCAGTCATGTTTCTTCTGAATCAACACCACTCACAACTCCTACAGATAGTAACTCAGTCAGCTCATTTTCTGAGAGTGAAGAGAGCGATAATCCCCTTACAACAAGATTTTCAGCTGATTGTGATAAGTTATTGACGACAAAGCATAATAAAGAAGAAGAAGAAAAAGGAGATGACGTACCTCCGCCCACTGGAAATGATTCCGAAGAAAGTTGGCAAAAACGTTGGCAAAGTCATGCACAAGAACAATATGTGAAACATTACAATGAGTTTATGGAAGCTCATCGAATGCTTCAGCAAGAGATGTGCAGTAGTTTTAAATCAGATACTGGTTTCCTACCTGGTGAGAACAGTGGAAAATTCAACAAGCAAAGACGAAAGCGTTCAAGTCGTAAAAAGAATTCTGAGTCGCTTCATCGACTTGTAGCTAATCTAAATTTGAAAACTGATTTAGCCAAATTTATTCAACCTCATGACGGTAAAGCTGAAGAAGTTGTTGATGGAAATGATCGTCCAGATCCATCGCATAGTGATTCAACAGTTGTTGATACAACTGAGACATCAGTCATGGAATCTCTTGGATTACCAACATCATTTGGTAAGTCGTCTAAAGCTAATAAAGCTGGTGGTGATGATGATGAAGATCCGCCAGAAGATCGACCAATAACAACATTAAAACGAAGTCATGAAAGTGATACAGAAGAACCAAATGTTGATCGTATTAAATCTCATTTTGAGCTCATGGGATTTGCTTTTGCTGAACAGAATCTAAGTGAAGGAGCAGTTACCGCTGGCGAGATAATTTATCGTAAGAAGCATGTGAGATTACATAATCGGATGTTGAAAATGATGCCATCAGCAGCTGTAAAGCCAAAGCATACATATTTTGATGAAGATGGTAATGAAGTGAATGAAGGAAGTCAAGATAATGAGATGATACTTCACACATCGTCAGATGAAGATGGTCCACATATTCCTCCTGCCTCTCGCATTAATCTTCCCTTCACCAGTCAATTATCAAGTGATGCAAATCCAAGTGAAGAAAATGAACCAAAAACTGAAGTTGTGAACATAAATTTATCAATTGATCAGGAAAACGAGCCAAATTGTGTTGAAGAAAATGTCGAAGTGAATGAGATTCAAAGCCAGGATCGTCAAACACAAGGAAAGAAAGAAAAGAAAAAGAAACGCAAAGGAAAGTTTCAGTCGAGTATTCCTATTGAAATTGCCAATGATAGAACATTGAAGAAGTTTTGGTATAAAAGATTTTCTTTGTTTTCAATGTTCGATTATGGAATAAGATTGGATCGAGGTGAGTTTAAAATTTTTAATTTTTTATATTATTTTTGAGCGTCCACAAGATTCAAAGAAGAAATTGTTAATTGAATTTTATTTTATTTCCTAGAGAGTTGGTTCTCAGTAACTCCAGAAAAAGTCGCAAGTTTCACTGCTGAAAGATGTAAATGTGACATAATTATTGACGCATTTTGTGGTGTAGGCGGCAATAGCATTCAATTTGCAAAAACGTGCAATCGAGGTAAAATTCCTTTTCTAATTTTTATTGAATTTATTAATGATGAATAATTCCTTTTTGTTAGTAATTGCAATTGATATTGATCCGAAGAAAATTGAAATGGCTCGACATAATGCAACGATTTACGGTGTTCAAGATAAAATTGAATTTATAATCGGAAATTATTTTGATTTGATTGAACATCTTAAGGCTGATGTTGTGTTTCTAAGTCCCCCATGGGGTGGTCCCGACTACATGCGTAAAGACAGCGTTTATAACTTGGAGGAATCACTTCAACCAGTTCCAGCTTCAAAACTTTTGGAAGAGACGAGAAAGATGACAAAGAACATTGCTGTGTACTTACCAAGAAATTCTAATTGTAAGCAGCTCGCTTTCCTTGCCGGTCCTGGAAATGCTGTTGAAATTGAACAAAATTTTCTCGATCGAAAATTGATCGCATTAACGGCATATTACGGTGACTTGGTGCAAAGCATTCAAAAGGGCTGAACCTTGTCTTACTTCTAACAATTCTTTTTTTATACATATATCTTCAATTTCGTCGCTTTTTATGTAATTTAAATTTTATTAGTTTAAGTTTTTTTTATCTTAAGCAAATTTTTGATGCTTTTTTTACGAATTTAAAGAAACCAAGTGAAAGTTGCACAAAAATTCTCAATTGTGTGTAAACTTCAGATTTCGTATAGCTGAACTAACTTATCATTTTAATCAATGAAAGAACTCTTAAAATAAGCAGATAAAAACATGACTAATTAAATTTGTATGAAGAGATGTTTAATTTAATTAAAATTAAGAATAACCATTCAAAAATATTCTTAAGAAAAAATAAATGAATGTCTAAAGTGTAAATTAAATGGGTTGCTTGTATTTAATCTCTCATCTCTCCTTCCTCATCATCATCTTCTTGGACTCCTCGAATATGTAGGACATTGTTGCAACGGATGAGAACCTCTCCGAGGGATCCTGTTTTGCTTCCATCTACCCATTCTTCCGTGTTTGCTAACTGCATGTTCATGTATCCATCAACAGACACAAGAAAGCCTTTGTATTCATGCCCCCATTTAAGTTTTATGATGACAGGTTTTCCGGTGAGCGAGTTGAGGAAAGGTTTTGGATTGATTGGCATCGCCATGGCTGCAGTTTCAATTTCTAGAAAAATATAAAAGATATTTTGTGAGTCGAAAGGTTATAATTTGTAAATTTCTGATTATTCATCATTCACTCTTGTTTAGTAATTTAACTTTGCATTCAATTATTCAAAAAAGCAATAGAAATATTTAATTTACGTAATATTCTTAACTTACATAGATATTTTGTGAAAAGAAATAATTTTTTAGTTTTCGGTAAACGATTAATTGTTTACTCCTGTAAGATCCGCAATAAATGTTTGGGATTTGCTGAATTGGGATTATACTGATTGTCTGTATAAAGAAGGAAAGAAAATATTTTCAGTCGACATTAAAAGCAGTTTTTCTAAGATTATGCGTTAAAACAAACAAGTAGTTGTATCTTTTAAGAATTTTTATGAAAAGCAATGGCCATCGAACAATATTAAAAATAACAGAAATATGTTTTCGGGGTTTAAAGATAAGAAATATGTGAATCAAACAATCATTACATAAAATTGTGTGTTTTTGTACTTGAAAGAAGCTTTCTGATAACGCCACTTGAATTTCCTTCCACTCAACTTCACTTAATTTCATGTTGAAGTATCTGAAAAGGTAAGAAAATGAATTTAAATGTTTTTTATCAAGTTAAATTTTTACTCTTGAAATTTTTATATAGAAAAACATGGATAACAACAAAACTGATGAGATTACAATTCAAATCAGTTGCAAATATTCGATAGACAATCACAGAAATGGATATTTTGATCTCACAAACGAAGCCAAATTAGAAAATTTCAACAATCAATTACAATTTGAGGAGAGCGAATCAGCTGACTTAATTTTCAACAGAACTGTCGAGGAATTCAATCTTGCGAGGCTTTATCTGAGCGGTTATGATGTGACACTCCTTAAATATGGTAAAAAGAATGTGTTTTATGAAGGTGTTGAGAATCGAAATGATGATAAGACTGAAGACAACAAATCATCTTCTGAAGATTCCGATGACAGTGAAAATGATTCAGAATTCGATGGTGGAATTGTTCAAAAGTTCATAAGAACAATATTTGAAGATCTCGTGAGCTTAAAAGACCTTAACTACATTTTCAGTGTTGGTTGGACGGAAATCAATGAACAAAATCAACTTTTAGATTTACTTAACGGAAATGGTTTAGTGCAATGCTTCTCAATGCCACAATTGTTAGAAGCATTAAGTGTTGGTCTGAGTAATCGAAGTAATGGAAACAGTCATAACATTCTATCGATTGTATTAGAACAACAACACATTCATCCAGTAACAAGAATACCACAGAATAAGCTTTCGACAGCAAATTTTTGCGATTTGAATCATGGAACCAATAGAACTGCTTTGCAAAACTTCATCACAGAACCGAGAGAATTGCCAATGAATTTTTACAATCAACCACCGCCACAACTTCCTCCATACGCTTATATGATACCAACCAATAATGGAAATTATTTTTCACCACCTCCTGTTCCACCTGAATTTGGATTCTTCAACAGCAACATGCCGAGAAGTAATCTCGATCCATCAACTTGTCTTGCACAGCAACAAAGTAGTAAACTATTAAAAAATGCAGAAATTCTTTTCTCGAAATTGAATCTCAATGAGATGAACGAAGCACAACGTAAAGAAATTCAAGAATGGATGTATTTGAAAACAGAATGTGATACTTTTATGCCATCGCCAGGAGGAGTTGAATTGCCACCTTCATATTTTGGCAACCCATTCATGAATCCATCTAATGTTGGAGCTCAGCAAGAGCAATCACAACAACCAAATACACTTTTGCCAATCATTGAAATGGATGAAACAAATGATCCCGATGAAGACGAAACAAACGACAATGAGTCAGAAAGTGGAAGTTACATCGACATCAATGATGAAACGAATGATCTCTTTGCAAAGATATCAGATAAGATGACGATATTTCAAGCGAAAACTGATGAACTCGTTCAACAGAAAAACGACGAATATTTTCTGAACAATCCAATTGCTTTGAGCAGTGGAAAATCAGATATTAAAGAAAGTTTAGACGAAGCTGTTGGTGGAATTGATTTGAAAATTTCAACAAGCACTTCTATGAGTGGACAACAGTATATTGAAAAATCAGGAAGAAGAAGATCAATTCGTGACAATAATGTATTGAATATCGATGAATTGAATTTGATAAGAAAAGCGGCAGCTGGAAATTCAAAAGAAACAGAAAATGAAGAGAAAAACGTAGCAAAACATTTGAGTGAGTTGGAAAAGTTGAGATGTTCACTTAAGAAATCATCAGCATCGATAGAAGCGATGAATATGCAAATTAAAGAACTTGAAAAAACTATAACATTGAAAAAGAATTTAATAATTGATTTGGAAAAGAATAACAAGACTCGAATGACGGCGAAATCGAATTGCAACAAGAAGAGAACAAAGTATGAGAAGAAATTGAAAAACACACAAGAAGAGCTGGGACGTGCTATATTGAAGCGTAAAGGTGCTGATGAAATTCAAAGATTAAAAGACTTGACGACCAAGTTCAAAGAAAAGCTTTCTGACTTAACAAAGATACATAAAATCACTGCAGAACCTTCTCTCACTAAAGAAACGGAATCTCTAAAGGATTTGAAGAAGCAACTCGACCACATCACAAAAGCTTTGAAGGACGAAATAAAAACGAGAGAGTCACTTGAAAAAGCCATTAGTGATAAAGTTAGAATAATTGAAACAGAAACTGGTGACAACAATAATAAAGTTGTTGCAGTTTCACCTTCGTTGTCATCTGGAGCTGGAGTGAAAGTTGTCGATCGAATGAAAATTCGTGATGTTAATGCAAGGATTTCTCATCTTACTGAGATACTTAAAGAGAAATCGTCAAATCTTGATAACAAAGATGATAAGAAAAGGGAATCGCTTCGTTGTGAAATCAGAAACTTAAGAAAAACACGCGACGATCTTCTCGAACATTTGATTATTTTAATGAAGAAGCTGAAGAAAGAGAAGAGTCTCTCGTCGAGGGAAGAAAGACGAATGTTGGTGTATGACGAGTCAATCAATGTAAGATACGAAAAAGTTTTCATTGCAATTTTAATTCATTTTCTCTTTTTCTTGTAAATGAATTCTTTCTAGGCAATTGATGATGTTATTGAGACGAAAAATGAAATTATTTGTGGTCACAAATCAATTGACACTGACGAACGATTAGAACGCGAGAAAGGAGAACAATTGTTAATGGCGCGACTTAACAAGCTTTCAGAAGAAGAAATGAGAATTTTACTGTACAAATATTTCATGAAAGTTATTGACCTGAAAGATTCTTGCAAGAAATTAGAGCAGAATGTTGAACATCTTGAACGTCAACAAAAGGAATCTGAATGGCGTGAATCAATTTTGAAGAATGCAATTCAACAAGCGCGACTTGAAAGCAAACGAAATCTTGCGTTACAGCAAGCAAGTCATCAAATGAAATTAAATCCTTTCTTGCGTCACTTTGCTAGTGAAACAGCAAATTCCAGCATGAATGAAAGTAGCTTCGATACAAGCTCAAATTCAGGGGCAGCTGCTTTGCCAAACTATGAAGAATTAAACATCATGAAAGCGACAAAGTCCCGACATCAGTATCATCAACAACAAATTCATCACCAAACAGAAATCGACCCAAATTTCAAGAAGAACCTTTTCACGAAATTTATGTTCACTGGCTTTCAACAAGGTCCATCGTCAGCAGTCGCAATGGCTAACAAGGACACTGCTGCTGTTATGATTCCTCAAGGAAATCTAAAACAATTGAAAGAGAAGAAACCAGCGACAGTTGTCACAAGGCAAAAGAATAAACTCATCATTCAACAAAACGATAAGCATTAATAAATGTAATTAAATCGTCTACTTCATGTTTCTTTTAAGTTTATTTTAATTTTTGTTTCATGTCTTCCTAATTTCTATACAAACTTTTTTTTATATTAAAAAATCATCAAATAATTTGATAGTAATACTCAACTAAGGTATGAAATCTGTGACTTTTTGAACTTTTTGTGTCATTTATGGTCTAAAAAGTAATAAAAATTTAAATAAAGTTTAAAATAATTATCAATGTGAAGAACGAAAATGTTTAACGATCTTGAAATGTTTGAATTTTACGCAATTTCCAGTTCATTGTAGGCGCAGAAGCTTACAAGGGAATATGTTAACAGAATTACTACGAAGCATCAGTGCCGTAGGTGAAGGAAAATGTGGAGATCCAATGTTTTCACCTATTTATAAGTACGAAATGTCCGCTACACTTTTTGTTTTTTCAAATTTGGGAAATGAATCACCCTGTCACTGTGACGTCACATATTCAAATTGAATCACCGTTCACAGCGCGCCAATGGAAATTCATTTTCTTCACATTCACTTCTTGCGATTCATTGTCTTGCGACCATTAGATTGTAAATTCGATTGAAAGTGAACAGAATTTAGTTTTCAACATTTTAAACTTTATTCTGAGAATCTTAAAATACCATAATCAGTAGTGAAACATTTAATTTCAATTGTTAAATAATAAAAGAATCGTCAGTTTGTGAATATTGTGAAAGGTTTAAATATGTTTTAAAATTTCAAATCATAGATTTCAATAAAACATCAAACACTATTGCGTCAAAAATAATATTAAATAAATATTCTTGGAATCATATTTAATAAATTAAAGCAACGGCAAGTAAGTAAAATGAAACTATGATTTTCCATATGTTTGCAATTCGAGTTTAATGATACCTGTTGAAGAAAAATAATCGATAAATGAGGTGGAATGGAAACAAGCATATTGTTGCATATTTTTGAAGAAAAAGTATTGCAAGAAAATTTTTATTTCATAAAATCAAATTTTAGAAAGTAAACAATCAAAGAAAGTCCTTGACGAAATCATTGAAAATGTGTCTCTATTGAAGTTTAACTTCGTTTAACAAACACTTGAACAGCATGTCGGAATTGTAATTAGATTGTAAAATACTGTATTAAAAATAATCTAAAAGAAGTTATTATAATTATATCACTGACAAATTGCTTGTGACATTGAAATCATCCAATAATCAAATGTTTGAATTTCTAGTGCCACTTTCTTATCTACTATGAAACTTCACTTGTCATTAATAGTATTTAGATGATTTATGAGTAAGCAATTTCTCAAAATTATTTTAAGAAATGATTTGACATATTATGTCAAACAAGAAGAACATGCATTTGTATTAATTCCATCTTTTTTCATTCTCATTCTTGTTTCAGACACATAATGGATCAATCTTCAACACATTTAGTGAACTTTCGTCTGGTTTATGTTGTGACTCAATTGATAGGATTCACAGTTTTGGTTTTGATACTTTCATGGATTGGACTTCATCTTGAAGGGTTTGGTTGGGATTATGAAAAGCCGAAAATTCTCTTCAATTGGCATCCAATGTGCATGACTATTGGGATGTTGTTCTTGTATGGAAACTGTGAGTTGACATGAATTGAATCTTGTGAAATTTACGAATAATTATTTCATGCTCATAAATTTATGCATTAAATTATAATCTAGTTAATGAATGGTCTTATTAAATCATTCTGTTCTTTTTTTAATAGCGATTCTTATTTATCGTGGATTTCGATATGGACGAAAACGTAACTTGAAGATAACGCATGCCTCAATTCACGCATTTGCTTTCATCTTTACGGTTTATGGACTTGTGGCAGCGTTTAATTCCCATAACTACGCTACACCAAAGATTCCAAATTTGTATTCGATACATTCGTGGATTGGACTGATATCTGTAATCATTTTTGCTATGCAATATGTAGCCGGTTTTGTGTCCTTTTTATTCCCAATGATGAAGGAACCGTTCAAAATCTTCTACATGCCAATTCACATATTTTTTGGACTGTTAGGATTTGTGTTGGCAGTTGCTGCGTGCTTGTTGGGAATTTCTGAGAAAGCATTCTTTATGATGCCCAAGGGGGAATACGGAAATATGCCAAGTCAAGCTTATCTTGTTAATGTCGTCTCTCTTTTAATTGGAGTCTACGGAACATTGGTGGTTTACTTAGTAACCGAACCGTCTTACAAGAGAGAACCTTTACCAGAAGATACGATGTTGTTGACAGGAAGCTCAGAATAAATTTCTTAATCTGAACATAAATCATCTTTCTGTTGTGAATCATCAGCCAACTTTTTTTTTTTATTTTTGAAGCACAACAGAAATTCTTGCCAAAGTTTTGCACAAATTATTAATGGAAGATGAGCTCATCTATTTATTATATCCATTATTGATATTTAAGATTGTTTTGTTTTTGAAGAATTTTATTAGTGTATTTATATAAATTTTTAAACTAATATTATGTAAAATAAGTAACCAAAAAGATTATCCTGATAAAATATTTTTGAAATAAATGTTTATTTATTCATAATCTTACTCATCCAAATAGATTGAATTTGCATATTTTATGAATAATGAGCTGACTTAATGAAATGAGAACATACATAATTAATTTGATTATGAGTTTTGTATTCATTTGCAATAACGATCTGCTTTCATTTTTGATCTACGATCTAATAAAGACTCGTGAAGTTTTCCGCTTTCCTTTGCTTTTTTCAGTTCCTTTTTGTCATCTTCACATAGTTTAATTCTCTTATCCTGGAACTTTTGGAACTTTTTAACGTAGTTTAGCTCAACTTGTTTAAGATCCTCAATTTTCTCTTCAATTGGTGCACTGCTTGAAACAACTTCACCACGATAAGCATTGCTTCTGATAATGCAAACTTCATTTGGACCCACAGCTTTACGAATTGCCACAAGAGCATCATCTTCTTCATCGATAGACACAAAACTGTTGTTGGCTGCTAATAAAGCCATCTTTCCATTCTCCCAAATAGGTTCAAACGCTTCTTTTTCTCCTGCAGCATCAGACCTGAAGAATTGATATTTTATATAATAATAATTCAATTTATTTAACAACGTTTAGCAAACTTCCTACCTTCCAGTTATGACTCCATCAGCTTCGGGCTTTAAATATTTGTTGTATCCCGATTTAATGTATATTTTAGATTCATTTACAATAAATGAACTGAATTCTTCGTCAAACGAGGGTCCTTCGCCTTTCGGATGTGGAGCTGAGAGTGTAAACGTTCCATCATCAAGAGCTTTGACAAAACGATGCTCACCGAATTGAATTACAATTGAGCCAGTAATTTCAGATACTTCTTTGCATATCCACCAGCCTCCATTGTTAATGGCGTCTTCGTCTATTATAACTGCTTTTTGTATTTTTTCTTCACGGTCTTTCTTTTCTTTCTTATGTTTTCGCTTTTTTGATCTGAAATTTTTAATAAAAATAATATGTATAAAAGAGCTCGTAATGATTAAATTAATCTGTTCCTAACTTACTTATCACTTTCGCCTTTCAGCTTTAATTTTCCCTTATTGTGAAGTTGATATTCAGACATTTTTGTTTATCTTGTTGATTATTTGAAAGGAAATATTAAAGTTATTTTAGAAAAAAAATTGTTTTTGGTTTCTTACAAGAAAAATGTAAACAAAGTGACAGTCGGACAAAAAATGTTTTCCTTTAATTCTTCTTTTTCCAAAGTTTCCCGCCAATCGTGTGAAAGCACAAAGAAATCTAAAAACAAAACACTCGAAAAGCTTAAACTTCCACGATTTAAATTAATTTACTAAAAGAAACGACTTGATAACTTCTTGATTTTAGATTAATCTATTAAATTAGCACGTTCTTCTCTCATTAGTGTAGAAGGTGAGTTGAAAAACTTCAAAGTTTGAATGAAATTTGTAAATTTAATTTTCTTTTTTATTTCGTTATGATTTCTTCGCAATGGAAAAGGATTTTGACGGCGCTTTTGAAAAATATCCAGACAGTTCATTTCAGCAAATCAGAATGGCTAAGGTTCACATAACAAATGTCGTTGTATTAGACAATCCCAGCAGTTTTTTCAATCCATTTCAATTTGAACTCACATTTGAATGCATCGAAGAACTTAAAGAAGATCTCGAGTGGAAAATGATTTACGTTGGATCTGCCGAATCTGAAGAATATGATCAAGTTTTAGACACAGTATGAATTAATCATAACTTTAATAATGTTTACTGTTAAAATCTAAATTTTCTACTCATTTGCCGAATTTTAGATTTACGTCGGTCCCATACCGGAAGGGCGTCATATTTTTGTTTTCCAAGCAGATCCTCCAGACACAAGTCGCATCCCAGAACAGGACGCTCTTGGAGTGACTATTGTTTTACTCACGTGCTCTTACAGAGGTCAAGAATTTGTTCGTGTTGGATATTTCATAAACAATGATTATTCAGATCAAGAACTTCGTGAAAATCCGCCACAAAAACCTCTTTTCGATAAAATGACCAGAAATATTCTAGCATCAAAGCCTCGAGTTACACGATTCAAAATAAACTGGGATGATACAAATGGAAACAGTGAGGAAAACATTGACGGTGAAGCCGGTACAAGTGGAAACAATCAGACTGAAAATGGCATGGTGTTCGATGAGTTAGCAATGGAAGAGCCGCAGGATGAAAATTCTCTTGTCATGCCAGGGAATGAAAATTCAAACTCGTTGGCAATGGAATGTTGAGCGCATTATCACGAAATGTTAAAAATTCATCACTGCACAAATATTTCATTTTTCTTTACTATTTGTGTACCCTTTTTTTCAATATATTTTTAACGTGATGAATTCTTCTTTATTGAAATTTTTTCATTATAATATCATTTCTTAGTTTTCAATAAAGTTCTAAAAATCTTTATGAAAAGAAATTCTGTCTCAAGATTTAATATCATTGATGATGATGGTTTAGATATTTTGAGATTATGCAAACACTTCCCACATAAGAAAATTAAATATTTGACTGTGTCAATATCTTTGATCAAATATAAATTGAATGTACAGAGAGTTCGTTGTAGTTCTTTACAAATCTAATCAAGGGGATATTCAGAGAAAATTAGGAAGACGAAATAATATTAAGAATGTTATGAATCTGAACTATCTGATGGTTGCCACTAACAATTTCATATCTTTCACTTTTAAGTAGACATAAAATTTCGGTATCAAATTTTTAAATGTAAAACAAGAAATGTCTTTAATAGGATTTTCTTATATCTAATAGGAACATGTGATGAAAAAAATGCAAATTTCCTTACCATCAGATTCTTTCATTAACCAACATTTTGTTGAGTTCTGAAACAGAACTTATTTTGCCAATTAATAACGAAATATTTTATATTTCGTATTATTGTAAATGAGTCAAAGCCTAACACTTAATTTTAAAGTGCTTAGCGCATGAATAAATATTTTTACACGGTCTTTCGTTCATTCATTGTTTCAGTAATTTATGAAACCATATATGAGAATGAAAACAAACAAGATCGCGATAAGACACCCGACGGTGCGTATCATGTCAATTTTAACGGAGATTATATACATTACGAAGGAGAGCTATGTTCGCGCTTTATCCGTTTTATATAAAAATTTTCATGGTGCTTTCGGGATTATTTTTATTTCATGAATTTAATTGTGGTTGAGGAAGAAATTATGTATAAATGGGAAGGTATAAAGTTCTGCTAATAAAATTATAGTTTATTACTTGCTATAAAACAGTAACAATGATGTTTCTTCATCTCTTTCTAGTACGATAGTAATACAATTAACTTTGAAGAGCTCTTCGAAAGCTCCGCCTTAAAAAGTAATGAAACGAAGAAAACATAAGAGGAAGCCACCATTTTCATTTCTAACATTTGTTCAATGATAAATAAAATATTTTATGATTCAAGTTTGTGAATAAACAATTTTTTTCGAACTGAGGCGAAAATTTCAAACGTCATTTACAAATTCAATATTAAAATTCAGAGTTTTCAAATCAAAAAGTCAATTTACTTGTCTTTATTCTACCAAGCAACTACTTATCAAGTTTTTTCAGGATTTCTCTCATGCTTCACCACCTTTCGATCAAAACAAACTCAATTTACTTCTCTTAGTTTTAGGATTTTTTTGTACTTTATTTAAATAATAACGTCTTGTTACACTTGAATGATTGCAATCGAAACAAGAACTTCTCAAAGTCATTGAAATGTGATATTTAAAAATTAATTGATATTTTTCGTTTTGATTCGAATCATCAAGGATGTAAACTTAATGAAGGTAATTTTAAAATTGTTTTTACCCTAAACCCCAAAGGTTCAACCTTGACTTTGTGAGGCCACAATCTCTTTAGTCTTTTAATTGTTTGTATACATAAGTTAACTGACTGAAGAATCAATTCTAAAACTCTATTTCATGTTATTATTGAAGACTTCATTACTTTACTGTTCTTATTAAATGACGTAAATAATTTGTAAAGCATCGATGTCTACTTCAATTGGTTTCAATTGAAGTTTTAAACTGATTTTTACCATCAAAAATCCCCCAGAACTTCCCTATGAACAGCACATTGTTAGAACAACTTCAAATTATGTCGCTACTGGGCGGCAAGTTTGCACTTAAAAATAATAGCTTCACACTTTTATTTGAACCTGCTGTGTGGTATGAAAACTAAAACAGTTCTTGGAAAATTACAATTTTCTGCATCTTTTGAATGCGATCATGATTATGAAATTAAATTTATAAAGTTTTTTCTATTGAGAGTTGGAGAAATTTTGTATAGTTTGACTGAATAACTAAAACGAAATAATTAAAATAAAATTTGTAAATCAAATTCAGTGATCATATGATAATCTCTTGCAAAACAGAATCAAATACCTACAAGCAACAACACTAACATGTTGGAAAAGCGGTTTCGTTTCAGCCTAATTAATCGCTTCTTTGAAACCATCCTTCTTCATTTTCAAACTTACTTTACCGACAAAATTCTCAAATTTCATTAATTTCTGCGCGGCATTCTACATTTATGAGAGGCGCATGTTTCTCTCAACATAACTTTTTGACGGGAACAAACAAAAATGGCATTAGATGGGTGATTCATCATAAAAAGATCATTAATTATTTTTTTTCTCATCTAGTAAACTTAATTTGTTGAATTAACTGCTGTTTTATAATATAACTTTCCTTCTTAAAAAGTTTTTGTGCCTTGATACGAGAGCAAGTGAGAACAATAAGACTAAATTTATGGTTCAGAAATAAAAAAGAAAAATTAAGATTTTGATGAATTCATCCTAGAAGATCAAAGATTTTAATTTCCTTGATGTTTTAGATATTTAAAGGCACACAATTTTGTGATGAAAGAATTGACAATTTTATCTCTACTAATTTCTCACAACATAAATCATTTATGTGTATATGTACGTATGTTAGTTAACGTATATATGTTTTCATGGTCGCTTGTTGCGGTTGAGACAGGTAATAAACTGCCAGCAATATTTTTTTCTATGCGCGAACAACAATTTATGAATGGAAACGAACATCAAAACATGATTTTATTCATGACGAAAATTTCTTCTCGCTATCGTCTCATTCCTTCACCGCTGTGTAACCAATGGCTAAATTGTACAGTAGCGGAACCGAAAGCATTTCGTGTTCAACTTCTTCAAGCATCATTATTTATTGAGATCAATTTCAGTCGTTCGCAGATGCTTTTAAAATATTGCTAATGAAGAAATTTCGTAGAGTTGTTAACTGTTTCTGGATGGTTTCAATTTCGTTATTATCAATATTTATGAGAGCAAAGAATCGATCAACCAGAAACTTTTTAAAAAAAAGAATAAAAACGGAAATCCAAGTTAAATATTTTTGAAATTTCATTTGGTGAACTTGTATAAAGACTTGTTAGAATTATTTTTAATTGTATGAAAATTCATGTTAAAGATTTCTGTGATAATTGAATAAAGCGTCATTAATATTAATAAGGCGATAATTACTCATCACTTTTCTTAACTCTCTCAATTATATGTCTAAGTCTGTTGTTTTGTCTCTTATTATTATAAACAAAGGAATTAAATGTTTGTGCTATTCTTTTGAAGATTATCCGAAGAAAGAAAACTAAAATTCAACAGAAATTTCAACTGTGATGATTTTGTGATGCCTAAAGCGCATTTATGGCCACACACATTCGTTCACCAAAAAGAAAAGTTTCCTTACTTTGTTTATCAAATTACGACTTTTATAAAGTTGATCTTGAAGTTCTTAAAATTATTCGTTCAAGGGATAAATAAGTTAAATAAGTTCCTTCTAAATGAAAGCAAGTAATTTAAATTCAAATAATGAACAAAAAACTCTTCAATATGGTGGCGGAAATCTTGAAAGCGAAGCAGTGGAATGTATCCAATCACAGAGAAAACGATCGATCATTTAATGACAATTCAAAAAAAAAATGTCGGAGAAGTTTCTTGATAAACTTCATTGAAGAAATTTTTAATCAACATCGGACGTTAAATTCTTCTTCTATGAATGAAATTCCAATCTTTATAAGGTAATGGAAGAATAACTATTTTACAACTCATTCACAGAATCTTATATGATGTTGCATTGTTTAAAATAAATTGAAAAAGTTCTTCAAACGATCTCGGACACAGCAGTAAAGGAAGAGAAACTTCACTGCGGTTACTTTTATTTCTTTAAAATCAAAATGTTTCCTCATATTGTGGTCGGCATCATATGAGGTAATAAGATTCAAAAGATACCATCAGAAACAAGCTACTGGAAGAATGTTTATGAAAAATATCTATAAACATGTTTTGTATTCCTTTTTCTCGCACCTTCATCACCACATTCATATTATTATAAGAAATTTGATAAAAGAATTCAAATCACAATGAGAAATTCCAACACGGCTTCTGTTTTGCTTGTAACAGAAGCAAATGAAACGCTTGAAGAATAAGCAACGTGCAAACACTTACAGAGTTTGAAATGAAAATTAAAAATGAAAAATCACTTTAGATATTTAGAATCGTGCAAACATGAGGTGATAATAATGACTTGTGGAGTTTTATTATGAATTGTTTTAGTTCAGATGTTTTACGAACTTAATAAAAACTTTTCCCATGTTGTCATTAATTCAGTTAAATATTATCAAAAGTTTCACTTTCCCTCAATCGTAAATTACGACATGTGATATTTTCATCATAGTTTTAAGGTCTCTAAAAAAAAGTGAGAGAAATTTCCTAGTTTTTACAGTTTTACAATCGTGCAACTCATTGCAAACGACATATAAACAAAGTCAAAGTCAAATAAGCCGAAAAACAAAGCGATAACCGCAAGTTATGTGTTTCAATGGGACAAACAGTAATTAAAATGCTTGACTTGAAAAACGGTAGCAAAGGAAGTTGTTCGGTTAAATTAATTTTATTTCATGATCGATTTCGAAAAGCGATCTTTGTTTCCCTCCTTCTTCTGATCAAACTAGAGATAGACATAAAATTGTTCAACGTGACCCTCATCGATTTTAAATAAGTAAGCTTCTTGAATTTAACAGAAATTGGGAAGATGAAAAAAATTGCTATGTCATTAGTTTCCAATTATTTAGTGGAAAAAAACATATCATCAAGATGGATCACGTCGTCAGCCGTGAGTTAAATTGGAAATGATCTTTTTTTCCATTTCGAGAAAAATTTCTCTTTCTCATTGAGAACTTGTTAAAACTTTTCAATTCCATTAACACCTAGTAATAAATTGAAAAACTTACTTTTAAAACTACCAAAACCATGATGTGTTTCACTGTTTGGCTTCAGGGAATTTTCACAGAACTTGCTGTATGGTTTATAATGGTGCAATAATAAGCATGCTTAGTTAGCACTAAAATTCTCTTAAAGATTTACATAAAAATATAAAACGAAAGGATGAAGGCAGAGGCGAATATATTGGAAAAGTTTATTTTAACATTTCACTGATCTCACTCTGTTTAATGAAGACAAATAAGAAAAGTCAAATGCATAATGTATTCTTCTATAATAAGACTCCTTTACGATCGATCATAAAAATTATTACAAATAATTTGTCCTTGTTTCACTTTACATAGGTCAATGATTTATTGTTTTATGACGGTAAAGGTTAAGTTTATTTTCCTTGTGACCATAAAGTAAGCAAATATCTTCTTTCGATTCATTGCTGGAGGATCAATGCTTTTCCAACTGAATTCCAGCTGAGAAGAAGGTCACAACATTATTGGTTTTTGCTTTTCTTTTTTACTTTACAAGAAAACTACTCAAGCATCGTTTCGTTCCAAATAATTGTGATTTTTCACGTCGAGTTGCTGTTAACACTAGTCATGGCTCCATTGTTGCCATCCCTGCAAATATTTTCACAATATTGAGTCCTTATTAGCTGATAATTGCCAGACTAGAAGCGATCAGGGATTCTGTGAATAATCCAAGGATACTTTTTTTAGACAATTTGCTTCGGAGGATTCAGAAGGCGATGCTTTGGTCGGCAAACAATCGCGCTGTGAAATCGCGATTTTCTTTCATGAAAAAGTTCTTTACTTTTTTGGGAGCTTTTCTTGTTAAACTGTTCAAGGATTTCTCGACATTCAATGGATCACGTTGTCAATGTCAATAATCTGCACTGAAACTAATCGGTTTTCATCGTTTACCAAGAATGTTTTTCAAATGCTCTAAATGATAAATGTTCACGGAAGCAAGAAAAGTTTTATTTAGGATTTTCCAATTTTTTCATTAAATGAGAATTCTTGAAATTAAACAAGACTTAACTTTTTTAACAACCTTAAAACTTAGTTGAAAATATACAAAGCATCTTGAAGCTTTCACCACGAAGCATAAAACCATAATTTCCATTGTTCATTTATCACCGTCGCATCCTAATTTGTGAGTGTCAATAAAATTTTATACTTTTATTAATCAACTTTTTCACACCTAATAATAAAGTCAATAAGAATGCACTTATTTATTTATTTTTCTTCATGCATAAACAACAGAAAATGTTTCACTGTTGTGTGAGTGAAACGATCGTGTTCAGCTTCAAAAATTATTTCGTCTCGTTTTAACTAATAACATTCACTCCACGAGAGTTGTTGTTGAAAATGGGCGTTGCATGTTTCTGAGCTAAGTAATAGAGTAAGTTTTGAAGTTGTTCAGTGTTTCTTTTTTTCCCTTTTTGACGACTGAGTCGATACGTTCGAGGCACAAAAAATATTAATGGTTATTTCTCGTTTCAAGTTTAATTTAGTTTTACAAGTGCTTTCAACGTGATCGGACGTTTAAGATTTTATTGCCTTAAAAAGGTTTTCACTATTTGTTTTCAAATCAAATAGAAACGTTCATGACATTAATACAAAATTATTTAAATGTTAAAAAAGAAAAAAAATTCTAAAACAAAATAAAAAAGTTATTGAAGAAGTTCAGAGAATTAAAAACTTCAGAATAAAATATTCAGTTAAAAGTGAGATAAGCAAGTAAAAGATAGTAAAACGATAAGTTTCAAGTGAAAGATTTTCCAACAAGGAAAGAAATTATCATTAAAGAACTGTGAAAAAAATTTATGATCGTGTGAATGATCAACATGACAATAACCAACAACTTCCCAAGTGCAGGAATGAGACCGTGCTTCAATGGGTATCCAATTCAAAGTAAGAAACTGAAAATTCGTTAAGACTTGTTATCAGCTCAAAGCAGGAGATTCAAATTAAACAAGTCACCGTTTAAATGTGTCCCTAATCGCGATTGGATTCGCTGATAGAAAAACATTTTGCACCTTGTTTTATGTCCTCAAAATTGTTTCATATCTCAAGAAGAAGAAAAAAAATAAAACAATTATTTATGGTCAATCAATAAATTGTTCCAATTCGTCACGTGGAAATATGAGAAACGATATTTATTTATTTATTTACAATATGCGTCGGGGTTTCAATCTATGTATGCAAGTAACTTAAGTTTCAATCGTTTCGTTTCTTCTTTTGCACAACTGTGACGAATATTTTCAATAAATTCTTGACTTAACCAGTACCAATTCTAGTCTGAAAAATTAATTAGATATAAACATAAAGAATCACCGACAGCATGCGATGTTTATCTAATGGTGTTAATGAACCCAAAATTAAATCTTTTCATCAACTCCGATGATCATCATTAGATATAATTTATTTGACAAATTGCTCAATTAAATGGACACATTCTGAGATCCCGTCGGTCAACAGTCTGTCAGATACCTTTTTGTTCTGACTCTTCAAACTCTGTTAAGTTAACAAAGTATAGAAAATTTATGACTCGTTTCTTCCTGGGATCTAAGCAATTAGACAAAGACTAGAATTTTTGGAAGTCTGCAATAGAAGACGCTTGTTTTTGCATTTCCAATGGATAGATTCAAAGAAGTCAACATCAGTTACTGATGAAGTTAGAACGAAGCATGTAATTTGAAATTTTCAGGAGAATCATCGCAATCGTAATGGCTTCAACAGTGTTTATGGCAAGCACCGCAATAAACTCATAAACAAGACAACTTTCCTGTTATCTTGAGGAACGTCTAAACGAAAGCTGTAATAAGTTTCTTACACACTCAAACTTTCTACCTGATAACACATTGAGTTGCTGTTCTTCTTGCAAATGCTCAAACAATTTCTCATTAAATATTTAAAAAAAATATTTTGACCAATTCAATTTTGTTTCTTCCTATTCTAGGTGACATGTCAGCAGGTCAAGGACGTGTCAATCAACTTGGTGGAGTTTTTATCAATGGTCGTCCTTTACCGAATCATATTCGCCTGAAAATTGTGGAACTTGCAGCCGCCGGTGTTCGACCATGTCAAATTTCACGGCAGCTTAGAGTATCGCATGGATGTGTCTCTAAAATATTAAATCGTTATCAGGTAATAATAAGCAACATTCACATGATTTTTTAACAAGCAACTTCATTTCTCTCAATATTTTATCAGGAAACTGGAAGCATTCGTCCCGGTGTTATTGGCGGCTCAAAGCCACGCATTGCAACACCAGAAATCGAGAATCGAATTGAAGACTTCAAGAAGGAAAATCCAGGTATATTTTCGTGGGAAATTCGCGATCGTTTGATTAAAGAAGGCATTTGTGATCGTTCAACGGCTCCATCAGTGAGCGCGATCTCCCGTCTATTACGAGGTCGCGACGATGAAAAACGAACATCACAAAACGGTAATTTTTTATGTTGTGCTTCTTTTTATTCTGGGAACTTAAACTTAAAAGAACAATTTACATGATCCTCGAAATGTGGAAGCTTGAAAATCCAATTAATCTTCTTCTTCATTCTTTCGGTTGATTTTCTTTGATCACAACTTGAAAATTAGTTTTTGCCACTACAAGTGAACAAGGGATTCCATCAAGGTCTTTTCTCCACTCATTGTTTAATCACTTGCTGCTGTTTATGTTTTTTTTTTTATTTTTCTTTCCTCATTTCTTTCATTGGCTTTTTATTTTTTCTCTTTTATTGTTTCGGTAAAGGGAGCGAAACTCAAATCGAGAAGGTGCTAAGAATGATTTGTGTAAATCTCATTTTCCATTGTTGATTATTATTAATGATTCTTGAAGTGACGGCCCGAGGCTTTTACATCTGAAAGTGAATTTAGGAAGTCATAAGGCAATGCGAGAAAGGCGCGAAAACATGAAAATGTAATGAAAATCATTTATAAGAAAACATGGGAAAATTGTTAGAGTTATTACCATTGACTTTTCATGTAAAGTAGCTTCGAATCGATTCCCTTTGATTGTACGGAAATCTAATTAACCGAACTAGGAAACATGATTGATTAGATCCTTTCATGTGACGGGGGGAAACTATTCATAAATAATCTTGGCAAACTTTCGCGATATCACGATCATAATAAAATCTGAATAGGTTGAATCAATCTAACAATCTCGACAAGTCTCAAGCGATTCTAACAAAGCGAAAAACAATTATTATGAGAAAAAAAAGTAATTAATCATTGAAAGAGCGGCAAAAAAAAGAACTTAAAATAAAGCCGCGCTTGTCGATATCATTTTGTGCTTCGATCCAAAAAAAGAAATAAAGAAAAAAAAAAGCATTATCATCATGCTGTTCTCATTGCTTCATGAAAAGAGATGAAAACGAAAGAAGAGGCTTGATTAATTTTAAAAATTATCAATTTCCGTTTTCGCAGGTGAAAATCACGCAATGAAACATTCCGACGGTGATTTATCTGATTGTGAGAGTGAACCTGGAATTCCACTTAAGCGTAAGCAGAGAAGATCGAGAACAACATTTACAGCAATGCAGTTAGATGAATTAGAACGAGCCTTTGAACGCACACAATATCCTGACATTTACACACGAGAAGAACTTGCACAACGAACCAAATTAACAGAAGCTCGCATCCAAGTTTGGTTTAGTAATCGACGTGCCCGATTACGTAAACAGGTTATTCCAACGTCATCGGGATTTTCATCAATGGGAGGAAATCATTTGGCTTATTCCGGATCTTCATCCGGTTATCCAATTTTACAACCATTAACTGATGCTTCTCAATATAGTTCAGCATCTTCACAAAGTAAGTTGAAGTTGAGAGAAGTGCTCCAACATTAATTTTATTAATGTTTTTCTCTTTATTTATCCTTGTTACAGTGCACGATTTTTATTCTTCTCACGTCCATCAAATGGCGAATCAAGCAGTTTCCCGTCAATCTCCCGTAGAGTCTTCAAACCACACAAGTTCACCAGTTCCGAATTCGTCTCATCCAATTCATAATTCAACAGCTTCGTCCTATTATCATCATTATCATCACACTGTTCCATCAAGTTCTGGGCAGAATCCATCAGCAAATGCTGGTTATTCACCACCGCAGAATGTTAATGGCTCATTGAATGGCAACGAGAGTCCAAATTCTGTTGATCAATTCTCAGCAAATAACACAACAAACAATAATAACAACATTCAATTGCCAGAAACACCTAATAGTTTGGTGACCACCATGATGGGCCCTACTTCTGGTAACAGCAACAGCAACGATGGAACAAATGTCATCAATGAGACGCCTTCAGAAAATGCTGCTGTTATTTCAAATAACAATAATTACAGTCCATGGTGTGCTAGTACAGGTCATCATCAGCTTCCACTCTCCAATACTTCTCCAATTCATTCCAGTTCTTATAGCTCAGCACATCATCCAACAGCATCACTCTACAGCGCTCATCACAATTTATCATCAACTTTAATTCCCCATCAGAACATTTCTGGTTTCGCTCATCCACATCCAGGTGGAAAAACGTTTGGAATGTCGCAACCTTTCTTATATAATTCATGGTATTAATTTAACTGATAGTTGATTAAAAATTGTTTATAAATTATCATGACACTTTGATTAGATTAAACACCAGGCTTTGTAGTTTTTTAAATATTGTAATTATGTATGTTTAGCATATTTTCAAGAAAAGAAGTATTAAATTTGTAGTTACTTTAATGTTCAATAAATTATCGTTAAAAAATATTTATAAAACTCTTTTAATTCTTGTAAAGTTTCACAGTAGCATAAAGTGATAAAAGAAAGATCAAACTGCGAACCTTAATTAGATTGCGAGAATGACAAATTTCTAGTAAATAAATAAATTTATCGCAAAACATAATTAAATCACCACAAAATTAATTCCCTTGACAACACAGACTTAAAACGTTTAGTTTTAAAGCACGAAATTTATTGATTGAGCTTAACTAATTGTCAATTTAGGAACAGATGATTACGAAAACGTAAAACAAGGTGCAAAATGTTGTCATTATCAGCGAATCCAATTGCCATTAGTGATAGTTTAAATCACCTCAAAGTGTTAATAATTTAATATCCGGATGGTTTATGATAACAAGCTTTGACAAAAGTAATTGATTTTCCTTGAATCAAAATGCAATCATTTTATAACAAGAAAAAGAAGTAAATAAAAAATTTATTTGATGATTCATTTCATCAATTTCAATTTTTATTATTGAAGAATCAGAATCGATCACGTATTAAATTTGTTCTTGTTACTTGAGTTTAATTTAAAATTCGATGATATATATCTGAATATTTTTTTCACTAAATAATTAGAAACAAATGACAAAGCAAGTTTACATTGCTCAAGTCTCTTCATTTCAATCACACAGATATCTACTGTCGAGGGATAACAAAAAAAATATTGGAATTAAAGATCGTATTTCAAAGCTGATCATGAAAAGAGGAAAAAAATATCAAACCAATTTTATTTCATGCTGCCTGCCACTATTGCTCACGATACTGCTACTGCTTTTTCGTCAAGCTGAGTGTTTTAATTAACTTTGCCTTTTCTGAAGCATGCTCTGTGTTCATGTTGTGGTTATCACTTCGTCGGCTTATTTGACTTCAATTTAGTGGCATCGTTTGCTAAAGTAATGAATTGCTCGTAAAAAAATTGAAAACCACTGCAGACTTTAGCAATCCTTTTTGAAAAGACTTCCGACGTGATAGTGAAACTGCAATTAAATATTCCATAACTTCATGTGTATGTTGAAGTTGTTTACATGACTCGATTTCGTTTTGTAAAAACCGCATTTGAATATTATTCGCAGTTCAACAACATGATACTTAACAACAAAGTTTTGAGAAGAAGACTTCATAATAGCTTCAAAAAAATTCACATTCCAATAATGACTCGTAAAGTTTGGTAAAAGAAAAAAAGAAGTGTAAAGAAATTATTGTCTATCCATTAAACTTGCATGATTTTGAATCGCGTTCGTTTATTATTTTGCTTATAGATGTGAAGCAGACAAAACAGTAGCTGATTGAAAATTAGCCGTGAAAGAATTTCTTCACCTTTTCCGTTCATTCATAAATTTGATTTGATTTTTCTCGGTTGTCGAATTTCTCAATTGCTTCATATGGTGTAAGAAAGAAATCAATATTTATGTGGAAAAGAGAACAAAGCATGTTTAAATATATTTTTCATGTAGTTTCTTTTATTTCTAGAAGATTCAATGTTTTGTGTACGTTTTGAAATTTATTTTTTGTTCATTTCAACTTGATGATTAAGCTAAAATATACGACCAAGCTTATGAATGACGCTGAACATTCAGTGGAGGCTTATCGAGTATGATCAAAATAAAGGAATATCTTTTGAAGGATAATTCTTCTTCGATTAAATTTCCTCGAGTTTAAGTCATCTAAACATCTTAAAAAAATTTTCAAATATGAAAGCACCTCAAATGTAAACAATTTAATGAAGTAATTTTCGCTTTCTTAATGCCGCTGTTCTTAAGCTATTCTGTGGTTGTTTTAAACCCACTGATTAGTTCAGCATAATTTACCACACACTCGAAATGAAAACATTTAAGAAACCTTTAAGAAAAAAACTCGAATTTACAGAGATAAAAACGTGTGTGGTCGTAAATATCTTTGAGCATCGTGTTTTGATATATTTTCATAAAAAGACTCGTCACATTTAATAATTCTGATGAAATCTCATTCATCATTTCTCGGATGAAAGCTATAAGGGAAGATTATGACACTTCTAATTCAAGGATCATTAAATAATTGTTGAGAATTCCAAAACAAATTTGATATCATCTTGTTAAGTGGTCCAACAAATATTTACAACCAGAAAGCTGTTGAAAATGAAATGAACGACAAATTTGATATCAAAAGTGCCGAGTAATTATCGATCGATTAATTTTCATAAGCATAATTTTCCAAAAGATTTTAAATGTATGATTAAGGTTTTAATTGAATTAAATTGAATATAAGCTGTTGATATCATTGACATACAAACAGAATTTCAACGAAAAATAAGTCAAAAGGTTGTCATGGGAAAATTTAACTGATCTTAAATTGAATGAGCTGATTACCGTGAAAGATGTTAAAGTTCTTACATGTCGATATTCAATAAAGAAATTGACACCCAAGAGAGTGCAAACAAGCAAACATTTCTAAAATTTCTTCATCACCAACTAAGCAAACTACTGCGAGCGTCTGAAATTGATCTCAATAAATAATGATGCTTGAAGAAGTTGAACACGGAATGTTTTCAGTTCCGCTACTGCTCGTTTCAGCCATTGGTTACACAGTGGCTAGTCAATGAGACGATGGAAGATGAAAAATCTCATCATAATTTCAAATGGCTTGCTGATTCATTCAAAAGTTTACATTTCCCGACGTCTCATCAAACGGAAACTTTTTTTGTAGTTTTTTATGAACGAAATATTTTATTTTAATGTTTTCTACTTGTAACTACAACTTAATGCTTTCTTTCCAACCATCATATGAATGTTTCTAAAGTCAAAAGTTATATTGATAAAGAAACCACTTCTGAACTTTTATTCTCAAAAGTTTTTGTTAAAAAATAATTAATGACTTCTTTTAGGTAATTCATTTCATTTCTCACTCTTTTTTTCGTTGTTCCTTGAACCTTCTGTCAGAAAATTCCGACAGAAGAACCGTTGAAGCATTCGCGTAAATTAATGAAACTATTGAAACTTCACGTTACCCTGAAAGGCGAGAAAGAGAAAATTGAAAAGCGACAGTGTGAAGTGAAACAAGCAATTAATTAAGTTGAAATGAAACATATCGTTTCTGTTTTTTATTCCTTCAATGTCGGTTTATATGAGAAACAAATTAGGTAATTTGATACTTAATTATGACACTCATTATGATGAAAGATAAGAATTCTGAATTTCGTTGAGATTTTTAATGTCGTTATGCTCAAGATTTCCTTCTTTTTATTCCATAATGTATCATCTGTTATTAAAAAAAATTAGACATCATATAAAAAATTTTAAATTCAGTTTGCTGTTAAACAAAAATGAAACTTCAAACTTCTCTCTTTAGTGTGTGTTTGTGAATCACAAACGTCAACCATATTTTTATTGCTTTTCTTTTTGCTCCCTCCCATTGATAATCTTTTTATAGCTTTATTGAATATCTTTCTTTTTTCTTTTCGAGACAGTTAACAATCCTTTTTACAAGATTAAAATATAAATCTACTGAAATAAACATAAACATTTTATGATAGATTAGAGGAGATTAGTAGCAAATCGTTTTAAAAGTTTCATTTTTGGTTTTCTTGTTTCTCTTGTTTATTTCACAAGATTAAAATATCCAAAAAATAATATTTTATGGTAGCAGATTTAAGCAGGTCAAGCTGAAACTTGTAATCAAGGTGACACTGAATAACTTATCTTGATTCTTGATTTTAGTGACCTTGACAAATATTATTAAATACTTTGATCATCCTTGCTATTCAAAATCATTTTCCACTACCTGCTCAGTCTGTCTACTTACAACTTTTAATATTTCATCCCATTTTATTTATTTGAAGTTTCCATTTCGATTTCCAATCAATCAGCTGGAACAAGTCGTTAGAGACAAAAAGGTTTTAGAAATATAAAATCACGTTTTGCGCAACGCTTTCAATATTCTGATGCGGGAATGGTAGACAATAAAAAAGCTAAAAAACTAATTTTTAGGTCGATTTTGAAGCAACAAATTTGTTTATTCACCATTCTTCGTCGTTCTCAATCAATTGTTTTTTAATCAAAGCTTTAAAACAAAAGCTACCTAACCGTACTATTTATTGTCACGTCCTACAATTATTCAAAGCTAGTCAAGCGATGTACAATGAAATGGCTTGCATCTGCAAGGTAGATAAGTTTCCGTTCAATTCAAAATCATCGAAAACTTTTTATTTAGATATTTATTATTAGATACTTTAAGTTTCTTACATGCCTTTCTATTGTTTCTCTCCATAACATACATGCGAACTAAATTGAATGAAGTTTCAATAGATTGTCGATTAAGTAGTTTGTGCCGTTGTATTTCTTCGATCAACATCAATTCAGTCTTTTGTGAATTTTACAAAATGTCTTCTTTCTTGAGTTTGAAAAGAAAATTGTCTTGATAATTTCACAATAAATAATTGAGTAACTATTCTTTTGAGTATTGAACGAACAGATGAAAGGTTAATTAAACTTACTTAATATTAAATAATTTTTCACAAATTTACTTCATTAATCATTATAAGAATGAACGATCGGAAACTTTAACTTGAATAGAAAGGAAGTTATTTATTGATTGCCTAATATTGAGCGGAAACTTTTCTCTATTTGCAATATGTTATATAAATATTTCCACTTAATAAATCTAAAAGATCCTCTTGACATTCATCATAAAAAAATTATCGACTCCGAGATATTGGTAGCAATTTGACAATCATAAATAATTATCTCATTAAGAAAATTTAAATGGAATACCAACATATTTAATTAAACCTTTGTTAAGCTCAATATCGGAGTTGACTCCACCTTTTTCCCATCACACACAAGCCAACATTAGAAAGAGAAAAATATATTTTAGAAGAAAATTTGTCTTCTCGTATTTTAAGAACGCATAAAAATTATAGGAAAGTTTTGAAATTTTTATGTTGTTCGATAAAAATTACAAAGCAATTGATGAGATCTTTTTAAACTATTTTTTTAAATCTCACCTTCAATATTTTTGTTCCAAGTAAAAGAAATAATTCATGAACTTAATAAAGCTCAATGAAAAGTATGATCACAATAAGCTTAAGTTTGAAAGCTTATTTCAAATCAAATTTATCAGTTTTATGTCTGTTAAACACTTTTGATCAGCAAACTTGTTAACGTTAATTTAATTTACGTAGGCCCCACTTTATATTTGTTTCCAAGCAAATGACTAACAAATTAAATGAAACATCTCTAGATTACTTATTTTTATTGCATTTTAATGTCATTTGAGTACATCATTTGAAATTGTAGATTTCTTTCATGCAATGAGTAGCGAAGAATTATAAAATTCAAAACAATTTCAAACGGCAGTAGAATAAGTTGTGCACATTGAATTATAAAACCAATTCGATGTAACATATCTTGAAGTGATATTAAAAGATAGATGTGAATTGGAAGCTCGATGAAAGTTGTGAGGATAAGAAATCCGGCAATATCAAGAACCTGAAAATTGTATTAAAGAAATTTCATTTTAAATAATTTTCAAATTCTTCAACTCACATTGTTTTTGATATTTCCAGAATATCCTAAATATAATCTTAAAGTTTCCATAGGGAACCCAATAGCAAAGCATATTAAAGGAAAATTTAGTTCCAGAAGGAATGATGATTGGAAGTAAAATAGAATGAAGCAAGACAAGATCCATGCGATACTCATGAAGATATTGACGAACAAGAAAATTTGATTTGCAAGTTTTAATTGATAATTAGACTCCTTTACCCACATTTTTATTAATTTAAAATTTCAGTAAATTGAAATTCTTTTAATATTTACACAAAATCAACATGAGTTTATGTTTTGTTAGTTTATTGTTGCTAGGCAACCAGCATAGCAACATGCATTCGAAGATACACAGAAAAGTTGATGATTTGCTTGTCTTTTCAGTATCAAAATAAAAAGTTATTAATGATAAATAAATGAATGTTCAGCCTTCTAATTCAAGACTTTTTATTTATAATATTTATAAGAATATCAACTAATGATTGTCAAAAAAATATTTCAACTAAATTATGTGCAAATTTATTTCGGACATACTGACCTAAAATCATTGACCTCATGCTTAACTTTTTCGATTTCAAAATTTCATATTATTCGTTTTATTTCATTAACATTTCGTGACTAACTCTCACATGCATTATTGAAATTCGAATCTTTAAATTATTGATGGCGCTAAGTCATTAAATGGAGTATAAGATTGGTCGAGGTCAATTGTTAGTTTGGAAGATTGTTGTGTTTAGTTGATCTACGAGGGCGGTTGGATTATTTTTTTAATTGTACGTTTGTTTTTATGATCGGAAATTTGCATATTTTATAATTATATTACTTTCTGGTCTCAAATACTAAATTATCTTTAATGGGTTAATTAATGAGTCAACACCTTAATGACAGGAGAATTGATTGCTGATTTGGTTTTGCGAATTCTTTTTTTTCGTTATCTTTTTCGATGGTCATTTAGAGAATGTCATAAAATCATCTTCCCAACAATCATTGAATTCCTTTATTGGTGAATTTCTTTCGAATACATTTTCTAAAATGAAGTTAGTTAACCGGTTAGCGGATTATTGATTGTCATCAAAATTTAATTTCTGTCATTTGATGCGATCGATCGAACAAGATAACTAACAGTAGCTGAAAAAATTGAAATAAATCAGAATCGATTAAGCGAAATGACTTTATTTCTTGATGACAACATTATTTATTCGTCAACAAGTGATCAATTATCCGGGATGAAGTCCGGGAAAGAAACTTCAGCTTAAGGTTGAACCAATAAAATTTTATTATAGTTTCAAAGACGTGAGTCGATGTGAGAAAATTTCCAACGTCCTACAAGATTGAATCACTTTTTATTCTCGAAGTTTAGTATAATTTTCATACTCGAAACTTTTGAAATAGATAATTGATGTCACATCATGTGACTCATTACATTTCGAACTTGTTGTGTAAGGTCTACTGACACTAAAGCAAGCATAAGGCTGTTGAACTTGAAGTTTGAAGAAACTTACATTTGAATAAATTAGGGTTTAGATGAAGAATTTAAATTAAGAAACTCATCGTCTCATTTGCATACATTTAATAAAAGTCTAATCATGCTTTAAAGTCATTTCAATGAGCTTCATGTGGAGCCGCTAGCATTTACCGGTAATATCAATTACTTAAAAGTCCTTCCAGTATTACACAATTATTCTACAAAACAAACATCTGACTGGTTTACTCATTGGCGATCATCACGCGAATATTGATTTTTCGACTCATGCTGCTGTTCATCATTTTATTACCTGAAGGGGATTTGTGTTATTAACAATACTTCAGTGAAACAGAAACAATGCTTAAACGTTTCAGCGGCACCATTGAGTGCAGTGGATATATCTATTGAAATGAAATCTATTCAACATCAAAATTCTTTTATAGTCATATTATTTATATACTTAACACATTCCGCTGGCTGTTTGATGTCTTAAAAATTAGATGATGCAAATAATAAACCGTGTTCATAAATATTTTGCTTTCGTCGTTGTTTTACTATAAATTGGAAGTTGTTTCTGTCATATTATGAGCATCAAGAGCAATTCGCGTTTAAATTGTTTTTCATTTAACCTCGTGGAAAACCATCGTGCATTCGATAGTTAAAGAAGTTTGCAATCTGTGTCATATTTTAAATAATTTCAAAGTGAGTTCATTTTTTCAATCGATTGACTCTTTGAAATTCCATCAAAGAAATAATCGCAAACAGAGCTCGAAATCTTCAGAAATGTAATCGGAATTTGTTTCCTAAATTAATGACCATCGGAATTATTTTAAATTTTTCTCTTTGGATAAATTGGAAATTGGAATTTGGATAGAAAATTATCAGAGTTTAAATGGAAGGAATGCAAATTCCAAGACCTGATTAATTTTGTCGCATGTTATTTAAATCTCTTATTAAACCTTTGGTGGTAAGACGATAACAATCTTCAATTATAATTACTTGCAATTTCTAAACACGAAGACACAAAATCTTGTGCAATATCTTTGTTTATAGTATTTACAGTGGTCAATGAATTTATATGGAAGCTGAAAACGAAAAGATGTTGCTGCAGTTTATGTGGCATTTAAGTAAGTGATCGTTAGGTAAAACTTTATCTTGACTTACAAGACATTTTAATTCATTCCAAGGAACTAAATTCCAATTGAATTTAGACGAAAGCAAAAAACATTAACATTTCATTCACCTAATCGTTATGTTATTAGTTTGATGAGATTTAACTGTTTCTGGTGCACACCCATCTCGAAAAACGATTCCAATTATTCAAGCAGTTCATGTCGATTATAAAAACATACGCTACGACCTTCAAATATGTTCGAGAAAAGCTTTTTTTTCTTACAGCTTCTCTTTACTTTTATAAATTGTTCTCTCTTGAGCAACAATGCGCGACGCTATTGATGACGATGACGATGTTAGTAGGAATTAATCCAATGTCTCACTTAAGTATAACTTTAAGAATTTTGAATTTCCTGAAATCTTTTGTACTGCATCATTAAGTGATTCACGATTCTTCGATGATACCTTTTACCGACGTCACTTCTCAAGTACCTAAAGTGTTGGAAAATTTTTTAAATAGACTAAAATTGCGTAGAAGTTGCGGTTACTTATTAAGTCACTTTTTGATGTTTATGTTCATCTCAACCCATGTTAGAAAAAAAATTGACATAGAGATTGAATGTCTAGCGAAAAAAATGAATTTGCAATGAGTTTACAATGTCAAATAACAAAGTCTGGAAGCATAAAAACGTAATGAGTTCGTAAATCAATTTATGACCTTTTGCGAAACTTTTAAGAGTCGTCAGTAGTTTGTTTCTTTTTTTTATAAAGACGATTTTTATCGCTTGTTAATATTTTTGTAGCATAAGAAAAGTTATTAATGAGATTACGTATCATCACATTACAAATTATAAAGTTAAAGATTGCTATATACAACACAATTGAGGAATCAGGTTTCCAGCTGCAGTTGTAGCTTCAATCAAAAGTGTAGATTTCATCACGGTTGGAAGTCTTTTGGGACATGATTACATATGTTTTATGTTTACCTATTTTGCTTGCTTTTAAATATCATTTTACGTCTTGTACTAATGATTGATAGAAAGTAATATATTAAAGGAATTTTGCATCTGATTTAAAACCTTTTTTGAATGGCTAAGCATTTGAATATGAATACTTTATGGAGAAACTTTAAGTCTTTTGAATTTTGTTTTGAAAGGATCGATGTTTTCAAACATCTCAATAAATAAAAATAACTGAATAGTCACGAAGAATATACTTAGGAGTAATCAGGTTAAAGTTATAAATAATCTGCTCATGAGCATGAAAAACGATCTCATAACTGATTGAACACAACACAGCTTGAAGCAGAATAATTTTGCAATTCGACACCGCACACTACAATGATAATTCTCGACGCGTGTTAATTGAATTTATAGCCATAATTAATGTGTATGTATATTCTTCTGTTATTTACTTATAATCTTTGCGTAAGAAGCCGATGAAAAGTACCAACATTTGATTTAATTGATTGAGCAAATTAATTTGTCGTTTAGGTCTTTTTCTCCGCTTTATGATTTAATTGGGTCGCTAATGTGCGTAATCTACAGAGATTAAAGTAACTTTGTAAGTTTATGTCATCATAAAATGTCTGAAAATGTTTATTTTTATTTCACTGTTTCATTCTGTTTAGCCAAGTCAGAGGTAATTAAATCGTTAATTGCAGTCACAGATGAATGCACTTAAACACAGCTTGTTAAGATGAAATCGAAATTTCATGACAATTTGAAATGCAATCTGATTAAAAGCACCTTGAACTTTAACTTATTAATAAAGACGTCTTCATACATATATTCATTGAGAGTGAAACGTTTCCGCCCTAAATTTTATAGGAATATTCCGTTTGGTAAGAGACACATCACATTCCACTCAATCATCAATAATTCATAATATAAATTCATTGCATTGGAAGTCACCCTGCGATCTTCTATTGAAATATTTTTCTGTAGACTATTAAAGCCCACGACAAGTTGTAAAATTGTTGTGCGTTATGCAACTGAAACGAAATAGTTTTATGAGATTCGATCTATTATTGAAATGTGAATTCTTTATTCACCTTTTGTGCTGCGAAATTGTGTTAATCTGAATCACTAATCATCTTGGCAGAAAATTTATGGTTCTCTCGTTAAACATACTGAATGAATAGCGATGCTGAAGTTGTTTTATTTCAAACTCACACGAGAGTTGTTCAAACATTATAATTTTTTTTTTTTTTTTTTTCAAAGTCAANAGTCGGAAGGTCCATGGACAGTCGGAAGGTCCATAGACAGTCGGAAGGTCCATGGACAGTCGGAAGGTCCATGGACAGTCGGAAGGTCCATGGACAGTCGGAAGTTCCATGGACAGTCGGAAGGTCCATGGACAGTCGGAAGGTCCATGGACAGTCGGAAGGTCCATGGACAGTCGGAAGGTTCATGGACAGTCGGAAGGTCCATGGACAGTCGGAAGGTCGGAAAGTCCATGGACAGTCGGAAGGTCCATGGACAGTCAGAAGGTCCACCATATGTATCTTGAAACTCCATACCGGCCGGAGTAACTTAAAATTATGCGTTAGCATAATTTGAAGCTCCCCATGTGGAGCTTCCCCATCTCCAATTTTTTTTTTTTTTTTTCGCAAAGTCAACATCCAAAAAGGCGACAAAATCAGATGAACAAGAGTGTTCAATGCTAAAGTAATTAATCTAGCTTGAATGCATTTTTGACATTAAAATAATTTCCATATATAATGTCAACGCCGTCATCATAATTGCATTTTAATTGCACAACTTTTTTTTCACACATAAACATTTGCATTTTCCTCTTGTCTCGATATTTTTTTCTATTTGTATCTTGAAGACACTCATTCAAAGGTTACCAATAAGTTAGTTAGTTAGCATATTTATGCCTCCTATTCATCTTCTTTCTTTACTTGAATACTTTCAATACAATCTCTTTACGGCAGCATGTCCAAGCTTGAGCATCTGGCATAGATAGGATCCTAGGAATAACATACATGAAAACATAAATGTTTCTCGATCTCATCGGTTGTGCAAACAAACAGACGTTACATTGACAAGATTCATGTTTAGCAACTTTGAACTCGATGGGAAGCTGAATTAATTTCAAAACATCTCAGTTAGATTTATGAATCATTTCAACTGGTCTTATGAGTCGTAATTACGATAATAAAATCTTTGAATAAAAGTCATTTTAAGTATCTAATAAATGAAATTAACATTAAACATCAAATTGCTTTCTTATCTATTTATTTGCTCGAAGAAATATCTTTATCGTTCAGTTGTTGATGTTTAATTTCTTAATCTCATCGGCATCACTCTTTTGTTTTTTCTTCTTTACTACTTATTTGATTTGCTTTGAACGACTGCAACAATGATGATTTATAGCTTACAGTATCGTGGGATTCTCTTCGCTAATTGTTTGTATTCAAAGTCTGTTTGAAAATAAAGTTTGTGTAGTCTTGAAATGTTATGCACCTTTTATGACTCTTTAAATTTCGCGTTGTCTCGGTCAAATGTGTTCATCTTGAAACAGAATTTGTTGTGATGTTAAAACAAAAACAACATTTAACACTTCTCCCCACATTTCGAATGAAATAATTCAATCTGCGTAAAGTCATTGGACGATGCAGCCAAATTTGGTAGACAACCAGAAAGAACCATCAACGGAATGTCAATGACACTGGTTTGATGATGATCATGAACATTCAATCGTTTTTCAAGTGTTTCAAACAATCAATTTTTATATTTTCTAATCATTTTCCCCACGCATAAGATTTCTTCTTTTTATGTTCATTTGAACTGTTGTTACTCAATTTATTTCCCCCTCACATCAATCATTTAAAGAGAACACGATAAAAAAAATTTATGAAAGAAAAGTTTTTATTGCGACAAAGGCAAAGCTTAATATCTTTATTGTGTGGTGTTCCGCAGCATTTAAATGCTTTCAATTTTGCGAATCTCGATACTAAAGATGGAAATTAATGAAGTAATCAATTACATTTCGGTTTTTTTTTGTTTTATTTATGTCTGTCTTCTTCCGGAAGTCAATTAAATTCCCAATTTGTATCTTGTAACTATTCGCACACTCGCAATTTGGACGCTTTTTCATCGCTCCATCAACCGGCGTAAAAAATAAAACAAATTACGATGTGAAGGTCGAAGCCACACACTTCAAATCTTAATCGACATAGCGCAATTATACTTATGATGTGTGTCTCTGATGTTGACGTAGTTATGTGTCGACGTATGATGCTGATGTTTTGATCACAATGAGAATTAGAATAGACAATAAATCAACATAATTACATTGATTTTATCTCAAAACATGGAATTTTTAATCATTTTAAGATCAACAATAATAAAAACAATCAATGTCACGTTCCTTCAGGTTTACTTCCATAAGTATTTAAATCTAATTTGAATATGTCATGACAAAATATATTCAAGACGAATGGAATAAATTTCAAAATGTTTTGATGGGTGACACGAATCTCCATGGCTTGATTTCCAATGGCTCTAAAATCTGTTTTATGACGATTTGTTCCCGGGAATAGGCTGGAAATAAAGGCGGGTGGGCTCCCATTAACAATATTAGATTTGTTTTATAAATATTGTCGTGAGACGGATTTCTGAAACTATTATGAATAAAAAAAGAATCTGGGAAGAGTCATTGACATATTCCACGAATCTTTCCTTACATAGCGTATTATTTTATTTTATTTTTTGCAACCGGATCTTTTTGTTTCGCGTTTTCATAAGTTCATCGTAAACACGACAACATGTATGAGAATTTTATTCAGTTCGCTGAAGCACAATAATTGAATAAAAATGTTTCGGGAGATTATTGTAGATTCGTTATTGTTCTCGTAAATTTGGTCATTTGGTCAGAGGATGTAGTCACACAAAAGGCTGCGAATGCTAGAAGTTGACGCCGCTGGCAAAAGCGTTAATAGAAATTCCAGACATGATTATTTGGCGACCAATTACATCCGCATAACAGAACCTTTTTTTGTGTTGATGTCTCTTTAAGCTGGCGTTAAATTAAAATTAAACGTTAATTCAATTTTTCGAATATTATTTTGAATGAAACGTTTGATGGCACTTTAAGATTGCTTTTAAAGTTCATTGATTTCAAATTGAATTGCTTTTGAGTATGTTGACTGTCCGAATAATTTTTATGCAATATGAATGAAGAAAAAACGTTTTTAATTTGCATTACTGTCTTAATTCAGAAGCTGCAACATCATACTTACACTTGAATCATCAAACTGGAATTATCCGCAACTAGGAAAGCATTTGCATTGACATCTAAAATGAATCATTAATCTGTGATTGCAAATATTCGGTAGAAATCGGATCAAGGCACGTTAACGTCCAATAAGCTTTATATCATCATTCAATTCACATTACTTAAGAGTTGATTTTTAATTAATTCACTGATCATCGTCATCGATGTCGGTTTCAGTGATATTTCACGACATTGATGCTCGTGGCTTGTGACTTCAATTGCCACTCATCGCAAAGAAAGTCAGAAATTTTTTAATTGACTCGTGAGTTAGTTGTGTCTTTTTACCCAGTTAATTCAATAACCTTGCGCTCATCATCTTTGGACAGCCGTATTTAATGTGGCAGTTCATACGTTTACTTAATTTCATTTCAGTTTAATCTCGCCATGACAAAAACGAAGTGTAATCGGTAACTTGTAACTTGAAACCAGAAATGATCCCAATGCTTTGGATAATGGAACAACCAACCTTCATATGGCCGGTTTTTTAATTACCTCGTAATTTTCAAAGTGTTTATGTAGGTGTTCTTAAGCTCTCCTTTGGTAATCGTTAATGGATTCATTGTGACTTAAATTCTATTGATTGATGCTAATTGAAGAACCTTCTGTTCTTTTTCTAGTTCAGGGAACGGGACTTATAGGAAAGTCGAGGGTGTACAAAGTATTCGTTTGATTGATTAAACAAACGTCATCGACATTACATTGACATCCTTTTCTATTCACCTATTGAAGTCTCTTGTTTTTCTTCGCTTCTCTCGTTGACTCTCTCCATTTTTCAAAAGGCACTTCGCATATTCCGATGTAGAAAAAATATCATTCGGCAAACTGCCGACCTCAGACATCTAAGAAAGAAGGAGTCGCTTTGAGTAGATTATCGTCATCAACACACGTGCATTGAAGTAGAAAATTGTTTAGTTAAATTTTTTTCTTTCCTTTGAGCGAACAAAAGAAGTTCATCGAGAGAAGCTCGAGTGTACTGTGATGTTATAGAGTGCGGGAGAGCGAGTCGCTTAATAAATTTTATACATTTCAAAATAGCAATGGAAAAATGAAAAGAGAAAAAAGAAAAAAAAATTGCTTTTCAAGCATAATAAGTATCGTAGAAACGCATCTGCTTTATAAGACTTCGACTCAGAAAATCAGCTGCTCATTACTGCGCAGATCTTAAACAAGTCACAAGTATCCAGTTTAAGTCGGGATATAAAAATATTAAAGTGTTGTAAATAACATTTCGTCAGTGTAAAATAACATTTACAAAAAAGAGTTTTAAATAATTTCGAAATGTAAGCAGATTTTTATATAAAAAATATTTTTTAAAGAAATTTAATTCATGCAATTCATCTAAAACTTTATTTCGTTTAATTCGTCCTTTCATTCTATCGGGTGATAAGTTCAGTGCTAAAGTTAAGTGGATTTCCTTATGTCAAAAAAATGACCTTTTTTTAATGAAATCAATAAAATATAAACAATGTATAAACTTCTGTCGCCTTTTAGCGTAATCCTACAGCCTGAGAAATAAAACTCGTGACTTAATAAATCATGATCAAATAAAAAATGTCTTATCGGTTGGAGAAAAAAGAATTCAAAAACAAATTGAACTTTATTGTTAATGATCTACATAATGTAGGCTTCGCTCAGAATCGGATTAAAAATCATTTTTCAAGTGCCAATGAAAAAAAAAAGAAGCAAAAAAAGAATAAGAAAGAATTTAATTCTTTTGTTGTGCAAAGCAGAAATTTTATTTCTCAGTTGTGTAAAGAGAAGTGCCATTGAAAGTCTCGTTTTTAATTGAAAATCATTTTCAAGGACTCAACGATTATCATTGAACCGTAAAATATTTATTTTTGCGATTGTTTTCAACTTTCTAAATATTTGTATAAAAAGGAATGAAAATGCAAAAAAAAAGACCGCACTTGTGTCTTCAGTTGTCATTGGCTTTATCAAAGAGAAGAAATCTCAACACTTAAACTGAGATATAAAAAGCTAATCCTCTTGAAGAGATTCGAATTCAAATTTATCAATTGAAGTGTAAAAAAAGTGTCAAAGTTCATGTTTAAATAGTCGCTTATTTCGCAAATAACAATCAATTGCGAAGAGTTAGACCACGACTCGTCCCTCCCCATTTCGCCTATTTTCTTTATATGTTGTTTTTAGTGGCCACTTTTGTCAATAAATTCCAACACTCATCAAATATAAAAGTTTATTGTTGCATGAAATTTTTAATGTCTGCTTGGATAATTGTAAAAATAACATAAAAGCAAGAAAAAGAAAAATTAATCGAACAAATTAGATGCAAAAACTTGAACCTAATTTGCATTTCATTTTATAGATGAACGTGTTTTTGGCCTTCACGTTGGGTCTCATTTCGTTGACGATTGTCAAAGCTGATGTGAGTCATTTACAACAGAATTCTCGCCAACATTCGGGAACGACTTTAGTTGCCAATAATGGGCAGCTTGTGAAACAGTCATTTAATCAAAATGGTGACGCTACCTATTCCAGTCATTCATTTGACGCTGGTAACAAACAAAATTCTAAGTCTCGCTATTGGTGGATGAACACTGAAACATTACCACAAAACAATGCACGAAACTATTTTTCTGCCTCGGGATGTGGTGGGTGTGCAAGCCGCTCATTGAACATTAAACACAATCCACAACATGCTACCACACAAAACAATGCATTTAGTCAGAATTCATTCATAAATGTCAAACAAAATCCGTCATCGTTTTCTTCATTCAATGCTATACCAAAAGCTTCTGTTTCAGGATCAGCACCACAATCTACAGTTTGCTTCGATTCCGGTTCAGCTTGCGTTTCAGCCAAGTTCTGTTACAATGGATTTATTGATCAAATAGCAGAGCACAAAGCTGTTCGTAGTTCGGTAAGTAAATGTCGACATTTTTGTACAGGGACAAAACGACACATCAGCATCAAAACTGGTAAACATATTCAGACTTCAACCTACTAAAAGTAGCAAGCAAGAAAGCAAACGCCTTGCGAGAAACCGAAAAGTATTTTCTTCAATTTCGCTTTTAATGAGCTAAAAAAACTATTAAGTTGAAAAGGTTAAATGTCTGAGTTCTACATTGTATAGTAGCATCGTTTGTTTGCACCACAAAGCAAAGCAAGTGGCGACTTTGGCTCGAAGCTATTTCCATTTTAGCAACATATTGAATCGTCGTCGTTGCGCTTTCAATAATTTTTACTTCAATGACGACACATATATACAAATTATGTGACAAAGAAATGCAAAATTTTATAGCTTTTTATGCGGGCGACGTCATTAATTTTAATGATTCAATCATCGTAAACTTAAAGGTTCATAAAAAGTAATAAATATTAGGTTACGAAATGTTTAATTTGTCCCAGAAAGCGTCCGTTAAGCAAATTTCAAGGATGAGGTCACCGAAGTCGCTTAATGTAATTTTCTACTCTATTCTTCTTCTTTAATGCAATTTAAGATGATTGCGGCACATTAAAAAGTGTAAAATTTCCAAAAATTAGATCGTGATCATTCACATTTTGAACAATGCAAAACATTCTTCACGATTGATGATCATTTTTTCCTTCTATTTACAATTACCTTGATTTAACATTCCATGAAATTCAAATTTTAATTCATCAAACTCATTTTTTTTTTACTTGTTCACAGTCAGGAAAATGTTACGCACCTGAAGTGTGTTGTCGCTTCGCAATAAGGCGAAGTGCTCCCTACAGTCAAGACAACTCAGTGTCAGCAGCTGAGTCAACATCAGAGATATTAACGAAGGAAGGATACGTCGTGAGAAAGCCAAGCAATCAATATTTACCGAGTTACCCTGAGTTTAACCCAGCGCCATCAAATGATCAAGAAACATTCATTAAACCATCAACACAACCACCACCCCCACCCCCACGAACGCAACCACCAACACAAAGACCAACTCAAAGGCCTACTCAAAGACCAACTCAAAGACCTACAACCCAAAGACCACCATACCAACCACAGCCTTCAGATAATCGACCAGTTACATTTGAACCTGCACCAGTAATCATTCCTGTCGGTTGTTCAGCTGCCATGAATTGCACAAATATTCAATACTGCACCCAAAACGGAGTAATCTCGAAAACGCCCGTCACTCTTACACCTCAACAGGAAATGTTCCGTGTTCCAATGACTGATTGTCGTCATCCGGAAACAAATGAAGTCGGAAAGTGTTGTCGCGATCCAGATTATGTTGATCCATGGCCAGTTGGTCGTACCGGTCAATATGTGCCAGAAGAGATTAATGCTGCCTTTGACAGTGGAGCATATAAATCTGAGCCCAGTGGTGATGTTGCAGTTCGCGTGAAGCCAGACGGTTACGTCGTCCCACAGCCATCAAACAATCAAGCACGATTGTATCTGCCGCCTAGCCCGAACCGAATTTAATTTAGTGTGTAACTTAATGCCATCAATTCTTCGTTTCATTTTCATTTGAACAACAACGTCATAAAACTATTTCGTTGCAAAATTTTTTGCTAGCTTTTACGATACGAGAGTTTTTCCATGATGCAACATGGATCGTCAGCTGTGATAATTTTAATCATTGAAAATGTGAGTTCTGTTTCTCTACTCTGACACCATGTGATAAATGACTCCGTTCGTGTTTAATCTTTCTCTATTACTCTTTTTTTTTTCTTTTTTTCGCCATGGATCATGTCACGATTTACATTAAACGAAAATTTTTCCTCGTCGCATTTCATAAACAAGCGAAGAAGACGAAGAAATAAAAAATCTTTTATCATTTTTCATAAATAAATTCTTTCAGCATGATGAAATAAAAATGTTTTTTAATATTAAAAGAAGAAATAAAATAAAATCATGAAAGTAATAACGAATCAGTATTGTTTTCAAATAAAAATGGTTTTTTATATAAATAAAATTACGTGATGAGAATTACGCAATGACAATAAATAACTTTTTTTTTGTGAGCCCTTGATGACGAGTTTAAATTTTTATTTAACGTTTTGGTGATTACCCGAAATAACAAGTGCTTTGATGACACATTCATAATTGAAGATATTTTTCAGTCAACCTTTCCAATGATTTTAGCCTTTAACTTACTCAAAAGGCATGTCGTTAGAGAGGATCGGGAATTTTACTGATTAACTTGCTCTTGCTGTGAACTTCTTGAAGTTATTGAGCGTTCATGCGATAAGTAAACTTAAAACGGGAAGAAAAGAGGCAATTTTATTTTTATCTCTGACGAACATATCAAGATGTGGTTAAGAGTTTGTTGACTTACCCATTCACTTCCTTATTACAAATCTACGCATTAACTGGTTGAACTCCCTCAACATCAGCATGATAGTCACACTCCGGTTTTAAATATTAGACAGCATGGAATAAAAAATCTTCAATAATCTGCCTTCGGCTTCATGTCAAAGAACTGTTAAATATGTCAGAAGCTTTATATCTGTTCGTTAATCATCAATGACTTTGCTTGCTTGTCGAAAATAATGAAGAATTAGTTCTAATGACATTTACTTGACACTTGGAACTTTTTTGGTTCTTGTTTACTTTTGTCTCGACACCACACCGTCTTAGGTTTCGTTTGGATTTTTTTTTGTGAATATTTTTCAACTCGAAATTAAAGTCGTGCGGTGACAATAATTGGCGGAATAAATAATGAATCATAAATGCTTGTTCCTCAATTTATTATTTGTCATTTAGGCTAAACCAGCTAACTAACAACGTCATAAATTATGGTCAGAACAACTTAATCATGCACGAGCACACAAGAAAGATTTGAATCAATGAAAATTACTTATGGTCAAATATGAAATTCATTCACAAATCTGGAAATCAGTTTCATAATAAATAAATGCTTTTATCCATTTTGATGGCTCCACATATAATTTATAAGCTTATGAAATAATCAAAGTTCAGCAAAGGTCATCAGTTCGATCAAGTGCAATCAACAATCAATTTGGAAAAACTTTATTAAATCGCATTAATGATGTAATAATAGTAAAACACCAAAAATTGATCCAAACGTCAACAGATTACAGATTCATAGATTTATGATTTACAAATTAATTTCGTCATAAAATGATTTACCTGTCTGTATTTAAACGCATATGTTGGATATCAAGATGTTATTCTAAATGGTGGAACAAATTAACAAGCTTGTGAAAAATCGTCGATCATAAAACGATTTTTTGTTTCTTTAAGATGAAAACATTTTTTAAAGATTTTTTTTAATTAGACTATCAGAAATATAACTTTACATAACGTTTTTGTTGTTGATCCCAACAAAGGCTTTGTTGATGTCGAAAGGCCAAAAAGGAATTAACAATGCTGTTAAAATGATGGGATTTGTCATGATGATTAACTGGAATAAGCAACAACGGTTAGCTTTGGATATCCATTGAGTTTTTTAAAAAATGTGGATAAGCATTTTCATTCGATGGAACTATAGTTTACGCCCAATTCAAAAGCAGCAGCAGCAACAGCAATCATAATATATTATGACATCAAAATCTTTTATCAATTTTCGCAAAATTGGGATAATTGCGGATTTTTTATTAACCTCAGCCCCTATCGCAGCTTTACGTCGCTACCAACAGCTTTCCTCCAATTTAATCTTTCCTAATCTTTTGTCATTTCTTTAACCCAGAAAGCTGCCGATATTTATCAACTTAAGTTACAGCCTGTAGCAGACATAATCTGGCAATAAATTGTAAGCTGTTCACGCGAGCACATCTTCATAAAATTAAGACGTCATCAAAGTCGAAGTCATAAAATTCTGGTTTATTTAGTTCTGCTGCGCTTTTTATACACGAGTAGCAAAGTTCAATCAACAATTGATCAATCGGGGATTATCACAAAGGTTTTAAAAATAAGTTAAAAGAAAAGACCAAACATCAAAATTACGGTGATCAAGCTGAGAAAATTTATTGCGAATTTATGAAATGTTCAATTACAAGTTATTGCTTACTTGTGCCCGAAAAATAAATGAAGAAAAAAAGACGTCAAGAGAAAGAGTTATGATTGTTGCTATCGATATTTTATGGTTATTAAGCATTAAACTATTCTCATCGCATTCATGGGGTTGGCAGGAGATAGATGAATATAAATTTAATCGTCAATTGCATAACATTAAACACTTCTTCGAAGCTTCATTCGTATCTGACTTTAAGCGCAACAACGAATACGATCCCGTTGGACTAAAATCGCTTTCGTGCTAAGCGTTATAATAAAAATAATATATGAAGGAATTCATGATTCATTCAGAACGCGCAGTAAATATTCTATGGTGTTCATTTCATCATTAGGAACAGCTTCATCGGGTTCAATAGAAACAGCAGTAACTTTTTCTTTGTTTAGAAGTGTCAATGTCCGTAACAACAAGTCTTAACCGGAGCTACAACTTTAACGGTTTCATCCTTTTCATCGTCAAGGTCGGGTCAATAAATCAAAGTCGCGAAGTTGAAACAACAAAGCATGAAAGAGGAAGATTTGTAGCATAAATGTGGAACGAATTCGAGATTAACTCTGCTAGTTTTTTTTTGTCTTGGAACGAGAGATGCGACGAAAGGGAAGAAGTATAATTCATGTTAATAGCAATTTAAAATCAATTCATTTAATACCTCAAGCTTCGCTCGTTATTGCATTAAACCTCAATTAAACGATACACCATGTGACAATGAAACATAAATTTCGACGATAAAATTGAGCAATCACATTCAACTGAGCAGTTAATTTTCGCAAATAAACCAACATGAATTTTCTTTTCCATGGAATTGTCTGTATAGATGGATCAATAATTGAGGCTTAAGTTTCATTCAAATTGAAGTTTTGCCATCACAAAGGTGACCACACTTTTCCTGATTCCGTACATGATTTTGCGGAAAAAGAAAAAAGCAAACAACTTAATGAGGTTTTAAGTCTTTCAACTTAAAGTACTTAAAATTATATCTCCAGCTTCCTGAGGTTCTCTTTCAATGGTTCTCAGCATGAAATGTAATCCCCAAACCTCTCATCAACGTCAATCATTGTCTAAGAAGGAAGAAGACGAAAATTGGGTCAACATGACTGGCAACATTTGAATGCATACAGCAATTGGAATTTGAAATGCGTTGCAATTACATTAAAAAGCTTGAAGAAATTGTGAAAGGGGTCAAAAGACTGACACCAAACTTCGGTTTAGGTTTTCAACATCAACTGGTTTGAACATTATTGATTAACAATGAATGGCACGTCATAGTTATGATATAAAAAGTTGACTTTTAATTTGAAGGGACAACAAGACTTTCGTTTTTTTTAATCCAAACCTTAATCGGATTAAGAAAACCTAAAGACCCAAATCTACCGGTTAAAAACAAAATTTTTCACACAAATTTCCAAGATTTGCTCTGCTGTCATCTGCTTGTTGAACATGAATAACGAAATCACAAAACGAAAATGTCTTCACAAATAGATTTTCACTTCTCAACATAACACAATGCCAATGAAGTGTCGATTGACGTAGATCGCTTCGTGTCACTTCATTAAGAGAGGCACACAAAAAATAAATAAAAGAAACAACAATTTAATTAACCTTGATGAATCACAAAATCAGATCAACAAGAAACGATGCTGACCTAACACTGTATTATGGAGATTAACGAGCTATTTTCAAGCGGGGGCAAGACATGAGTCGTAAGCGAGTAAGACAGTGGAAAGAGATTTTACTTTGCAAGTCCTTGAAATTATATTTTGCGAAAACAATAAAAAAGCATTTGCGTTTTCACCTCGCTTATACTTACTTATATTTTATTTTGTTTCTCCACGGTTCCATTGATTTAATTCTGTGGACGACATGTAAAAGCCTTTTTTTATTGAGAAACAATTGGCACTTCCATTGTGTGTCGTTTAAAACACGATACAGCTCTCATTTCTTCTCATTAAACCCCATTTCGAATGCACATCAGAGACAGAAAAGTGCATATGCACGTTGCTTAATACTCACCAATTGCAAATGAAATTTTCGATTTTTTAAACAATTCCGAAAGCAAAGATCTTTTTTTTTCATTTCGTTTTGACATTCACTTCAATACATATGCCTGACATAATAATTATGATTGAACTTTGTCAGGTTGTTTCTTGAGACCCAATCAAATCAGTTTAATGACTGGGCAGGGGTGTTGCCGGGTGATAATTAAACATAATAACCATGCGGAAAAGTTTAAAAAGATCAATAAAATTAAAGACCTAAAGACGCTTCGGTTGCATTTAATTATCGTGTTTTTATTATTCACTTAAACCTTTTTTTAAAGAACATAAAATGTTTGTTTAAAACTGTTGTATGAGTTTTGCTTTCAAAGAAAAGCGACAGAACAGAATAGTAGTAAACAGTGTTTAAAATTAGTAGTCAAGTTCTTACAATCTTAATCTTCAATCTCTTGCGAAAATGTTGAATTCCATTATGGAAACGAATTATCATATCATAAATGATCAGACATGAATTACGAAATTATTTAAATGAATTTTCGTAACAGAAGTCAAAAACCTTTGAAGATATAAACGCATAAATTTCACGGGTGAAGAACAAGTCACTAAAAATTATCTGAATAATTTAACGATTAAACATCCATTCTCACTCAAAGTTATCGAAGAGATAAATAGTTTCGAAGCTTCGACTAAACAGTCATTCGCGAGTCGCGATTAAATAATACCAGAAATGGAAATTCTAAAGAAAGAAACGGTAAAGCTTTTAATCTTTCTCTCTTTTTTCCTTTACGTTTGACAGTTAAATGCCGGACAACTGTCTCAAAACATTTCTTTCTTCGCCCTCGAATATTACACAACCGGAGAAACGAAAAAGCAAAACAAAATTAAAAAGAGAAGATTCTGCGCGATGTTTATCCCATCGAGAAGCTATTTTTGGTGTAGCAACTCGCAAAATGTGATAATCGAAGACGAATATTATTAACCGAATAATTCTTTCAAAGCCGTAACCGGATCTTTTCTCGTGTTTTTGTTTTTATTTACCTCGTAAAAGATCAAAAATTATTTTAATGACCCTTTTTTTGAATATCTTTCTTTTAGGTTTGTGCCAAAATAATTGGAAAGATTTTCGATCAGGTTCAAGTGAAAGACGTTGAGACTTATTTTTAGCATGAACATATCTGAAGAAATGTGATGTTTAACATGCGGAATTAAATAAATCGTATCACAATTCCGATGGCCTAGCACGATTATTTTGACAGTTTGAGTGGATTCCATTTTTCTCCATACCTACAAGCTGCATTCCTTTCAAGATTAACGATATTCAAGATAGGATCACATGTTATTGAATCTGTAACAGACACTCGTTGTATCGTCATTGGCGTCAACGAAAACCATGAAAGCTTAATATTTATATGTTTGTGAGAACTTTTTCAAGCGAAGCAGACATCGGCGACAACTTCCAAATTAACATCACAAATTGAATAGAATTGATGACATTTCAAGAAGAGATTTAAATAAGCGCACGACAACATTGTTTAAAGTTGCTGCCATCCATTGGAAAATTTGAAGATTCTACTAGTTTTCTCTACTTTGAATCACTGAATGACATGTCAATAGAAACTATCCAAATATATTTAAAATTAATAGCTTTATTGTAAGGTCATTAACATCTGCGAAAAAAATGTCGAATATCATTACAAAACGGAATTGTGAGGTTGATCTTGAAAATTATCGTATTTCAACAGAAAAAAAACAATCACATCAGTCGAGACGACAATGATTCAACCCTTAATATGCACATATTCGAAATTCAACAATGACTTGACACATTTTATTATTTTTTTATGATTGTTGACATCATCTAATTATTATTAACTTTCAATTAAATTTACATTGTTTGTAGGCAGAAAGTGAAATGTTTAATGTTATAATTTTGTTATTGTTAGTTATTTATATCAAATGAAGTCATCAAAGTTTGCAACTTAGTGATGCTCTTTAATAATTAATTCGATTCCCTCTTAAATGACCTTGCAATTGTGCGTGGGTACAAACGTGAGGTAATCATCCAAACAAAAAAAGCAAAACTCATTGTCGTGCAATGTTTACGCTTGTTCACTTTAACTCGGAAACTCAACTGCTGAATTGAGTTGCCTTTTGTTTTCGTTCTCTTGCACCGTGAAATTGAAGTGAAATGAAGGCGTCTCGAGTGATGTCAGTTTGTTATTTTGTATTGGTCTCAAAGTTTTATTTAATCGCAAATCTCAGTGTAAGCTTTTGTCTAAAGTGGGCGAGAAAAGTTTTATTTTTTTTGTGACGCGACACAAGAAGATTAAATTATGATGTAACGAAAACTCTTCTAATGACTGTTCTCAGATGTCATTGTTAGTTGACTTTGATATGATTTTCTTTGAGTGTCCATTAGGAAGCCGAAGGCGTCGATGGCGGCGATGATGACATAATTTTAAAATGCTAAAATGTTTATTTATTTTGAAACTTAGAGCATATAAAATCCACATCGAATTGAATGAAAAGATAAATGATGAAAGCCCTTAAAGAAACATTCATCTGAGTAATGTAATTTCTGGAAAAGTGATAGACGATGTTGACCAATAAAACACTCTCGTTTGCCACGAAATTGCTGTAAATCACCAATCAAATGATTGCTATTTGTCCCATTGCTTTGATGCGATGAATTTTGTTTCATGGTTTTTGTGATGTGATGAGAAATTTTCTTCAAGTTTCATCCATTCAAGACAATGGTGCAGTATGAAAAGAAATATTTCTCAATCAGCTGTTGCAAATTAATTTTCGTTCGTTGAATTAATTTCTTCTCTGTTGTGCTAATACAATAAAGTTTTAATTTGTTTAGCGTTGTGACTTGCAATTAAAGTACCATTTGGTATGAGATCTGCTGATGGAGTAATTTTTCATGCACTTAAGAAACATCTCCTGAATAATTAAATTCCTTTTAACTTTAACTTTGATGCGGCTTAAAAAGAATATCAATTTATTGAATACATTAAAGAGTGGTAAAGTAATGAAGAAGTTTTAAAAAGACGAGAATATTCTTTCTATATTTAGTAAAGTGAATTGCCTTGGTTACGAACTTGCAAATCGTAATTTGCGATGATAGAGGGAATTCCTTTAGTTGTGTCATTTAAAGCTCTCGCTCTCTTGCTTGGTTTTCGAAGCTCTCTTGCTTTTCAAAGCTCTCTCTTACTTACAACACTAACACTTTCAAACTTTAAAACACTTTTCATTTCATTTCGCGATCTATGAAAATTTTCTGAGAGTTTCGCGTAAATGATGTGAGAGAAAAGCTCAGCTTGATATTTTTCTTCTCTGCTTTAGCTTCGATTCATGAATGATGCTCATCTATATAAGCCAGAAATTTGCAAGCCTGCGGTTCATTCATAGTACGGAATTTTCAGGCGACATTTGTGTCCGTTAAAAAGTTTATTTTTTGAGATCACTGAAAGTGAGATAAGTCAAATAAGTTATTGTGGAATTAAACAGTGAAGTGAAGGAGTTTCTACTGGAACAGGAAAAGATTTTCTTCTCAAAGGATAAAAGTGATTTTAAAAAATAAATGTAAGAATAATTGAATTTAATTTTTTTTATGGCATTTTGTCTTTGACTTGTGAACTTTATTTAATAGTGACATTAACAATTATTTTATGTTTTTATATACATATTGAGTGTTGCAATTTTCTGCAGCTAGTTTAAGTTCACGCTAATAAAAAGTTAAATTTTTCCATCTTTTTAAAGCGACGAAAAAAGAAGTGACATGTGCTATAAATCTTTCTCGTTGGTCCACGATCTTTTCCACTGCATTAAGTCTCATTTTAAAGTCTTAATTTCATAATGAAATTTCATGCTTAATCATTTTTCATTCTTCTTTTCATCGTCGTGTCCCACTATGAAAGATAAATGTGATTTGACCTATTCACGTCGTGAAAGAAACAAAAAAATTAAAAAAGAAAAAATGCAGGAAAAGAAATTTTACGAATTTTTTTTTGGGTATGATACGATCGACTTTAGCAGTGTAAGAAATTGTTAATTACTTAACATTCTTTTGTTGCTTGACAATCTCAGGAAAAAAAACTTTTTCTCCGCCTTGTTAAGTCTCGTGTAGATATCAGTTTTTGAACAAATAAATCCAATAAACTCGTATGATGTCATCGAATCCGTAACACTTATTATTGAATTTAATTTCGTCTCCGAAATTAAATAATGAAACAAGAAAAACAAGCGAACGTGAAAACTGTGACCTAGTCAGACATCGGAAAAGGTCACAAAAGTTGATGCTTTAAATACTTGCTTTCAGTAAGATCGAGCGCCGCTTATTAACGGGAAGAAACAAATGTGAAAAGTTCATGGAATCGTTTAACTAAGAGGCGGCAGTTGGGAATTAAATTATATAACATTTTGTGTAAACAATTTATCAATACTTGTTATGCCAGCCCTTCAAGGCATCAAGACAAATTTGTTATGTGCTGCAATTGATTCATGCCCTTTTTTTTCTTCCTATTCCCTTCCAGATGAGAGTTCAAGTTGTGGCCTTTGTGATAGGCCTCGCAGTGTTCGTAGGAGCAGACGTTAGCCATCTTAAGCATGCTAATTCACCGTCGAATACATTATCAAATGATGATCATCATAACTTTGTGTCGATTAGGTTCAACGATGCTGGTAACACTGACAATTCTAACTCTCGCTATTGGTGGTTGAACTCAGAGACCTCGCCATTCACAAAGAAACATGATCAAGAACATAATTTAAACAACTACCGACATGATTCACATAACTCAATACACGATACACAACACCAAAATTATAACCAGAATCCATTCTTAAATAATATCAGGTCGCAAAAAGGACATTCTCAAGCAAATATTTATGCACACATGGCTACACTTTCAGGATCACCCAGTGAAGTAAACAGTCTCATGCTTGACAATACAACACAAACGAATTACATTTCAAACCGATATCAAGAAAAGATCTCGTGCTATGGCGCAAGTCAAGTGTGTGCACCAAAAGATGCTTGCGACAATGGTTTCATTAGCGAGAAAGACCTTGGATTAGTGTTGAGTCAATCAAACGTAAGTTGCATTAAGAAATTTTCTATTTTGCTTATTTGACAAGTGAGACTTCTTACGAGAAGAAGAAGATTCGTATAGTATCATCGGATGAAGTGTTCATAAGTTTGACGATCGTTATTACACCAACTATTTATGAAGCATCCCATTACCTTTGAAGATGTCCATTAAATCTTTCCGAAAAAGCAATTTGACTTTGGTCAAATTTTCAATCTTCTTTAATGCGTTTCAAATAAAAGAGAGAAGAGCGAAGGAAAAAAATATGAGCTCGTGGATGCTTTTAACGATGTGAAACCGTAAATTAACGTGTCAAGGCATGGTGTGATATTCTATAAGTGATCGATCATCAATTGGTTGATTATTTAACAAGTGGATTTATAATTAGCAGCACATAACACGATATTAATAACTGATCAAAGTGATCAGGGAAGATCCTTGCAAATTCTTTTCAAGATTAGACATAAAGGATCAATTATTGGCATGCTGTTAGATGGCATTCCTACTTGTCATTTTGAAGTTCATCAACAACTCAAAATGATTTATGTGCGCAATCAAGATTGTGCGAATCTGCTTTCAATTTTCTCTACATAGATATTTACTAATAATCAATAAGTAGTCAATTTGCCATCAGCATAAACGAGCTTATTCAATAACCGCCAGACAACCATTACATAGCATTCGAATATCAATTTATTTCTCATAATTCCCCATCAATGAAATCGTCCACTTTACACTTTTTATAAGTTTTTTGCCTTCTTCTTCTTAAATTGAAAATCTATGATGAGTCGAAACAAAAAAATGCTTAAAGCTTTAAGAAAACACTTGTAGCGATTGCGTGATAAACGATGTTACTTCTCATAGAGAAGGCTTGTTCGAGTAAAACGATTGTTTAATTGAATGAAATAAAATCACTGTTACAAGATTCAGCTATTTAAAAAGTTAAGCGAAAGATTCCGAAGTAAATGTTGACTTAACAGAACTTGCAAAAACAAGTAAGCACAGTCAACCTTTTCAGTAATCGATGCTTTTGCGCGCGATGTTTTTAAATATCGCAAGCGACTGTGTTGTGCTTTCAAAGATGCTCGATTTCCATGAACGAATCTTTGTTTATATTCACGAAATGTCAAAGGATTGAAATTCTTTTAACATCTAATTTTCTTTCAAAGTTTTGTTCATAAATAATCGTTCAATGATGAATTTTATCAAGTATTTATCCAATTAAATAAAATATAAGCACTTGGGATTAGGTCGAGTATTGAATTTATGCAGCTTAAATACTTATTAAGCATACTAAATAAAAGAAAAAATGTTTTGTTAATATCATGTGACAAGATAAATTATTTATATCTTATTGCTACGAATTTGCTTCTTTGTCTTTTGACTCTTGTTCGACTTGAAATGAATAAATTCATGTTAATTTCAGAGGATTAAATTTTTGTTTTTGGTCAGTGAAAGTATAACAAAAAAAGATGAAGGTCTTTTCAAAGAATGTTTATGAACAAGCCATCAATATGTTGTAAAGAAATTATTGTTAAATCACTGCCATTATGTTTATTTGTCAGTGACAAAGCTTCTTCTATGTGTTATGAAAAGTTTATTTTTGTCGAAAACTTATTTAAGGTTTTAAAATCTTACATTCCAATCTCACAACAACTGCATATGACATCAAGATGACAAATATAAAATATTTAAATGACATATTAAGGTCCATGCATATCAGAGATTAAATCTTATTCATCAAGTTATTTGGATGTCAAGATCACAACACACAAGCACATGACAAAAGAAGTGAAACATGATCTTCAAATTCTCATCTCATATAATTTTTCGCAATAAATACATCGAGAAATAATGGAATTACGTAATCAGCCAAGTTTTTTTTTCTGTTCACTCTTCTTTTCTTTCACTCCATCATTCGTCGGACAATTTGGTCGCGCGAACCAAACACAAAATTATTAATATTTGCTTTAATGACTTCAATCAATATGCAAAAAGGAAAAAAAGACTTTTCCATATGATTTGGTTGCGATATCTTATCGAAAAAGATATCTTAATCGATTGATGATCTCATGCATTTAAATCTAAAATAAAAATAACTCGATATCAAGTTTAAGACAAATCGATTTATTTCAATAAAACAAATTTCGCTATAAAACGACCGGAAAAGCTCGTTGTACCAAAAAATAAATAAATTCGAATTCCAACATAATTAATGATGTATTAAAACTGCATCGCCATACATTTATCTCCGCAATCTCTAGAAAGCCGAGTAACTAAACAGAAAATTAATAATTATGTAATATCGTTGGTACCTTCGATTTCATTTTGTATGTTTTTTGTGTTGTTACCGTGACTTCGACCCCCTCGTGAGAGGATATTGAAGAAATTGCGGAAAAGTAATTTATACAACCCGCGCAGTTTACATGCAAATTGCTTTGCCAAAATTTATTAAAATTCAATCACACAATGTATGCAAATCGATCGTTAAAAGAACACATATAAGTATGTAGATAGATATGATGACGAATTGCCCTTTAAAGTAGTTTTAATGCATTCGAAAACTAAGTCACAGCATGAAAAAGGAAAATATTTACTTATGTACATATTTTTATTTCTTTCCATTTAGAATTGTGATAGTCAGCTTGAAACTTGTTGTAACATTCTGCCAGTTGTTAAAACTCAGTCACAAGTTGCTCAAATCTCATCATGCACTGAAGAAAACACAGCTTGTGTGCCATCTAAATTTTGTTTTAACGGCTACATCGATCAATCAGTTGAACACAGAGCTGTTCGTAGTGCGGTAAGTTGAAGTTAAATATTAAACCAGTTTTCTCTACTTTTTGCTTTGTTTAACTGAAGACTTTGTTTTGTTGTTCGAATTCGCTAGTCAATCGCTGTTTTCTACGTTGTCTGTCACTTCATTTTGTTTCGTTTTTGGCTTTATGTGTTTACAATTTTTCTTCTTTCCTTGTGACCGTATGCAGAGAGTGAGACAAAATTTTTGCATAAACATTAAAAAATAAAACACCGAAAAATCACTTTAGCCAATGATTAATGTCGCAAGTTATTGAAGTAAAGTGTAAAGTCTGTGATACGGTATCTCATTGATGGATGTAGCATCACAACATAATGGCTTCAGTCAGATGAGAAATGAGGCAAGTTAAGCTTCAATTTTCGATAAAAGCGATGACTTTTACTTCAATTTAGTGACTTGCGAAATGCTTTTGTGTTCTTTTCACAAACCTCACGCTGCTGACCGACTAAAGTCAGAGTGCAATTAAAGCTTTACTGCACGATCTGAAACAGTTACCAAGGCTCTAGTTTACCTAATCCCATCATAGCGTAATTTTCTGAGAAGCAGAAGATTCATGCTATTAATTTTTATTATATTTTTTTATTCTCTGCATTAAATCTCCTATCAATCAACATGAAGATCATCATCAGATCACTAAAGACACCGACAGAAAATGTAATTTTTATGACCTTTAATTTACTACGGACAATGGAATCGGGAATCTTAATTGGAGAATTTCCGTAAGACAATAAAAATTGGTTTTACAATGCAGATATAATTTGTCGCAGAAGTGACAGTTGAGGTGGCCAGAATGAGACATTGAACACGCCGTCGTCGTCATCATTATCATTTCGCATCTCGTAAATATTTATGGATATAAATGAGGTGGAGACATTGAAAATACTAAGCCACTACATTCATAAACGATCTTTATTAAATCTTTTCCCTTAAACATTTCATTGAGGAATTTTGCTTCTTTCCTTATAAAATCATTGCGCAATCTTGATCTTCACAATTCTTTATCAACAGCGACGATACAGTGTGTAAAATGTTACGATAAAACGAACTCTCATTCCCTGTAATAAATGTAAACTTTCACTGATGTTGCGCATATAAAAAGTTCTTCTTCTCTCATCACAATGTTTATGTCTTCGTCGGCACAAAGCCACAACATAAATCGTAATGTTTATGAAAAAACAAGAAGTTTCTTTTAGTGGCGATATCGTAACATATTTTCAAGATCGTGGCGAAAGGAGCTTGCCACTCATTTCACGTTACATTATAATCTTTGAAAGCATAAAAGAGTCATCATGACAAACAACAACAGTAACAGATTCCAAGTTACGTAAGGTCATTGAACATTCCTTCGTGATTCGCACATTTTTTAATAATCCGATGACCGAATAATCCATTGAGTATGAATCTTCAATATCCGAATTGTGTCGAAAAATATCTTCAGTTAAAAGAAAAAGCGAACTCGATGAAATTAGCGACTCAATTCTTTTAATTTATATCTCAAACGCCAATTTATTTATTGTATGTCGTCGAATGAGTTGCGAGATTTTTATATGTTTTTCATTTGTTCGAATAAATTAAATTTTTTATTTCATCTTCTTTCAATCTCTGATGATTGTTGCGCGCGCGTCTTATTATTATTGATGGCGATTATCTCAAGGTGGTTATAAACAACGGAATTGTTGCGCGAGTTTTTCTTCTGCTTCTTTATTTATTTCAATTATCCAACGGAATTCAAAGTCAATGTTAGAAATCACGAGAGTTGACATCGTAGATTTCATTAAGAAGCTATTTACGCAATTATGATGAGATGATAAGTTTATTTGAATGCGTATGGAAGTGTTTAGGTAGTTATTAAATCCGTTTGTTCGAGAGTGTTTGCATGAATACAAAAATAAAAAAAATCAAACATAACAAATCATAATAAGCTGGTAATGCTGAACAAGCAACAGTTTTGAAATTACATCCTACAAAGCTACCGTTAATAGAAGCAACAGTTGAAGTATGACGCATTAAAATGCAAATTTTCATCCTAATAATTCACAGAAATTTATTGTTTCTCGTTTTTCATCACTCAACATCGTCTGATCAATTCGAATAATATTTTGTAATATCGTAACGAGAAGTGAATAATGGAGAGGGATTTGCATCTATTTAGATATCAATTCTATACTCGATTTCATTAATGAACTCGAAAACTCAGCTTCTTACGGTCGAATGCGATTTATATTTATTGTTTTTTCACAGCCTTTTTCTCATATATATAAGTATGCTAATTATGATATGATTGTAACATTTTGTTTTGTTTACGCTATAAATCTTTGAGAGTTTTACATTTAGAAAAGAGTTTTGTTCGAGACAAATTCCAATTTTATTCTTTTAAATCTCATTTGTATGCTTGAATTTCCATCACGCGGCACACCACTTCATTTAACACAAAAATATCAAGTTGCACACTTAAGCTTAACGAAATAATAACAATTCAGATCATACAACTGATATGGTGTTTAATTTCCCTCATCTCAACACAATAAGCACCTACTTTCAGTCCATCCCATGCGCATTTAATTTCACATCAAAATTCGCATGATCATTTAATGGGGACTCGACGCACAGCATCAAGTTCAAAGCAATATTGTTCGTTGTAGCTTGTGAGAAGTTCAGATTATTTGTTGACTCTGGAGAGAAGAAATTCCATCATCTTACGTCATTTCTTCCACGTTTTGTGATTTTTTTGAAAGCAATAATAAGAACTGCAGCGAGACAAGAAAGAAGAAGTAAGAAACAAGAGAAATATGGGCAACGAGCTCTACGCAACGCGAGAAGCTGAAAAATTAGCATACATTTTTCAATTCAATGACTGCATGAAAAGGAAAAAAGTACGAAACGTCAAGAGAAACGTTTCGTAATGGCAGTCTCGAGTGAGAATAATTTAATTAACATTTTTTGCGCTGGTTTTCATTATTTTTGGCGGCATAACTAAGGTGAGAGATTTTCGGTAAATGCTTGCGGTGAACTTGACTGCTGAAGACGAATTAAGCACAATTAATAAGCAACTAATTAATCTAATTACACGCTTTGTGTCTTTACAATAGACGACGATCTTCAATTGCGAAAATATCTTAATGTGTGTGGTTTGAGTGTTGAAGGTTCTCACTCATGTCTCATATGTTCGGTTAATCGAGATAACGATGCAAATACTTCCAGGATATAATTGAAAATAATATGTAGAGGATGCAATATAAGTGTCGTGTAATGCCTAAATGCTTTGTTAATTAAGAAAACAATCTACTCAAATGTGGAAATCAATTTAACGACCCCGGATTTTCCACTCTTTCATCTGACTGAACAATAAGAATGCCACTCAAAGGCAAAGATCTTTCAATCTTAGTTTTTTCTTCATTACTTTGCTTCGTTTACTTACCTCATGAGTTGAATTTCGTGTGAATATCGTAATTGTTAACGACGAAAAAAGAAGTGCCCATTAAAATATTAGGCCACTGTAACTTTTGAATTTGTTTAATGAGAAAAAAAACTTTTTATGTTATGGTCAGAGTGGAAAGAATTTTTCTTTTCGACATAATTTATTTCTTTTCATCCGTGGATTTTAAATTCTTTTGAAAGCAAATATTTAAAACTCAAATACCATGTCAAAAAAAAGCTAACAAAGCTTAATGAAGAAGATTACACAACGAACACGAGTTCTGATGTCGCTGTCTGAAGAGATTTTAAATAATCATTAGAAAGGTGTTGTTGAAAGTTTTCTTTTGCCACTGTTGAGGTAATTCGACCTTCTCCTCAGCTCTCCACATTCACTTAATCCGCAAAACAACTGCTCCAAATAAAATTATTTTAAAAAGCATGAAATGTATTTTATTGAACATTCCAGTGATTACAATTAAGGTGCAATTAAAGCTTTGAAATTATAATTGATAGTTGTCGGGGCAAGTTGAGTTTAATTTGTTTTCGTTACGTCAAATTGTCAGCATCTGCGTTCACCCTTTTTCATTCATTATCATCTCATCGTGATATTTTTCGCGAATAATATTCGAGCCTCTCATTAAAATTAATTGCGAATAGTTTTGAAAACGCCACTTTAGAGTGTCTAGCGTACTTGAAAAGCTTTCGCCAAACAGAATTAGCGCAATTCATTTAGATAGTGTAACACTTTTCCCGGCAGTCATAAAAACAAAAAAAAGCGAGTGTTGTGAATGGTCAACAATGACCATTTGAATTATCCCATAAATATTTATGTGATGCCAAGTAGATACTTGTTGCTGTTATGACTACGTTAACAATTTGAAGAAATTTTCTCAACGAGACAAGCTGGGCGCGCTTCATTTTCGTTCAAATAAAATTCAAGTCAAACTATGACACAATCAAAAGTATCGTGATAATAAAATTGCCATCAGTTTAAACTTTAAAGACGTAATTAACTTCTTCTTATTTGTGCGGAATTTCTTAATGATTTCATCAACTCAAGTGCCATCATCACGCAAGCAGAGTTCGTTTCAATACGAAGAGTTATTTTCTTCGGACGATCGCCTCCCCGAGTCGGGTCGTTGATCAGCATCCGGGTTCTTAGTTTCATAATTTACACCAATTCAATAACTACAAGCGATGATTAATATCCGACGAACAAAAAAAAGAGTTCTTCAGATTACGTCTAAATTATTTTTAGTCTCGTTGTTTATTTTGAATCATAAATATTTTAAATCCTGGGATGGGACAACTAGAGAAGTCTGGGAATATCTATCTTTAACTCATTTATTCATTTTAAATTTGGCAATATTATCATAGATATCATCAAATTGATCATTTGTGTCTTGCGAAAAATAAATCGCTAAATTATAGCGACAAGAGTTTACATTCGATTTTGAATACATCGTCTAATGATCGATGAAATAAAATCTTAAATTTTCAATTTTTTATCCTCTCAACTCCAGCTAACACCACAAATAATATCAAATTATGGTTGTCAAAACAATTTTTCTTTCTTTCCTCTATTGGGATAGCTAAATAGTTTTGGTGTTGTTCATTTAAATGACTCACACGTCACACGACATCGACGCATGTCCTAATGATGCTGATGTTTTTGGACATATTTGGTCATGCATTCGACGAATCGAAAATTTTGATAAATCGCCAAATGTCTCCCTCCCCCCGAAAACAAAAAAGCTGCAATAAATGTCGAATGGAAATGTTTGATCATTATGACGCTACGACGCTATTAACATTCTTTCTTCCATAAAATGTTAATTCAGAAGGTTGCAATAAAAGTTCAGCCAATAATGTGTTTGCTTTCATCACCAGCTTAAAAGCGACATGTTTGTTGTCAAGCTATAATGCTAGAGTTTATGATCATTTAAAAGCCATCAGCTTTTTGGCATCGCGAAAATTTCCAAAAAATAAAAATTTTGCAAGCAACAAAAATAGAAGAATTGCAATGATTTATAGCATTCGCCTAATCCACTTATTCAGATCTATCGGAAGACTTTATTTGGCATTTTCTCAATAACAATGATCTTCTTTAATATCTTTTAATAACTAATAAATAGAAAAACTTGACACCCAATTATATTCGAAGCCAATGTCAAGTGTCAAAGATGATAATCTTCTAGTGTTTTGCAAAAAGCTTTTTATTTTTTATTTTGAAAGAAATATCTAACGCGAAAGAAAAGACAATGAAAGTCTTTATTTTTTCTCACATTTGTTGAAATAATATTTTCAATGTCAATGCTCGTTTGAGTTGAATAAAATGTTTAACGCTACATGTGGTTTGGTGTAAATTAGGAAATGATTTGATATTATGCGGGTTTTTGATCAAATATCGATAGTTTGAATTCCATTCCGATGACAAAGACTGCAAACAAACATAATTTCAAGGGCATTAAACATGATGCAATTTTATGTTGAAGATTGAATTTTTTTTTTCACATTAATTAACCTCTTAGCAGATGCTTTAATTGTTGTTGTTCTTTCGTCATGAAATTAAAAACGTTTTGTTATGTGCTAAAATGTCATTAAATTAATTTTCTCATCATCATTCATTAGTTTAATTGAAATAGGTCAACGACATGGCGACACTTTTAAAACTATTGCAGCTTTGTTCGCAATCTTCAGCTGCTAAAGTGAACCTCATCTGATTTAGTAAAACTATGTTAAACCCAAGTTTATTGATCGTTAAAGTAATTGATTGCTTTCTATCTCGAGTTTCTTACTACCGTGGTTTATTCACATCTAACTATGGCTACGATAATCGTAAAATCGCACTTCGTTCCTTATCGCTTTTTATTCATTTGACTTCTGTTTTATCTGACCATAATTCAAAAGCGAAGAAAAACATTTAGTTTTGAGTGATCAATAAACGTCAAACGAAGGTGTTTTAACTTTTAAGCTTTTGTGTTTACATAAAAAAGAAATTTCACTGAAAGCTTAGAAATGTAATCTTCGCGAATGTATTTTTATTATTAAAATGAAGTCTCCTCGTTATGACATCTTTAAGTAACTTGGCCGTAACAAAAAGAAAAAAATAAAGAAAAAGAAAATTTAATCTTAACATCATACAGCTATTCAAAACAAATTATTTAAACTAAAAAAGTAATCAACAGAAGAGCTTCTCTTGTTGAGAGACGAGACGATGGTGATTGGCGATATGCGAAATTGAATAATCATCATGGGAAACATTCCATCTGCATTCAAATCTCGACATTTTTCAATTTCTTACCTTTCGCCTTTCGTGCCGCGTGCCAATATTGAATGATTTCAATAAACTTTAAGCGTTCACTCTCGATTGTCATTTGAATACGCTGACTTGTGTCTCCAATCGTTCGTGACCAGCGTTCAAAGTGAGAAAAGAAAAAATTGAATTCATCATTAGGTTGCGGAATTTTTGGGAAATTACATTAAATGATATCGCGATTTCTTTCCTTCTGTCTTTCATTGCCATTTCTCCGTGACATAACCGAAACGACTTTTTAACCTAACGATACAAAAGAAATTTGTAAAATGCAATAAATAGAAAATATTAGGAGAAGTCGGTCACAACTCGACATCAGACTGCCTTGCATAATTAATTGGCTGTGTCAGGATGTTTAAAAATAGTTTTTTTTTGTAACTCGTAACGTTTTGCATCGCTTGAAATTTGCAAGATACGATAAGACGTTTCATCATTTTAATCTTCAAAATGTAATTTTTTTGTTGTTAATTTTATTTTGTATTTTATTTCGGAAATAGCTTACGAGAAAACAAAATTTCGCTAAACGTTGTGAGCCACCTGAAACTGAAGAGATAGGAAAAAGATTAAGTGTTTGTTTAATTTGCATCAAAGCAAAGCTGTTGAATATCTCACATGAAGATGTGCCTTTTTCTCTGTTTTTCTTTCGCATGTTTGTGATTTGTGATGTAATGGATTTGCTCCATAAATCATGCGAATTTATGACTTGAAGAGTCATTTATTATGAAGCATGGAAATTTGAGGCATCGACTTGAGTAGGCGCTTATGAATGTTAATTGTCACAATCACGGTTTAGCTCTCTCATCTTAGAAAAAGATCTTCTCCACATCGATTGATGCTTTCAAAATTTACGAGCCTTTCAAAATGAGCTGATTATTCGAGCGTATAGAGCGAAACATTTCAAAACTAGGTTTAAACTTAAACAAGACTTCTCTCGCTCCGCAATGCGCACCAAAAATAGAATGGACATTGTTTACAATTTGAACATCGCTTCACATACCACCGGCAATGATGTCATAACATTTCGGAATAAAACCAGAATCAACTGAAGAGGTTAGCCAAGAGACTCTCGCGTAATTAGTTAACAGAGTCTGAGACAAAGTCAATTAGATGGCAAAACAAAGTCATAATAAATTACCGCATCGTTATTGTCAGTCACCGCTCTTCTTTTTCTTAATTCTACTTTATGTTATCGCCAAGGAAGTTTTTTTAAGTCACATTAATAATCAATTAGATTTCTATCTGCAAATATCATGCTTCTCAAAATCATTTACATTTTTCTATAATAGATTTTTTCGCTGATTAAACAACAGTTCGATGTTTATCAAAGATGTTAATGATGTGTCCATCAGATGAACATGTCGAACAATAATCGCGAAACGAATCATAATAAAAATCGAGAAGAATAACAAGAAGAAAAGAAGCTGGCGATGATCAAATTGACTATGATAATTCATTTATTTTATTTTTTTACCCATGAAATATTTGTGGACGTTTATTGTTGATCATTATATTTCACTATTCAGAAGTTAACTCATGCCATGATCGCTTGTACTTAAACATATTAATTTGCTTCATCAAATGAAGAATAAGAAGAAGAAGAAGAAAAAGACAACTTTATACGATGAGTTAATTAAGTTTTTTTTTTTGACAATATTTACAGAACGGCCTTTGTTACGCTCCCGAAGTCTGCTGTCGCTTTAATGACAAAAAACGATCAGCACCGACGTTTACTGACAGTGATTATGCTGCCGCATCAACGTCGGAAGTTTTGACAAAGGAAGGATATGTCGTGAATGTGCCCAGTAATCAATACTTGCCGAGCTTCCCTGATCGACCTGCTAAACCAGTTCGACCTGCTGAACGTCCCGAGCCTGAATTTAATCCAGATGCTTCGAACAATGACCCAAGTAGATTAAAGCCTGAAGTTGTTACTCAGCCACCTGTGGTACGTCCACAGCCAACACGACCCCAACCAACACGGCCCCAACCAACACGACCTCAACCAACACAACCAGCTTATCAACCAAAGTGTTCTAATGGAGCTCCAGATTCTGCCTATCCAGATTGTTGTACAAATGGAGGTCGTGGTCGTTACTGTTGTACTAATGGTGCCAACAACCCTGACTGCAGCTTACCGGGAACTAATCCACCATACACGCCACAAGTTTCTACATTGAGACCAACTGCTCCACCACCAAGAATTATTCCAACAACTCAAAGACCTTATCAACCACAACCTAATCAGCCACGACCTTCAATTACATTGCAAGATCAAGCAGTTCCTATTGTCCCCGCTGGATGTCCCGCCGCTATGAACTGTACGTTGATTGATTATTGTAATGCTATTGGCGTTATCTCAGAAAGCCCCGTTGAGTTGACAGAATTCCAGAAAACATATCGAGTTCCTATGACAGACTGCATGATTATGCCATCAAGAGAACTTGGTAAATGTTGTCGCGATCCAAACTATGTCGATCCATGGCCAATCGGTCAATTGGGTCAATACAATGCTGATGAATTGAATGCTGTTTTTGACAGTGGCGCTTACAAGGGCGAACGTCAAAAGGCTTCATCAAGTCGACAAGTTCCTGTTCGTGTTGCACCAAATTCGTATGTAGCTTCTACAAATCAGGTCGTTACTCGTGTATCAGCACCGCAACAAAGACCAAACAGAGAAATTCCGCTTTCACCAGTAGCAACACCACAAGTGCCAATCGTTCAACAAACTCAAATTCCAACTCAAACAACAACAACATCACAATCCTGTGGTGTCAGAAATTACGTAAGTTCAACAAACTGTTTTAATCAATCATCAAAATTATGAAACAAAACGAATATATTTAAAAAATAAAATAAATGTTTTTATCAGAACACTCAACCTCGTGGACGAGCTCCATTAGGAACCGGTTTTGGTGAATTCACATGGGTGGCAATGGTGATTCTCGAATCAAAGAAAGCTCTCTTGTGTGGCGGATCTATTGTTGATAAAAATGTTGTCGCGACTTCAGCAAATTGTGTTCATGGGTAATAAATAAGAAGCGCTAACTACGATCACACGAGTAGCAATAAATTTCTTATTTCTTTTTCTTTCCTCTTGACAGTTATAGACATAATGATGTGCTGATCAAGGCAGGTGAATGGCGTTTGGGTAGTGATGAAGAGCCAAAGCCTTTCCAAATTGTTCGTGTTCAACGAATTATTTTCCACCCACAATATGAACCTAAGACACTCGAACATGACATTGCATTATTGTATTTGGAGAATGATATTAAATATGACACACATATAGGACCGATATGTTTGGATGAATCTGACACGACATCATCGACAAGCAGCGATTGTGTTACAACAGGATGGGGAAAGGAAGTTTTGAAAAGTAACTGATTAAGGATTTTTGTTATTTAAATTTAATATCTGACTGTGACTATTCCATCTTCTTTTTCTCAATAGTTCATCTTGGAAATGCTTTAATGCAGCACACACAAGTTTCAGTTCTTCCGCAAGATGAATGCCAATCAAGGCTTGAATCATCTCAATTGGAATTCAAATCATCACTTGTTTGTGGAGTCACGCAACAAGATGCATGTCAAGTTGATCCAGGTAGTGCGCTTGCTTGTGCTGACAGTTCTGGTCGGTACCATCTTAAAGGCGTTTACTCAACAGAAACAGGTTGCAATAATCCCAATCAAGTTGTTGCTTACACACGAACAGATCTCCAATGGGTTCGGGAGATTCTTAGAAATCCAGCAAGAGCGGCATTTATTTATTAAGAGATAAAAATAATCAGTGATAAGATCGTATTATGCATAAATTTCTCACAATAGATTCACTCAACACTGCATAAACTTAAATGATATTACGAAAAAGTGTTTGATCTTAGAAAGTTAAAAATTCTCAAACATTTCTTTCGATTTATTTTATCACAGACTTGAAACATTTTTATTTTTAAACGCTTTAGCCTAAGAAATCAAATTTTCATTTTCACACATATCTTTAATTTCGATTTATATATTCGTTTTAAGCACCCACTTACATAGATACTTTCTCGCCACTTCCCGAAACTTGCTTTAGATCTTAGATTAGAAAGTAGAATACAACTGATCTGCCACAAGATTATTACAAAATTAAGTTTCGTACATTTTTCTTGCATGTTGAACATTTCTTTTGTTGGTGCATGGAAGAAGAGTTGAAGCTAAAATCCATGCACGCGGTTCAGTTCTTAAATCTCTTATTAAATGGAATTTATTTTATAAAACATTTGTCTAAAGTTAAAATTTAAACTGGAATTAAAAACAAAGAAAAGAAGAAAAATATATAAAAGAATTTTATTCAATGACTTTTATTCAATCCAAATGAAACTTTAGTTGGTAATTTGGTGAATTTGTATGCTTAAAATTATTTATAATCGTTAAGTAGTTACGGTTTCTTGGCACGAATTCTCTTTGGTCCTCCTAGATGTAATTTCATGTGAGTATTCAGATATCTTGGTAAAACGTAATTTTTTCCACAAATTTGACAGATATTTGGTTCGTGATCGTTCAATAAATGACTTTTTAATAGATCTCGCGATGAAAATTCTTTTTTGCACAACTCACAATGATTTCTCTTCTCATGAACTCTTCGAATATGATCCTGAAGATTGTAAATTGATTTCAGAACCTTGAAGCAATAATCACAACTCAATTTCTTTTCACCGCTGTGATATTGGCTGACATGATTTTGTGATTGTCTTAATGTGTTGAATCTTTCCGGACAATAATCGCATTGATAATTTTCAATTTTTAGATGTCTCGGCATATGAGCTGTCAAATAAAGAGTTTAAGCTTTTAATTAATGTGTCTATACTTGCATGCACTTACCATTATGTTCCACTTGCGTTTTAAATTGAATACTGCAAATAGTGCAGAACTTATTAAGACCTTTATGACATTTTAAATGATTAAGAAAACGTGATTTGTAAACTGCCAATCCACAGAAACGACAGAATATCAAAATACCTTTCTGAGGGTGATTATAAATGCAGACATGATTCTTGTTGTCAATATGACATTTAAATTGAATATTGCAGAAAAAACAATAATTCGGAATGCTATGATACGGTGAGAATGGATTTCTTGTTTTAATCTTTCCACATTTATGAAATTTCATTCCAGCATATGTTGGATAGCCAATGCCACATTTAGGACAAATGAAAGGTTTGAAGGTCGTATGATGATACATGTGAAATTTTAAAGTTTCTTTTTGTGCTAAGTACTTTCCGCAATAGTCTGAAATTAAACCTTTTAAAAAAATCTTTATCAGAAATTCCAAATTCCTTACCACATTGAAATAATTCTTCCTCTTTTCTACTTTTTTGTTTAACTTTAATTTGTCTTCTTCTCTCTCGAATTTTATTTTGCTTTAATTTCTCGTAAGCTTCTTGATAAAGTTTCAGTTTTTCCTCTGTATTTTCCATTTTCTTCTCGATTGGAGGAAGTGGAGGCTCGTCTTTATGACATATGTCAATATGGCATTTCAGTCTTCTTTTACTCATTAATTTCTTCCCACAGTATTGACATTCAAGTACATCATGAAGATGATTTCTAAAATCTCTTTTACAACGTTCCTTGTTGCAAAAGCGGCAAATGTAATTTTTTGGATTGCTACATTGAAGATATGGACATTTATGTTCCAACTTCTCAGCTTTCGAACCAAAAACAGTATCGCAATATTTGCATTCAGGTATTCCAAGAAGAAACCTTTTTCTATAATCTAGAAGAGTACCTTTGTAAGAATCTTTTGGAAGTTTTACAGCAGGCTTCTTTATTTTTTCATGCTCGTTTTTATATTTTGTTTCAAAAAACTCTTCGCTGTCTGTGTTACTGCTATCAGAAATAAACTTTATATCAACATGCGTATCAGCACCGTTGCTACTTTGACTTAATTCAGGGAAGAATCCAACGTTTTCATCTTCTTTATCTTCTATCCATCGGCTGTTAAAGGTTGGAATAATTTCAGAATTTCTTCTTTCTAAGGAATTTGTGCTAATATCTGATTTAGGAATTGATGCTATCCCAGAAGAGATCTGATCATATTTACAACTATTTTTTTGGTCAGTCTTTAATTTCTTATTATTTCCTGTATAATTAAATTTACTGAATTGTTTTTGTTTATCATTATTCTCAACAATAAAAACATCATTTTTCCCTTCCACAATCAATACACTTGGGAATCCTGATCCATTAAAAAGTTCTAAATTTGAATACATCTTTGTTTAAGTGATGTGTTTATACATTATGAGTGACAAGTAGATAGATTAAGGAAATAATATTTCTAAATATTTGTTTACATGTAAACAAGCTTTAGCGCCTCTATCGTATTTAATTTGAACTGAGGAGAGGGCATTGAATTCAGAGAATAAAAATACGTTACACCATCTTCATATAAAATTGCTTTCTTATTCCTTCAATTCTTTTCTGAAATTTTTTTTTTTATCTAATAATTTTTTTATAATGTTGGATTAGCCTGTTGCCACAATTCAAACTGTTCAGGATGATGTCGGAAAATATGAGATTTGATGTTTTTAATTCCTAAAAGTTTTGAACAAAATGAGCATTGAATTCGTGCAATTGAATCTTCATAATGTAATTTCTCATGCATTTTAAGGTATCTTGGCAAAGCAAAACTTTTGTGACATATTGAACATAATGAAGGTTCATGTGAATCATCAAGATGACTTTTTAAATCCTCTCGTGAAAGGAATTCTGCTTTACACAATTCACACTGAACAGTTGTCTTGTGCAGTCTTTGAACATGATTCCTAAGACTTGTTTCTGTGGAAAGTTCTTTGAAACAGTATTCACAGCGAAAAACTTTTGTAGATGCTCCGTGAAATCTCATGTGTCGTTCAAGTACTACTTTGTTGATGAAACTGTCAGTGCAGAGCTTACATTTGTATGGCTTATTTCCTGTATGAGTTGTCATGTGAACTGTAACAAATTAAAACGTAAATAAGTTTAACATATCTTCGAGAACTAGGGAATTTACCTTTCAAAGCTCTTTCAGTAGCTAATTTTCTGCAACAAACTGAACATATCCAATCTACTCCACTGTGAATTTCAAAATGTCGATTAAAAGCAAGTTTTGCTAGCAGTTTTCCACAAGAACGACAATAAATCATTTTAGGATCTTCAGGATACTGATAAATGCATGCATGAGCTTTATTTTCATCATAACTTCCAAAATATGAATCACAAAATCGACAGTGGCGTAAATCATATGTTCGAAAGTCTTTTTCCGGTCGTCTTCTCTTTTTCTCACATGAATGTCCTTTAATTCCATTTGGTGTAAAAAACTTTTCACCACAATTTTCACAAATATAAACTGAATTCCCGGTGTGAAGGCTCATATGAAATGACATTGAACGAAGCGAAGCTAAATATTTACCGCAAAGATCACATTCAAATCTTTCTTTTTTACGAACACGACTATTATCTTTACTTCTCATTGCTTCTTGAGACTTTAAACTTTCCTCATAACATATTTTAGTTTTTAAGTATTCTTCGTTATCCTTTACAACGGGAGGAATGAAATCTTCGTCTTGATGTTGTTTCTCAATATGACTTTTCATATTTCTTGGATTTATAAACTTCTTCCCACAATATTGGCAGTCAAGTGTTTCATGAAGATGATTACTAAAAGTTTTTCTACTCAACTCCTTTTTACAGATACGACAAATGAAATTTTTTGGATCGCATTGTAGATACGGACAGACATGCATAGACTGTTCAGCTTTCGAAGGGAAAATTGTGTCGCAATATTTACAAGCGATTTTCCCCACAAGACTTCTCATTTTATGACTCCTGAAGTTATTCTTTACGTTTTTATTCTCTTCTGATAATCCCGTGTTAAACTGCTTATCTGAAGATCTTTTGTCATTTGGTAAGGCTGTCATAGATTCTTGAAAACTGTTGTCATTGGTTTCGTCGTCAGACCAGTGACCATTAAAAGTTGAGCTTTTTTCGTTTTCAGTTTTCGTTTTAACTGATTGATTGTTTTCTTTTGTTATGCATGCTGTAATACTAGGTTTTGAAATATCATATTCTTGTTTCAAATCAACAAATGAAACTTGACTCAATGATATATCAGATTCCTCTTGTTTTTCGCAATCTAAAAAGTCCATAAGTTGAATTTCTTCTTCTTCTTCCCTGATTTCTGTGCTAAAATTGAAGTGGAATTTAGTTATTAAATGCCAAATTTTCAGGTTTTATAATATAGTTCTTACGATAATAGTGGTGGCGTTGTATCTTCATCTTTATTCTTTGGTTTTAATATTTTGACTTTTTTTGATTGCTCACTTCTCTCAGATTTCAAAATTTTATCAACCTGAGACTGTGAGTCCTTATTTTCAATTATGAATACATTGCCATTATCTGCTTCAACTATAAGAAGACTAGGAAGGGATGATTTTGATCCATGTATCATTTTTATAAAAAATTAAAGTTAGTTTTTAAAAAGTTTTTGTTTGCTTATTATGAATGAGCGTCCTCTGATGGCAAATTATTGAGAAGTTTTGCATCTTTTCACACTCTAGCTTTGCATCTACAGTGAACTCTCGTTTATTATTAACTCTGAAGGGACCGAGAAAAATGGAATAAAACGAGAGAAAAATTATAACGAGAGGTAATGATAACGAAAGTCCACTGTATAACAAAATTTTTTTTTGAATTGTTTACAAATTCCCTCCAAAAATTGGATTTTTGTTTATTAGAGAAATTGACGGTTCTGTAAAGGAGAGAATCTTAGTATAGATAATTCAAAAACCTTTTAATGGTGAGATAATAGTAATAAATTGTGTACTTTTTAATTAAGCTTAAAAATTTTCAGATCAAACATTTAATTTAAAAAATGGTAATGCCGCCGATAAGAAAGAGAAGAAGAACGGATAGAAAGTCACGTTCATGGAAATCTGTTTCAAATTCTTCACCTTACATTTATGAAGTAGAAGATATACTGAAATACAGACAGATTGAGAGTAAAAACAATGATTCAATAATCCCAATACAAGTATTGATTAAATGGAGTGGCTATGACGATAGCTACAACACTTGGGAGCCAATTGAAAATCTTGAAGCCTGTCTAGTATTTAAAGAATTTGTCGAAAATAAATTTCGGACCATGGAAACTGACATTTTTGTAACTGTTGCTAATATCAAACAGAGACTAAAGAAAAGAATTCGGGAAACTGTTACTCATAAAACTGAAGCAATGCTTGAAATGATGCCATTTGATCCTTTTGAATACAAAGTAATGCAAGTTTTCTTCCACCTAGTTGAACCAAAAGAAACATTTCGTCAAATACTTGAAGAGCATGTTTTTAAAAATTATTTCTTCAAGCTTGATCAAGTTCAACGTATTAAAAACGATGAACTTCTCGAAAAAATCAGAAAGAAAGAAGACATCGAAGTTAGAATTGAAAATGAGGAAAATTTTGATAATCCACCTGAATTTCATTACATTCTGAAGAATTTTCTTACTGATGAAATGTAAGTTTTTCATTTTCTCAATTTGTTATATCAAATTTATTCGATTTTATTATTCTTATCAGGTATGTTATAGAAAACAACAGCGTTGCTGGGTGCAGCTGCAAGGACTGTGGAATAGATTCTGAATGCTGCCCAAAGTTATGCAGAGAATTCTTCCCGTATAAGAAAAACAAGAAAGGCATGACCAAACTACGTTTAAATAAAGCAGATAAAATTTATGAATGCGGTGATCTTTGTGCTTGCGGTCCTGATTGTATAAATCGACTCACACAACAACGAAAAACAGTCGATGTTTGTTTGTTCATGACAAAAGATCGGGGCTGGGGATTAAAAACTATAAATGATGTTTCGAAAGGAACATACATCATCGAATATGTTGGCGAATTAATCGGTCAATATGAAGCCAATCGCAGAGCCGAAACATCATATTTATTTGACATGAACGTAGACAAATTAGCAGATAATCGCTTTTATACAATTGATGCATATGAATATGGAAATTTGGCTCGTTTCATCAATCACTCTTGTGAACCAAATTCCAAGATTTGGTACATAAGTAACTGCCAGAAAGATCCAAAGAATCTCAAGTTATGTGTTTTTGCTGACAAATTAATTCCGAAAGATACTGAGATTACTATAGATTATTCAGGTGGTGAGGTTACATCTGAGCGAGATGATATTGACACACTGCCTAGATGTCAATGTGGATCTAAAAATTGCCGAAAAGTTATTTACTAATGGATATTATTATAAGTTAAACGCCTTCATATAACTTTTATGCGAATGAAGACTGAATTTCAGTTATTTTTTAAAATTTACTAATCATAAAGTCCCAAAAAAGTCAAGCATACTTAGCGCATGCGACAGATTTTCGACGTTGTAATTTTACATTATAGCATTCTTCGAACAATATTAGATAATTTGATTAATAGTAACAAGTTGCATAAAACATGAACAATGGACGAGATTATAAAATAAAAAAAGTCTGTAAGTGAATAAAAACTTGTGTTTTAATGTTGTCAAATGTTATGTTAAGTCATCTTTCTACTCTTTCGTTGCTTTAAATGTTGATTTTCATGCAACATTTTTATTACCACGGAAATTTCTTTCACTAACACTTACAAGAATGCGTAGTTTCAACGTGGCCTTTCATTGTCACTAACACTTTCATCCTCTAACTGTGTACACTGCTCAGTTTCATTCATTTTAAAAAGTTTTGCTGTGATCATTCTTATTTCATTAATTTACGTTCCTTCTCTGATATTTCATTAAAAATAAGTGCATGAAAGTAATATTTACATACATTAGCTTATTTTGTGTATAAAGTTGAAAGTATTTATTGACGGAAATGAATTCAGAAATTTGTGATCAATTTTGTAATGATCGTAAAAAGATTTTTGACATAAGTCACTTGCATTTCACAAAAACCATGTCAGAGATTTCAAAATTACGATCAAAGTCACTTCTTTTTGATGTTGTGATAAAGTCAGATGGAAGAACCTTTCAAGTAAGTGTTCAGATTTAAAAATAAATCTGTTTATGTTAATGTAGGTCAGGAGCTTAAACATAAGCAGGCAAATGACCTCAAAACTAATTTATGCAAACAAAGAAGAAAAACAATTACAAAAATTAACGGTTCGATGATCGATTTTAGGCTCACAAACTGCTTCTTGCGGCAAGTTGTGAATACTTTCAAGCCATGTTTTCAAAAAGTATGATGGAATCAAAACAAACTGAAATAACAATCAATGGAATATCCGGTGGAATTGAATTTATTTTGGATTTCATTTACACTGCCAAGTTAGAATTAACACTGCTGAATGTTCAAGAAATTCTCTCTGCTGCCAATTACTTTCAACTATCGACTGTCCTTACTGCTTGCCTTAACTTCCTTGAAATGGAACTTGACACCGAGAATTGTGTTGACATGCTTATCATCGCTGAAAATTATTCATTAACATCACTACATGAGAAGATCTTGAAATTTATTTGCGCTCATATCATGGAAATATCAAAAGGAAATGATTTCTTTCGACTTCAAGGCCAGCAATTAGAGCAACTCTTATCCAGTGACTTGCCAGTTGACTGCAGTGAAGTGGAAATTCTTAAAATAATTCTCACTTGGATACTTAAATGTGATAAAAATTTTGACTGCGTTTGGATGTTTCGTCATCTAAACTTTCATGATATACCAGTGAATGAAGTGGAAAAAGTTCTGAAAACTTTGGAAATTAAACGATCAGATGAACTTTATCATCATGTTTGGTCTTTAGTTGTTTCACAAACAATTTCACAAGTTGAAAGTGATCATAAGTTACTGAATCGTCGGGGATTAGAGCTGGCGATTATTAAGATTGGTGGCTTTGAATTGACAGGAATTACAAATGAGATTACGTACTCCTTTCCAATTGGAACTGATTCGCCATCGATTCAAGAGCCATGGCGATATTTGACAGAAATTCCACATGTTAAGCAAGGTTCGTTCGGAATTTCAGTTTTAAACAATTGTATTTATGTGATTGGAGGAAGTTATGACATCAGTTTGGATAATGAAGATATTCATCCATTCGGTTTCAAATACAACCCACTCTCATCCGAATGGAGCACAATTAAACCAATGAACTTTGATCGTTGTCGATTTTCATTAAATGTTTTAGAAGATTCATTGATTGCTGTTGGTGGCCATTCTGAAGGAGATTCACAGAGAATGGTTGAAGATATTAATGTGGCAACTGTGGAGAAATATGATCCATTGACAGACAATTGGATAATGCGAAGTTCAATGCCACAATATCGATCACAACATGCTGGTGCAACATATAAAGAGAAACTTTACATATCTGGTGGAATTGATCAATATGGATCAGTCATTAGCTCTTTATATGAATATTCTTTGACAACTGATTGTTGGACCAAAGTTTCCACAATGACACCAAGAGCTGATCATGTGATGTTGAGAGTCGGAAAGAAAATTTACATTTGTGGTGGATGGGAAGATTTTGATGGTCATAGACGGCTGGTACCGGCAATCGACTGTTTTGATATTGATTCAGAAACAGTAACAATTGTTTCTTATATTCCAACGCCAAGATATCACACTGGAATTACCATGGTTAATAACAAAATTTATTTTATTGGCGGATTTGCAGCTGACGGTAAAATTAATCTGAATTAAGTATTATCCTGGAAATATTTCAATTTCTTTCTATTTTTTATTTAGATATCTTTCGTCATACAGCTACAAAGGTTGAGATTTATGATATCATCAGTGATAAATGGTATTTTCCCGAGAATTATCCAAAGCATATTTGGGAACATATTTTGACGACGATTTACATTCCAAAAGAAAGAAATGAAGGTTTTTCATCGAAATTGACGAAATAATTAAGTCATAAGATTCATATTCGAATATTTATTACGATTATAATGACAATTAAATATCCATAAATAAATTGAATGATTTTTATTCGCCATTATTTTATCTTCTGAATTGCAGGGAATATCAAGAAAAAATCTTAAATATTGAAAGAAGAACAAAAATTCTGAAAGCTTCAATTTTAAAGAGAAAAGCTTTCTTAAAATTAAAACTCAAACAAAGCTTTCACATTCTCGTAAATTTTTGAGTGAATTTTGGTGAAAATACTAAGAGTTGCATTCTTACAGTTGCATTGAGAACACGTACTTTTATAGTTTGTCTAATCGTGAAAGGAAATTATTAAACGAGAATTTTATGAAGTCAGTGCGAGTATGGATAGCGATGTTCCTTTTGATGGGATTTCCAAAGTTTCTCATGATAAATGGTGACACTTATCATTACCGAGTTATTCGAGTAGGTCAAAACGTTTATTTCCAAAACTAAACAATTAATTTGGAGTTAGAAAGTAAAACAGTAAATTACTAAAATCAAGCAACAAAATTAAACGATTTTTAATGTGTGTCGAAGAAATTTTACGTGCTTTTGTGACCTTTCAAGCGAATTGTATATTTTTCCACTTAAAACTCAATGAAAATTGCAGTCAAAACATTTGTCAGAAAAAATTGTTGCGAAAATTTTTATGAAGATTTTAAGAGTCTAAATTAAAAGCAATTGAAATTAAATTAATCTCTACACATAAAATATCGTTCTATTAAAATATTAATGAATAAACTTTGTAATTAAAAACAAAGTTCTGCCTAAGACACAAACTAATTGTAGGCAATGTCATTATCATGTTTTGCTGACTGCCACATGTTTTAATAACCTGACTTGAATGTTTATATTTTGAAGTTCATTCGCAGCTACGGTAATAAAATGGAAAAATTTGTGAATTTGTTTTTCAGCGAATTTGCCCATCTGGAACTTATCATGACCCATTGAAAGATCGATGTCGTTTGGTGCCGGGTGGTGGAAATCTTATCAAATTTAATCTAGATGCAAAATGTTCACGTGGTTTTATTGGTCTACTTGCACATTCACGAAATTCTCGCTATTATTACGTTTGTCAACGAAATGCAGTTCTGACTTGTAAATGTAAAACAAAGGAACGATTTAATCGTATGAATTTACGTTGTGAAAGGAAAGGAAGACGACGCTCATCTAAAGAACGACATTCACATGCCATTGTTGAGAATATTCTTGAAAAATACAAATGTATAGAGAACTCAGGAATCTCTCAAGGAAGTTCACAATATTCACAGAGTTTTGAAGAGCCAATAACATTTCGTTCAGTGGAAATGGAAAAGAACGAACAAGTAAGTCCAATTTCTGTTATTTCTTTAACCAACAATTTAAATTTTCTTTAAACACTTTTCAGTTTGATCTTTTCCATAATCTTCTTAAAGAAATTCAAAGAAAGCAACAAGAACTTAAAAGTACCGAAGAATCTCAAAATTCTAGTGATCAACAAAACATAATTCAAAAAAATAGAAATAAGGAAAGTTTGGAACAACAAAAACAAACGTTCACCAAACTTGACGAGTCAACATCAAGCACGATTGAAATTAATTCCCAAAGATTGACAGAAAAAGTAGAAACCTCATCAAAATTTTCAACTCCTAGACTATGGTCAACTTTTTTTGTTTCTCCAACTTCAAAACCTTTGATAGAATCAGAACTTATTGATCCCCGCAAACTTCAAGTTTCTACAACCGAAAAATCTTTCACTGTTATTGAATCAATTGAAGCTCAGAGAACTAATAAACAGACTGTCAATCCTGTAGATGAAACAAGTCAAATGTTTGGAAAATCTCTCGCACCAATTACATTTGAAAACAATGCTAATGAGTTAGCTGAATCGATGGGTCGAAGTGAAAAGGAAACTGAAAAGGAAACTTTAAAATCAACGCTGAAACCTGAATCGGTTGATCGCGTTTTGGATGAATTTGTGAAAAGAAACTTAACAATTACTAGTATAAAAGGAAAAAGGCCAGATCGATTTAATAAGAACAATACATTTGATTATGATTTTGAAGATGAATTCGCCAAAACTGAACAGAGAAAGAAATTTGTTGAATACTATGAATTGATTGAATATTATTACGAGGATGAGCCAAACGTCACGTTATGGACAAAAGAAGGCGAAACAACAATAATTGTTGAATTTGATGAAACAACATTACCAACAACAGTTGAATCTTTGCAAGCGACAGGAAATGAATCCAATGAATTAGCAATTGAAATAACAACTGAAATTTCAGAAAATAATTTTGCTGACATAGACTCAAGTGCAAGTGAGAGTAAAACTGTAGAAATCTTTGACGAACATCCCCAATTTGTGCATCAAAGATCTGAAAGTTTAGTGACTTTGAAATCTGTTAATGGAAATGCTGCAATTGAATTAACAACGGAAGCTTCAACAGACAAGACGACAAGTGATTATTCTGAAGATGTTCAATCAACGATAATTGACTCAACAACATCAGGAATTACCCTTGATACTACAACATTTGAAACAACCGACACAATTTCAACAACATTTGAAACTTCTACAAGTCTCTCTGATAGTAATTTTGAGAGATTGATTATTACAAATCTCCCTTCTACACTATTAGAAACAACGACTGAGGATATTGACAAAACTAAAGAAATGACTACAACTACCGAAAGCTATGACACAACAACGATAGAAGTAACGACACATCAGAACCAATTACTGAATTATAAATCTGATAAATTTTTAAGAAACTTTGATAAGAGAAAAAATAATGAAGTGGTTGATATTACATCAACTACAGATGTCATTTCTACCAAAATCACTGAAGCTAATATTGAAGTTTCAACTACAGATTTGCCGCAATCAACGATCATTGAATCAACAACGGAAAAGTTTGATGCATCAACAATGGAAACGTTTTATGAATCAACGACGGAAAAGTTTGATGGATCAACAACGGAAAGATTTTATGAATCTACAACTGAAAATTTTGATGAATCAACTTTGGAAACTTCAATTATGACTTTGTCTCCTGATACAAAAACTACACCGGTTGATGAAGTTATAGATGTTTTGAAAGGAAAAGGATTAGAATCAACCACCGACAAATACAATTCTGATGAAACTACAACAACCAACAACGAAGCTGCATCAATTCCTACTACTGAAAGTACTAGTCTTGATCTTGATACCACAGAATTAACAACTGAAGTTTATTCGACAACATTGAATAAAGAATTTGTAGAACCGTCCTTTACTGTTATTCCTTCAGTAGTTAAAGGGAGAAACGATTTTCATTCAGATTACCAAGAACAAGAAGTTGATTTTAAAGAAATTTCAACTACAACGGAATCAGAAATAAGCACAACTGTTACTGAAACAACAACTGACAATGGCTCAACAATTGATGTTAATGATTATTCAACTGAATCAGAAATAAGCACAACTTTAACTGAAACAACAACTGACAATGGTTCGACCATTGTTAACGATTACGACCAATCAACAGTTAATAATGAAGACAGTGAAACTTTTGCTACGCTTTCATCTGAATCGACAACTGACAGTTATACCAGTACTATGATAACCATCGATGAAACTTATGAGAAGGCAGAAGATTTGTATACGATCAATAACAACGATTTCCCGTTGATAACTTCCACCTCAAGTGCAACTGAAAATGATATTGAAACATCAACTTTAACCCAGAATGTAGAGACAACCACTTTAACTCAGGAAATAGAAACAACAACAAATTCTTCTCCACTACAGACGTTACTAGGAAGATCGGAAGATTTTAATGAGAAAGAAGTGTCGGTGCATGAATTACCCAAAAAAGAGTACGAATACTATTACGTTTATGAGGAATATTACGTGGATGATCCTACTGAAATTATAAATCAAACAAAGACTGATAATAATAGTAAAAACAACAACAGTAATATTCAAAAAGTTTGGCAAAAGCAAAAGCGCGACAATTCATTCGAATACTATGTTGAGTCATTAAGTGCTTCACGTGAATACAGAAAAAATATCGCAAAATAATGTCACATACTATCAAATGTTCCCTATCTGCAGTGTTGTAATAGTCTCATTAGAATAGCGTAGTAAATAGATATTTATAGTGTAGTTAATTAGTGGTTGATAATTAGGTACCTAGATAGAAAATAAAAGTAGAAAGTAGATTTATCATGCAGTATTCAAATGATTGATTTTGATTTAAAGATACCTACTTACTTGATTTAATATTATCTTTCAGGTGTAAATTGGTTACATCTAATCTAACGTAGACTGATAAAATTTTTCATGATACAATCTTTTATTATCCCAATTCCTCATTCGAATTCTTCTTATTTATTGAACTTTATGTGTAACGGCTTTTTATTTTGAATTCTTTGCTTCAATTTTCGCTTCTGTTGACATCGATGAAGTCGAAAAGTTTTTCATTTAACTCATGTTTTTGATAAATTAATCTGGATAAAGCTTTAAAAATGTTCTCTGATGATAACAGTGATATAATGGAGGGTTTCATTTGCCCTATCTGTAAAAGTGATCAAAAAAAGTTAGAAAGTTTGCTGCAACATTTTGAAGATAAACATTCCGAAGAGAAAGATTTGGTGCAAACATTTCGTGATGTTTTTAAAATTGCCAAGAAAAAAATTCTCAATCTTGATGAATCACAGCTTTCTAAAACTTTTGATAGTACTTTGAAACCAAACAAATCTTTTAACCAGTTGGAATTTGTTGAGGATAATCAGGATATTGGATTAGTTAAAGACCACATAGAATATTTTACCGCAATAAGAAATCCTCGTTTGGAAAGATTTGCAACTGAAACAAATAAGCTTATCATTCGATTAAATAAACTTCTAACAAACCGCCCCCAGGATCCACAACAAATAAAGTTACATGAACAAAATGTAAGTTTTTTACTCGAAATATTTGATGAAGTAGGAATTGAATGCTAAATTATATTTTATTATAGTTGGTTCCTTGGATTGACGGAAAGCTAGTCAAGTTGTGCCCTTCGTGTGCGAAAAGTTTCTTTTTAACTCGTCGCCAACATCATTGTCGTATATGTGGATCCGTTATGTGCAATGAATGCTCCAATTTTCTCTCAATTGATGATTCTTGTAAGTGAACAATTAACAATAATTATTTCTTGCTTTATTCAATTGAGGAAAAATATTTTTCAGTTTCTATTATTAACCCTTCGTACGAAAAATCAAAACCAAATTCATCAGAAGAAATTATTTTGAAAGAACCAGAAGATTCCATTCGTCTTTGTTCTCATTGCCTTCATCTTCTTGAAAATCGTAAACAAATGCAAGATAGTCGATCTGTTCGACCGCCAATTTACAATTTATACGAAAAACTAGAGAAAATTAAGAAAGATGTTGCGCCAGATTTGATAATGTATGAGAAAATAATAACATCACTTTATGACGGAAATTCAGTTTACACGCTCGCAGATGCAGGAGCATTACGCGGGAAAATTGGCCATTCAGCTGAGATTCTTGATGATCTGAGCAAGAAGATTTTAGGACAAAAGTGTGCAAAAGGAAGTCGTGAAGAAGCTTTACAAAAATCTATTCGCTTAGCAGCTATCAAGTTTATTAAAGAAAATATGCTGACGCTACCACCGATTCCTCTTGAGGAAGAAATTAAAAAAATTCAACAAAAGAGAATCACAGAATTTAATCAGAAAATAGAAAGAGATCGTCGATTAGCACAAGAAGCATTTGAACGTTACGATCTGAGTGGAAATGCAGGTTTTCCTGCTACTTCTCGGACAACTGGATCTGCTATGACTTCGGTTGATAATTGGAGTGGATACCAGCAACAAACTAATACATGCGATCCTTTAGTAGAACAAATAAATATTATTAAAGGTTACATCAAGCAAGCTCGCGATGCTATGAGATTCGAAGAAATCGCCACACTTGAACAAAATTTAAGCGAATTGCAACATGAATATTGGCTTCGGTCGCAACAGAAGGAGTAAATACCTATAAGTGTAATAACTTGAAGTAAAATATTTAATTAAAATATTATATGTAAAGCAGACATAAGAATCAATAAAGTAAAAACTTTATTATTTATAAAAACATTTCATTTTCATGAAGCATAATTAACGGTTATTTGTAATTTGAAATATTTTTGCTTCTCTTACGAAATCTTTTTGCTTCTCAATGTGTTTACAAAAATATATTTTTTTTCATTTCAACGCGATAATAATTTATTGTGGCAATTACTTCGTAAATCTAACAGCGGAAAATAAAGTAATAAGATCGAAGTGAAAGGCTAGAGCTGCTGTGAAAAATTAATATCAAATGTGAGTAGAATCACCTTTAGCATGCATTGAAGAAACAATGAATTAAAAAATCGATTTTCTGAAAGTAGAAGAAAAAATGGATATTGACTAAAATCCTTACATCTGCTAAGAAAATTGAGAATAATGGTTTATTTATGTGCATGTTAAATGCCAAAACAGAGCATAAATTTAACACTAGTTATGACGTTTTCTCTAATTTACGCGAGGCACTTTCCTTGAATAATCTCAAAGATTTTTTTGTTGCCCTTTTAATTGGAATTTTCGATATATTTTCCTGTTCGGAATCAGTATTATCGTTGATTTTAAGACACGGGGTTGATGTTTGTAAAGGCAAAGGTGTTTGATGTGTCGATGATTTCCTATATTTTCTTGGTGGCACAGCAGCAGTGGCTACCAAACCAGAAGTTTTAAATTTGTTACTTTTAGTTGTAGCGTCTACGGTACTTGAGCTTTGAACAACTGGTTTTCTTATTTTTGCACTCGAACTCTTCGTGTTTTTAGCGAACTGAGATATTATATCAGCAGTTTCAACAAGTTTGTGGAAGGTTGATCTTAAAAAAGAATTAAAAGGTTAAGATAATACAAATTTCTGCTAACGTAGCCACAAACCTTTTTCTTCTTGATTTCCCAGTAGTGATATTAACAACTTCTGGTGGAATCACTGTTTTCACTTCCAATTTGTTGGGTTTAGTGTTAACACTTTTCATATCTTGCTTTGCTTTTTTCGGTTCTCTTGCTGATTTCGTTAATTTTAGCTTTTCAAATCCAAGTTCTCCATTTTCTTTCCAAGCAGCAAGCTTTTGTGAACATGCACTAAAAATGATAATAAAATTCAGCAACTTTAATTATATTAAAAAACAGATAATAAAACTAACGAAAGAAGCGCTTCACTATCGTAGAAAATTGACTTGTTAAACATCATAGCTGATGATGAATGAGCACCATAAGACAATGGTCGCGTAAAATCTAATACTGTTGAGTCTGATTGTGTTCCAGTCCAAATTTGCTTCTTTAACGATAGTTTAATATGAAGGTTTTCGGCAGTTTGTAATATTGCATCAGTATCACAATTGGTATTGCGGATTCTAATATTTTAAAGATAAATAATTGAATGTTTCGTCTTAAGAAATTTATTTTCTTACTTTACTGTCGACATGCAGCGACTAAAGTTATGCCATGACTTTGTTTTTTGAGCGATGGGAGGAAACTCCTTACTAAAGTTTTGTGAAAAACAAACAGACGGCTTTGTTTCGATTGTTGTTTTATTTTCGGTAGGAAGATCTGTTAGACTGAGTTGATTGTCATCATTGACCTTAGTTATAATCAATTCTGGAGGCATCATGATAGCATCATAGCTTAAAGAAGTTTTACGAATGTCGCTGCGAATGATTTTCGAAATTCTCGAAACTGAAGTCTTTGTCAAGACATTTCCTTCGGTATCGTAATCTGTTTCGCATTCATCTTCTGTTGTGTAATATTCAATGAAATCACATCCAGGATCTGTCGTTGGAATATCCATGACTGAGCGGGTCAATAGTTTGGTTCGCTTTGTTGATGAAATCGTTCGACGTCGTTGCTTACTTTTTGTGTTCTGCAATTATTGATCATTTGAAAAATGTTATATTAAATCCCAACAAGATAATTTATTAAACAAATTTGTCCCTTAGCCCTCGTTTCTAATTTTTTTCTAAAGTGATAACTTACATTCTTCTCACTCCGCGGTTTCTTTTGAACAAAAACGGGGGATGAGGGTGGAACGCGAAGTGTTTGACAACATGGTCCTTCCAAATCGCAAAAACTGTCTTTACCCTCGTCATCTGAACTTGAGCTTGAGTCACCTTCGTCACTGTGCGGAGAATTTTAATTGAAATTTATGTTCATTTAACGACATTTTTAATACCTTGAATAGTCTGAAAGTGGAATGTTGAGCGGTTCATCAGCACTCGAACCTTCCTTCGACAAGCGAGTTAAAATTTTCGTTCTTAATTTTTCCTATACACGAGAAAAGCAATTTTCCTCAAATTAAATTCATTTCTATTTCAACACAGTAAAGTTCGTACTAAATCGTTCATAAAATCATGAAAATAAAAATACAAACAACATCAATGTGTCTTTCAGGTACGTTTTATTTATAAACTCAAAATATTTTTGTGCAATTTCTACAAACTCATAAATGTCAATAAAGAATTCCATCAACTAAATCATTTGAAAATAAAGACGAGAAAAAGCAAGTATTGAGGTTTTATAATAAAAATCATTTTGAATTCCTACAAATATTCATTTACGATGTGTAAAGCTAAATTGATTGACTACAAAGATTGATCGGATTATTTAGATGGGCGTAAATAATTTCAGAAGCATTCTATTTCGCGCTTCAGCTTTCTGAAAAGCTACTCGATTTTGTTTTACGAGATTGGAGAAGAAGAATGTTGGTAAACCAGTTTTTCCAGCCATTTGTGGTTTGAATTCATCAGGGTCTTCGATTTCAGGCTCAAGATCTTCCTCCATGTAAGCTTTCTTCGCATTTTGAATTCGTTTCTCCTTTTTCATTTGTTTAACAATCGCTTCAACCTTTTTTTCATCGACGTCAAACTTTGAGTAATTTACCAGCTGCTCACCAAACTTAATCGTTTCTTTATACTCCTGAAATATTTTTTCTAAGCTCCACGTTTCTTTTGTTTCAACCTGCTTTGAACTCATTTCTTCTTCTTTTTTAATAGCTTTTTCTTTAAGATACATTTCTAATTTTCCTGCTTTCTTTAATTTCTCGCGTTTTTCCCTTTCGTGAATCCTTTCGCGATGTCGTAAATAAGCTTCAGTTTCATCAAACTCACGACGGAATTGTGCAGTGAATTTGCTCAATTCCTTGTAAATAATTTCATGATAATCTATCTTAAAAAAGAGTCAAAGGTTAATTAATCCATTTTGATAATCTAAATAGTGATTTTTAGACACGTGTTTGATGTTGAAAATCAATGCAATGTAATGATTTATTGTCTATTGATTGATTTTACTGTCAGAGAGAGAATTATTTACGCGTGCTTGAAAATGTTTATGCTCTGATCAATCTTTGTTAACACAAAAATAATAAAAAGGATCATAATGACTTACTGAATAAATATTTCTATCTAAACATTGAATCATAACAAATGACAACAGAACGGCAGAAATTTTCAATCATCTTCACAAAATCCATCATCTTCAAGATTTTCATTTTTAAATTCTTCATCTAACTCATCCCAATTGAACGTATCACGAATTTCAAAAGCGTCGCATTTCTTTATCTTTTCTTTTTCGTTAATTTCTTGAAATTTAATATCAAGTTCGCGTTTTTTTTCTTGTTCGATTAACATTTCTGCCATTCTTTGAGCTTTCAGTGCTTTTCTTGCTTTACGTTCAGCTTTTCGCTGTTGCTTAATACTACTCAGTAAATTATTTCTACTATTTACTTTGAGTGGATTATCGTCGTAATAATCCATGAGAGTTTCACAAAATGCCCGTCCGAGATGTTCGTAATCCTGATTGTGGTTAAGAAAATGAAATCTTGTTTAATGGAACATGAAATGTTTAATTTCAATCCTTACCATTGTTGAAAAATGTGTTCCCGCTCTACTTCCTAAAGTACTCCCAGCAAATGATGCTTCTAAAGTGTAGCTGTTAGTCACTCCCAACACCCATACCACAATCCTTCCAGTTCCTTCCTTATTCTTTTGAACACGAAACTTGCAATTCTCAAATGAAAACTTATCGGCAACATTTTTATGCAACATTAAAGGGAAGACTTGTTCAAGAAGACGTCGATCAGGATGACGCTTCATATTCTCACAACCATAAATGAAAATGTTGTGCTTCCTTGAATGAGCGTGCATATCACAGTATAACGCAACACCGCAATCTTCCATCAGTCTATCAAAGTAAATAAAAGAAGAAAAAAACCAATTTTCATATATTATTTGAATGTTCCGACAGAATTTTTCCACACATGCATTCTTAAATATCTTTTTCAATAATATGAAGTAGGTATCTGTGTAATTCTCTGCGAATATCTATAATAATCAAAGTACGTGCGGAAATTAAACGAGCAGATATGCTACGTGGATAACGTATGGCCATTACGTACTTTCCTACCCACAAACTTGACGTAACGCATTATGTATAAATTTCCCTTAAGCACAAAACATTTCTTCATTCTGAATACACGTTTACACATACAATTTGGTTAAAGTAACATTTAATACCTTTTAATCATCGCTTTTGTATTCCAAATGGACGGATATGTTTCCCTAATCACGGTTCGATATTGTCGATTCAGATCACGGCCCGTTAATGAACTACGCGTGTTGCCTACGATGACACCATCGGGATTTAACATTGGAACAAGTTTAAAAATAAATTTATGGCGTAGTTTTTTCGCAACAAATGAATCCCCAGTTATGAAATCCATAAATCCTTTCATCATCCATGAGCTTGGCGTTTCACCTGGATGTACTCGTGCCGTTATAACAACGGCTTTCTTTTTCTGATTAAAGTAAACAAAATAAATAAAATATACATAAATGATTTGAACACTTTACTTACCTTTTGTACCTCTTCTTCTGGTGTTGACGGTGCCGTGACCGTGAGGTAATACACATTATTTCCAGCTACCGAACGACACAAAAGCCTTAATTTGCAAAATTTTGACTTAATCGGATGACGTTGTATATTCATCAAATAATCTTGTAAGTCAGAATACGTGTATGGATAGCTATGTGCAAAAAATACAGTATCGTTTTCATGTTGAAACTCAATATTAAATGTCAACGTATATGAACAAATATTTCCACTATCATCATCATCAAAATCGTCAATCAAGACTTGATGGTAGTTTCTCGTACTGTAAATGTTGTCATCATTTCGAAAATAAGTAATGTTATCACCACATCGCTTCCATCCTATATTGTTGTTCGTGGCATCTGTCGTTGAGTATATCAATGGGCGCATTCCTTCTCTATACAAACTATCAGGTTTTGTCAGATTAACTATTGAGAATCTGTAAAAAGGACGTGCGAGAAAAAAAAATGAATTTTTCATTGACAATCTTTATCCAGTGAGAGACATCATGTAGAAAATAAGGGCTCATTGTTTCACCAGATATTTCTTAGATATCTAAATGACTATCTGAAAAAGTAGGAAAATCGATTTTCCTGACTTACTCATTTTCTAACTTGAATATCATGAGAAAAGGAAAAGTTAACTCACCTGTATGGGATTTTGGTTTTCGTATTTTTAACTCGGAAGTAAAACCATTGTGTATGACGATTTGTGTACATGTCTGGTCGTAAATATAGCTCATAGTAGTTTTGTGTAACTTTCACAACTCTCGCCAAGTTTCCAGATTCAAAACGAGATTCGAAAATAAGGTCATCGGGATCGAGAGCGTATGGTTGAGCTGAGAGTAGGTATTTTGAGCCTCCCACACTTGAACGTGAGAACTGTGGCATGTTATTGCACCAGCATGGAACATTATCAGCATCAATTTCGTATTTTTTCGGGATTGAAATATTTTCAAAATGATTGGTGTGATTACAGATGTCATTGTTGCGCAAGAAAATATTAAAACGATTAAGATCGGGATCAACTTTTTCATAGCAAAAGAAACACTCAAATTCTCTTGCTTGCTTAGTGTAATTGAAATAATAAAAATCATCGAAACTTCTTTGTAAGCTTCTTCCAATTATCATGTTACGCTCTCTGATCTCGTCATCAGCATAATCACCCCAGAACTCATAATCATTTCGAATTCTAACCATGTGGATAAAATCCTCGTTACGACCATAAGTTCGCACTTGGTCATGTCGTTTATTTAATTTACGCTGATGTGTTGTTCCCACAATTTCATCGTCAGCAACGTTTACCGCCCAAAAGGGAAAATTATAACAGAAAAAAAATTTAAAAAGAAGAAGAAATAAAATAAAATGTATGGGAGTGGAAGGCATCGTGTCGTTACCATAATAGCGGAAAACAAGAGAAGAGAAAAAGCGTTAAAGAAAGAAGTTTTCTCGCTGTTGAGTACTTTTTCTTCCTTCTCTAATGTTAATTGAAAGAAATTTTTCACAAATAGCAAACACCGTAGAAGGATGAAGAATATAAATACAAGCATCAAGCATACACAGAAAGCAAGCAGATTGTTTGCTTTAGAGATGTGTGAGGGTGGAAAGATTTCCCGCTTATAATGCGAGTATGAAAGCGAAGATGATTATTCACATGAAAGCATTTTCTGAATGCTTAGCATTCTCATCCTTTTGTAGCTGCTGCTGTTGTTGCCTTTTTTCTTTTTCTTTCAAGAGGCACTCAAGGGAGTGAAATTGAAAAATGGAGAAACATCACAAGAGATCCTCCAGTTCTCATTGAATTCGAAGGATGAAGTTCTTTTTAAGATAAGCTCGAAACTTTTCCTAAGTCAATTTCATTTTCATTCATAAGCATATGAAAAAAAAAGTATGACGAAAATTCACGTCCCTTGTAATAAGTTTGGTTTTCGTCCCTTCCGAGTATGCACAGCAAAAGTTGATTAAATGTCTGACAATACATTCTAGACAGATATAGAAACTAGAAATGATGGATGATTTATCCGATATTAAATTCTATTCAAGATCTTTTTAGAAAGCTCACAGTGGTGACATGCTTGCTCTTTTAGAAAAAGCTGATTAAATTCTATTCGATGGAATGTTAGATTTGAGCCCCACACTTGATACTGATGATTTCTTGTTATTTCAAAAACACATCAATTCTCATGTTGCCATTTTCTTCTAACATTAAATTGCAAAGTGAGACATAAATCGATTATTTGTTCTCGGAAAATGTAAGAAATAAAAAGAAAGATTGATGGAAAATGAGGGAATAAGAATTATTTATTTCTTTTATGGGAAAATAAAAATGAAATCTTGTAGAAAATAAAAATAAATTTGAAACTCAATGAAACCTTTTTTTTCAACAACCTCACAAGCAAATGAGATTTTTTCCTCTTTCTTGCCATGAACTTCACGTCAATCAATTAACAGAATGAAAAAGAAATGAAAAGTTTCTTATTGTGTTCGCTTGGGGGAAAAAGGAAATTAAAAAAAGCGTTTTTGGTAACGTGAAGAAGTCCAAGTATTTAAGAAAAGTTTGAAATCGTTTTTAGTTCCCTAAGGAAACAATTTAATTAAACCTTCGTCTCTTAAAAGAATTTCTTTCGTTCATCTCGCGCTAAAGGTTTTTCATTGTTATGAGCGATGGAACGTTAGCGGGAAATATGAGTGAAAGTTGGAAAAAAAATTTAGACAATTTACATCTTTTGGAAGTTCTTCAACAAGAAGCTTTCTGGTGTTTAAGAAAAAATTAAATCATTAAAAAATTAACAGCTTCATAAAGTTTTCTCACGATTTTGTGATGAAAAATGAAATGAAATTAAAAGTTTAACTTCTTGCGTTTATGATGAAATTAAGAAATATTCTAACGTCTCTCGTTGATTCACAAATAAATATTTCTCACTGTGTTTGATGAAATTAAATATCTTTATGATATAAATTTTCTCGAATTATTGCTGCCGTAAAATTGTACCATTAATGGTAATTGCTAAAGCTTTAGAGGATCAAAAAGCAGAATAAGAATTTAAATTATTCTCCCTCTCTTGAGTCATATGCTGTTCATGACCTTTCAGCCAAAACTGTTTTAATTTTATTGCGTTGGTGGAGCGTTAAGAGGTTAAGACTAGAATTTATGTTCTAGATACTTATCCAGATGGTGTATGTTTTACGACGCACTCCAAATATTCGAAAAAAGCGTGAAAATTTCCGACGATTGACGGAAAAGATAAAAAAAAATGAAAAATGAAGAAAAACGATCGAAACTCGCAGTTGTTGTGTCATTTATTATTCTTATATGCTGTTTGTTTATATCACTAAACTTCATTTGCTTGACAAACATCGTGGAAATAAAATATTTATTTCGGATGTAGCTTTCACGCTTTCAAAAAAAAAGAAAATATCTGGAAAATTAAATCATAAAACACACAATCACTGTGGATTTTTTCTTTCTTCTAAAGCTTTAGCAAAAACATTCTAATATCTCTTTAAAATTCGTAAAAGTAGAAAGAAAAGTCGTAAAGTGTTTTGTCGTTATATCTACTTCCTTTCATTTTCACTGTCCGCTCAACATAGCGATGACTTGTTATCGCGTTTGGCACTTTGACAGAAACGAGAGAAAAGAAATGTAAAAAAAAGAATTAATTGAGAGAACGAATAGAAAAAGAAAACGTTGAAATGTTTAAACGTGATGACGAGGAAAAAAAGAAGGAGACAATTTCTTTCAAGTTTATACCTTGGCAGGGCTTTTCAACGTGTCACTTGTGATGAAGAGGGCAGCAATCTAATTAAAGCAGGTGATTTAATTACCGAATTTTTCTTTATCGACTTTGAATAGCTAATGAATTTTTAATGATTTGTTCCGTCTTTTCTCACTTTGCTTCGGTCTTTGTTATTTTTTGAAAATGGCAACAATAAGAAATGAAAATGTTGGCAAGCAGCACAAAACAACGGATTTTAAACGTCCTTGACACTGAACGGTTCAAATGGTTAATTACGATGTTATGTCGACTCACGTAATGAACTGCACTAATGGGCATGTAGTTGTAGACGATGATTCCATGTTCTTCACCCACAGGACGTGGCTGTAATTCCTTCCCTGTGGCTTTGTAGTAGGGCTCGGGTTGCTCTGGTGCATATTCTATGTGATACACGCGCTCATCGAGTACCTTAACAGAATAGAAAAATTCAAAAAATTAAAGTTAGGTAACAATCATAAAGTATGAAATTTCACGTATGAAGTTAGCGAAACGTGAAGCCTTGAAATAAAATATTAAGTAGATGGTACATGAGAAGAAAAAGTATCAACAAACAACATCAATTTGCATATTCTTGGTAACGAAAATAAAAAATCATCCTCGTATTTGAAGTAAAACATCTCTGAAACGAGAAAATTTTATCATGAAGAAATATCGTGCGAAAATTTTTGCGATATTTTTCATAGTGGCATATGTAGACTCTTCATCATTTCTTTATATTCTCTACATTATGAATTGATGGAAACCTTATGTGATTTTGATTCCAAATGGAACCGTAAAAATCATGAAATCAAATCTTTCATTCATTCGTTAGTTTTTTTTATTTCGCACCTTTTTATGGATATCGTAGAGAATTTAAATAAAATTTCGTCTAGAACATTGGCATGTTTTTATTTTCCTTTTGTAAATGGAACATTTTATTGCCATATTTAATTTTTTTTATTTCTCTTTTATTTGACATTGTGAAGAAGGATAGGAAAACGATTAAGAAAAGTAATAAAAAGTAAAAACAATTCAGAGTTGTTGTCAATTTAGACTTTTCTTTGTTATCACAGAGTTATCTTTGAGGAAACGATGAAAATTGAAAAACATAAAAATAATCTGTGCGATTCTCGCGTATGCGTACAATTTTCGATAGCGTAGGTGGTTAAGGTGTGAGAATTAAAGGCAAACCAAGAAACTTATTGATATTTTCTGTTGTCACGTCTTTGGATGATTTCTTTCAGAATTTTGAACTCAAAAAAGCACTTTCCTACCTGACATTCATTTGGCCATCGCGGCAATTGTTGGGCACACTCATTATCACGTTCCTTAGGCAATGCGAACAAATCTCTTGGCTCTTTGAGCCGAGCAATGGGACGTAGAGTTCTTACGTCAGTGTTGACTTCAAGTTGATTGGTTTTGAGTGCTATACATGAGAAGAAAATGAAAATCGATTTTTATTGTGAGAAATTTCTATTAATAACTTCGATTATGCATTTGATACTTAACTGTTTGATAGAAAACTGCCGAGATATCCTGCTAGAGAAAAAAGAATAATAAATAAGTTTATTATATTCGATATAATGATTTACTTTTTGTAGCTTAGAAAATGTTTTGTAATTCCAAATTTTCAATTAAATATCAACTTTCATTCATCCTTTCGATCAAATCAAAGTGCATAAAATCAATAAGTTTGTTGTCTTGCTTATTGCGTTAGCTATTATCGAATTGAACACTCATAAAATCCAGCATTTGTTGTTGGTTCAATAAATTCTCCACTTCTATATTCACAACTGCGAGCAATGCATGCTTTTTGTTATGACTTTACTGAATAATTTAACAGCATTTCACTGAATTATCAGAATGCGAGTTGTTGAACAATTTCTAAAGCCCACAAATTTATTTGCTTTCAAAACTTCGCTTTGTTTTCTAAAGAAAAGGATGAACTGAAAATGTTCTACTTTTATTTACAACCTACAGTTGATATATGATGAAGGAAGTTCCTGTTCTGGGAATATCTCTCAATCTAGTCAATTTTCAAGCAGAGAGTCCACTGTACTAAATGTTTTTACTATTTAAGCTGTAAGGTGTTTAAAATACCGCTGAAATCCAACTGAACGCAACTGTTCAGTTCACATTTGTGCGAAAAAAAGTTGAAAGTTGTAACAAAGCTTTTGTTATTCGCTCTCTTTAACATTTTACCCTACAGGGGCTTTCATATCTTTAACATGGAGGACAAAAGTAGAGCTTCAATTTAATGGAAGAAAACTTTTCTCGCCTCAGATTATACGATACGAAAAGTTATTCCATTGCGGTGGAGAATTTTTTTGTTGTGCCGAATTATTTTTCTTTTCATCGTAGAGTAGAGTCTTCAAATTCCGACTGGTTTCTCGTTGTCTGACTTTGAAATTTTCCACACTTTTTGTTTCTCAACTTTATTGAGAAGTGTGTGGCGTTTCAGAATCATATGATAATAGACTTCAATTTCTATTTAACTTTTTTTCGTTTAAAAGGTTCTTCTACGAAAAAAGAAGATGTTTGTCTTCGAAGAATTGGAACATAATTCCGTCGAAAATTTATAATTCCGTCTATGGAAGGCTTTAAAACCGTAGTAAATTTTAAACATGCATAATAAATTCTCTTTATTAAATTACTTTTTTAGGACGACCGACTGGCTTTTTTACACATTCAACAGATTTATTTGATTTAGATAATGCTTCAATTCTTGCTTTTTTTATTTTTTCATTTCGTTTTTCCTCATGTTTTTCCTGCTTGATTTTTCGTAGTTTTAGGTTGTTTTCTCGACGTTCGCGTTTTCTTATCTCTTCTTCTTCTTTTTCTTTCTCTCTTGATTCAACTAATTCAATGTAATTTTTACTGCTTATTACGTGAGGTAGTTTCTGAACATTTCTTATTCCTTTTCTTCTGGCACAAGGAGGAACTTTCAAAATCTGTTCAGTAACGTTTTCCTTTGATCTATTTTGATCATTGTCACACTTTCCTAATAAAGATTCTAACATTTTTTTTTGATTAGCAAGAAACTGTTGGTGCTGATCATTCATTTTTATTAGAAGCGATAGAAGGAATGTTTTATTATTATTTGTTTGAGCTCTTGAATTTGGTGGCGGCAAGCATTCATTATCGATTGATATTTCTTGAAATGAAGTGAAGGAAATGCTTCTGGGTACCAATACTGGTTGTGCTAAGGCTGTATTTTCAGGATCAATAAGTGAAGGGTCGTCTTCAAATATTATTGGATAATCTAATATGTTTGCTGAGCTTTCTTTTACGCAGATAGATGGTTCAGTCGTATTCATATCTCGAAAATCTTCATAGTCTAAATAAAAAATGAGAAATTAAAGGATCGTCATAATGATAATATTTAATTTTTTTACAAACAAACCTATTTCATCTATTTCATTAAAATCATCAGAAATCATTGGTTCATCTCTTTCTTCTTGTTCCACTTCTAAGCATTTCTTTTTCGTGTTCTTTCCTAAGCAACGTCCATAATCGATATTATCAGGATTCCATGGATATATGCCACATCGTCTAAAAGCATTCATTATAACTAAAGGTGTAGCAACATCATCATCATCAACTCTGAAACATCAAAAGATTCATTTGGATGTTTGTGAGTCCATAAATCGAGCTCTGTCTTGAAACGAGCCTTTATAGCTCCAAACAGACCAACATCAAGTGGTTGAATTATTCGTGTTGAATTCGGATACAATCCTATCAAAATAATTCTATTTTCACGACAGAATTTTCCCAATTCGAGTGTCATGTGCGTCTTGTGGCGGTCTAAGAAATATACTATAAAGCCATCTGTGCTGATGACGCTTTTGAACCACTTCATATACTCAATCATCAAATCAGACTTCATGTAGCCAGTATCGTTTTGTTGTAAAGCAAAATCTTCTACAAATATTTTTATAAGTATTAACATTTTATGAATGGAAGCTTTCGAAAGCTTTCGTGGAAGGAAAAACGAAAAACTGGAAAAAATTAATTAAAGCATGAACTGTAAGATTTAGCTGTATGGTGTGTTT